AGTGTTTGTAGTATGGTAGTTGAAGTGATGGTGATGATTATAATATTATTTTTGTCACCGACATCAATCTTTAACTCGTTCGTTTTGATAACCTATATACACAAGTGTATGAATTTCAGAAAATATTTAATGCGGGTCCATACACGTACTATCGTACGTTTATAAAAACAGTGTCATGCACACTCAATCAATCACAAATAAACGCAAACTATTTTACTTAAATATATTACACTGGATTAATAATTCAGATACTTTAAGATAAAAGACAAAGATAAACCTTAAGCAGAACAGATTAACAGCACGTAAGATAGGGTTATAAGTTTGATTTACGACAGATACCACGCAGTTTGTCAGTTGGGAAAAAATAAAATAAATCTTATACTGTTTGATGTCTTGATGTAACATTTATTGTTTTTTTGTTAAGAGGTTAAGAGGACTTGGTAGGAAAAGGTTCCAGATACTTAGATATTTTCTGTGGCATAAAAACATCTGCTTGCTTACAATCTCAGAACATACGGGTATTTTTGTTTCAGAAACGTCCTAGAGCCGAAGCGTAATGATCTATAAAATGAACTTACTCCTTATTAGGGTTAGTAATTCCTATTTCAATTTTTATAGCCCTCATTAGGAGATTTTAAGACTTTATTAGGCTTTTGAAACTCTTATCTTATTATCATTATTATTATTACTAGTATTATTATTATTATTATTATAATTATTATTATTATTATTATTATTATTATTATTATTATTATTATTATTATTATTATTATATTTTCTATTTCATCGTGTTTTTTTTTCTTTCTTTTTTTTCTTTTTTTTTTTCTTTTTTTTTTGGGGGTGTGGGGGGGGGGTGGGGGAGTTAGCGTTTATACCGTTATTGTTTTGATTGACGTGCAGGCTTCTATATAACGTGGGAAAAATCATGTGATGTTTACGCATGATCACTACTGGCATGCGAGCAGTTCCCGTACAGAAGCAGTACCCGTATTTTTCATTTAAACGCTTGATTTTTACATGCATTCTTCAAAAGTTCATTTCAAATCAAGCAGATACATAAACGAGACAAAATCTAAGTGTCAGTTCGGCAGTACGTATAAAAAGTCTCATTTTAAATCACTTTCACCTGTGCGTTGTCACAACGTGACCTTGTTTTAATTGGAGGATTCCGTCCTTGCGCGCATGCGCAAACATACTTACACGTGAGGCATGTTAAAGGGTTTTCCACTAATACGACCTGTTTACAGATAAGAAGGCAATGTGATGAATACTTGTTTAATTATCAGAATTTTGACCAATATTACTATATAAAATAATTTTATGGCTTTGATGCGTAAAATATCATGCATACAAGCATGCCATCGCATGTGAATGCGTTTGGGGTAACGGTACCGGGTAATTGATACACGCTACTTTCTATTTCCTGAATTACATCTATTTATCTCTTAGAAAATGGTCTGTTCAACAATTATAAATGAAAAATAGGTCCGATATAATAAAATTGTATAATTATAATGGGTTTAATTTTATATACGGGAACTACTTCTCTTCATACAAAATAATGGATAATTTCTGTACCCCATCTGAGGCCTCATAACTAAGGGTTATTCTATGTTTAGAACATGATGGAATTTCCATGATTTGTGTGACGAGCCGAATATTGATGTGTAACATTCAAATTTTGGTGAGTGAGCGTAATAAAAAATAATGATTAAGTAACTACGATTTTTGTACGGGAACTGCTCGCATGCCAGTAAAGGTTAAAAACTAATTTGTTTACATTAAATTCAAATAAAAATGTTATCTATGAATATACAATGATAATATTTCCTTTATAAAAAGATATATTTCATTCTGATAAAGTATATTTTATAGAACGTAAATTAAACACTATGCTAAGCAAAGTCAGCAAAACTGAAGGCATAAAACAAGCACTGTGGAGCGGGAAACCAGTGAAACTTTGCGGGTTAATACGTCAGATACTGCCTGAAGACTAGAACAAAGAACCGCGTCTTTTTTCGCAGTACTTAGCATGTGCATTCTGGCAGAAGCCAATTTGAAAAAAGTACCGACTACAAGTGGCCATGACATTCGGGTGCCACGCGAGATTTCGTATGACGTCCTTCGCGGGAACAGATTTGAATAGAGTCGTGTACTATATTAAGAACATTTTGTTGACATGATTTCGATACTTTTATTCAAGATGATGTTTTTACTTATTTTCATTAATTTTCTAGTACTTAAATACGATTGTATTGAATATTAAAGTCAGTAAATCACCTTTTTCAATATCTTTAAAAAAAAGTAATTTATAAAAATATTGGAGGCACATGAGTTCGTAAAGGTCAATCTCGTAATCACGTGATCAAACATTTTGGCAATATGGCGGCCAAGTGACGAAAATTTTACCTGTCGGAAACTATTAGGTAGTTTATGTTCGTAATAACACTTTTATTTGTCCATCCTTGGCTTATCAACATATTATATATAGTTTTATCAAGGTATGCTTCACTTTACTTCATGGCATGTTCGATGAATAAATACGAGCGTGTCAGATTCCTGGCACGATTATTGGTGGACTTTCCCTATGGGGTTATCTTCAGCGTTCACGTCATGTCATAGTATATAAACGGGTACGCTGAAGACCTTAAGCTACGTTTTAAGATGTTCATACTCTAATTACATGTTTTCTCGGAAAATTTCGTTTGTTTGATATGAAACTATTTTCACTATGTTTAATACAGGTACCTTTTTTATTGCAAAAAAATGCTACTTAATAAAATGAAATGCACATTTATTTCCGATGTTTGCTTTGTTCAGTAATATTACGTATGCGATTTGCCAGATTAGAAAGGTAAGTAGGTTGCTTGGAAACTGCCTCGTTTTGAAACGTTCACAAGTGTTGAAACATGGTGTGGTTAGGTTTTGGTTGTTTATGATAAGAGATATGAACTCTTTTTTATCATACACTCATTTCCCTAAATAAGGCCCATAAGCCTTAAATATGCAATTATTTTCATTTCTCAAAAGCTTTTTTTTAAATTTTGATGTTCTGTTGCAGTTTACAAAACGGTGCTTTTGCTCTTTTAACATATAGCTGAACCCTATATTACTACTTTCACATTTTGACCATTAGGAATGTTGTAGCTATTAACTGGGACATAATATGACATCGTATTTCAGGGTGTTTAGAAGAATAATCATTATTTAGCACCTTTTATGACAACTTATTATTATTATTATTATTATTATTATTATCATCATCATCATCATCATCATCATCATCATTATTTTTAAATTATTATTATTATTATTATTATTATTATTATTATTTTCATCATCATTATTTTTTCCCACGTGATAAACATCTAACATGCTCTAAATCCGTCATTAAAATATAATAAAACGCATACACAAAAATCATAATCGGAAAATATTTAACTCACCTTATATAAATACTAATATGAGCCGCGCCATGACAAAACCATCACTGCGTTTGCGACCAGCATGGATCCAGACCAGCCTGCGCATCCGCGCAGTCTGATCAGGATCCATGCTGTTCGCTATCAGTTTCTCTACTTGTTAAAACGGAAAAAAGAGTTGTTTATGTGAATTGTCATTCTAATCTCTGTTATCACTTTTTATTTTATTATTATAATTAATTTAGCAACTAAACTATTTTTCTTTCTAAACGTCAAACACTTTACGAATAACAACGAATCATTTACTAAATCATAATGAAATTCTTAACTTTTGCAAATACTCTAATGCAAACAAAGTCTTTTTGTTTGTTTGTGATAAGAAAAGACAACCGTCTTTTCTTTTTCACTTGCTTTTTTAAACAAAACCATAAAAAAATATGCCATCTTATACAAAAATATTTTATATTTTCTTACAATAAACCCAGTATTAATAGAAAAAAAACTTGAATTTTCTTATTATTATATACTTCTATCTTTTTTAAACTTATGATCAGGAAGAATTCCCTTTTAATTTTGAGTATTGGCCGAAATTAGAAAGTAGTCCGGCAAGACACCAGTAAAAATACGGAAAATATGTTTCACTGCAGTGAAAAATATATGTTAACAATGAAAATACGGAAAATAAAAAAATGCGCATTTTATTTCATCAATATTTCTCAATATTTCATTAATAAGTGTATAATAAGATGTTTTCTGAAAGAATATATATATATTTTTCTCTTTTATAATTTTTCTTCAAAACATATAAAGTCCTATTCGGTTTCTTTTTTTGACAATTTAACAAAATATATACTGATGACGGTAACAGGCTCTACCGATGCAAGTAATGCAGACAATATTCCGACTTTCTCACTAAAAAGTTAAAATGTCCAGCCGGACAGACAGACAGACACTTAGCTTGGTAAGGTTTAAAGAAAACAATATAAAAAATCACGTCGCAAAAACACCACGTAGGTTATGCGTGTCCATTATCTATCATTGTATTTTCTGTTCGAGAAATTTAAAAAATATTTTTTAAAAATATTCCAAACCCTTTAATCTGACATTAAGTCGCCGTTTTTTCGCAAACGAGCAATATTTCATTAAAGTTTTAAAGAAAAAAATTATTAGAATAGAATGTTTGAAAAAAAAAACTGATTAAAGTTTACAATGAAGAATAAAACACAGTTCAGTGAATTATTTTGATAAAAAAAACACCGATAAAACGGAATAACGGAATTCTTAAATAGATGTAAATCTCAAACGGCAAGATTATTAATGATGTAGTCTCGGTTTGATTAAGCCTGTTCGTGGACGGCAGTGATGAGTTTGAACTTGAAAACCTTTATTAAAAAAGCAAGAAAAAAAAAGCACGGACCAAGATCAGTGGTATATTTTTACAGAATCTTCAATGTAATGAAAAAAAGTAAAAATAAATTAAAAAAAACTTGGAATAGATAAATGAAAAGTAGAACTTTTTATGATTCTTTGTTTCATTTCAAAAGCGTGTGATAATCTGATACATATATAAAAAATTACCTTGACAGAATCCCGTTGACAAAATCATCGAAAGCAGCACCAGCACAAAAATACCCATCATCACACTGCACCCTCCACGTTGACTTTATATGGTGAAAATCGTAAAAAAATGATATCGTTTTTGACTGTATGATTTGTTTGCGGCAACGATTGTTGAATAAAGAAACGGCTGGGTCGTCAAATCACGTTCCACGCATGCGTAATGTAATATCAATTTTCGATGGGTATGGCAGGGTAAGATAGAAGATAAGGGCTTTGCTGGGGATTATATTTGTACTGAATTCTTGGTATTCAAAATGTTAGCTTTCCTAGTATTCAGTCATGGACATGCTCTGTTTCTTTTAAAATATCAATAATATTTGTAAAGATCTTTTTATAATATTGTTCTGATGTTTTAATGGAATTCTCAATTAAAGCAGAACAGAAATAACGGTATTGTGTGATATTGCATTGGACAATATCTGAAAACTGGTTATCCGACTTTTAAACATAGCTAAAAGATTTCATTCCAACCTTCAACATATCAATTTATAGTATATATTTAATATTTTAACTTCTGCAGTCACGTAATTCAACTCAACACTTTGAACTGATTTAATGTATCGCATACAAAAAGTCGGAAAGGAAAACGACGTAACAGTCATGGTAAAATAAGTGGTACTGATAAAACTACGTTTATATATGCTGATTTTAAAATAAGTGTACATATTTGCGCATACAATTGAGGACAAATGTGTATTTATGATGACAAAGATGTTTTGAGAGCTCAGTGATACGCCGCGCAAGGATACAATGGAGCCTACAAGATGCTGTACCATGTCAACTAAGTTAACAGAATCGGACTGTTTTCCGGAACATTCTGACAAAGGTATTTTGAATGATTTTTGTTGTTGTTGTTGTTATTTTTTGTTTTACTTAAGTCTTTTGTTCTCAAAGCATTTTATGGTACCAAGGCTGTTTAAATTCACTGCAGAATATATGTATTTGGACCGGTCTCTGTCAGGTAAAGTTATCTTTAAAATGAAAATTCATGTGCCAATGTCGATATTACTAGCAGGAAGCTCTATCGTTATTTAATTCAAATAATTCTCATTTATTGCAAAAATTTTATAACGGAAATGAAAATATTACTTTCTCAAGGAGAAAAGCCTTGTGTATATTTTAGGAATGTGCGTTAACCTAACAGACCTTTATCACAAACTCAACTGTCAAGTATGGACCATCTCCAGCGTTGATGTTTAAGATAAATCAGTATAGCAAAAAGTTTGTTCTCAGCGAAAAGATTACACATGCACTCTGTTTTTGCAGACATTGCTCTTCAGTGTTTTCATCTGACCATAAGACGTCACTTATAAATATTTCACTATTGAATAAGAGTGTCTAGATGGGTTCTGGTGTTGTTGTTTTTTTCGGACACCCACTGACCAGCTATTGACAAATTATCACTGTACATGTCATCGAAACACCGTTTTAAAATGTTTCCAAGACACTTTAGATTTGTGATTATTTAATTGACCATATTTGACCACATACTGACCAGTTACTGCACTTTTTATATTGACTAGGAAACATAACGAACATAATAACAAGAGGGACAACATGAACCTAGATCGCTCACTTAAAATTCTTAGCATTAGATCAATATAAATAAAAACCGACGTAAATATATCTTAGCTCTAAGCCTTGTATTTCTTAATGGGTTTCCCTGAACGAGACGTAAGTTCAGGTGAGCAGGAGGTGGGTTTTTTTACCGCAATGTGTTATGTATACCCTTGATGACCTCTAGACAAAACTACACACCAAATTGTAAGGATTTGAATAAAATTGGTAGTTTTTCTCCATTCAAAACATTTAACCTCAAGACATTAAAGTAATGCACCAATTTTTAAAGATTGTACCTATTTCAATCTATGCAAAAAACGACCTTGAGGCCAAACTATTTTACCAAGGGTCATGAAGGGTCAAAACTTATACTTAGTAATGATTAGCAATGTTGTGCACCAGATATCTGAACTCTAAGTCTAATCTAATCCAATAAAATGACTACCAAGGCGTGGCAAGTTTGGGAGCCGGGGTCATGATTTGAATAAACTTAATAGTAACCATATAATGCAAAATGTCTTCAGCTCTAGGTCTTATTGCTATTGAGAGGGAACAGCTCAATGACGGTCTATAGATTCAAATCCCCCGGAGTAGAGCCAATTTTTAACAAAGTTAACAGAGTTTTACTTGAAAAATGCTCCATATAAATAATTGATTTTCAAAGATTGAACTTTTTAAAAATCAATTTAAGCGTTTGTGACTAGGATTTCCCTTCAACGACCACATAGCGCAAACGAAAACACCTCTTGATTGCCGAAGTTCCATTTGTTTCCCTCAATTCTGCCTTATCTTTGAAGCATAAAACAGAATGATACGTCATCGAAGTCAATTACAAGTTTTGGACATCACTTTATCCAGTTTAAAACGACTCGTCTTGAACATTCGCGGAACTAAATGTAAAGGTTCAATTTGAAACACGTGTTCCTGACCAGATGCGTGAATCGTGACTGTTCTCGCAAAATAATATGTTAGGAATAGGTAGGAAAGTTAAAGTGTATGCAAGTGACACCTTTATTTGCTAATAAGTTCCGTTTTATATTCTTTTAAATGGCGTAGCATACATTTCCATGGTACCCTACATATGACTTAAGTGTTGTAATCACGTGCTCTATAGCGCGCGTTTATGTCACACACTTCTTAAACCAACTTCTTATAATTGAAAGACCTTGTTACTACCCATTCAGACTGAGATACTTTTCTTGGAGGTTGGCGTCTCAATGTAAAAGCTTGCAAAATTGCGGTCAAATCTAAGGTTATGCTACGGACCATGGCTGTTACCTCTTGGACATTTTTGGTACAGCTTCATGCAAGGAAAAAACTTGGCAAAGTTGACCAGGAGTATAAAGAGGAGACGTTATCCGAATCAATTGTTTACGAACAACCAACTGTCATAAAAGCTCACCATAAGCATCATGTGCGCAGGCGGGCCCAACACAAGTAACACATCAGTCAATTATTATCTTTATTAGTAACTGAGCATCGCTTCGAATCGAGGCAATAAGTACAAAAGTTCATAATCAAACTTGAATCAACAAACTACGAATATATATTTATGCTTAACTGTAAAAAACAACAACAAAAACGTAATACAATAAAATGGACATTTCTGAACTTTTGGACGGTTAAATGATAATAAAGTAATTATAAAGTAATGGATATAGCTTAATTGACTTTTAATAAGTAAGTATATTGAATGAATGGACGGATAAGGGGACGAGAATAGTACACTAGAGTGCATTGTACATAAAAAACAACTTGTGTATTAAGTTTTCTTAATTGTTGTTTCAGTTTTGAAATCAGAAACCCATGCTCCCTGTTTTTATAGTATGTCATTGAATATAATGAAATGTAATGTAATATTATATAATATAATTATTCCAAAAATTTGTAATTGTCTGATTCAGATCGATGAAATTAAGTTTCAAACCCAGTATTCTAAAGTGTTGTTTATATACATGGAAACTTAAAAAAATATTGTAATTCTAATGAATAAAAAATGTTGCCAACTGTACAAATTAGGTGATTTAACGTGAGTTAAGGCACTTACTATCCAGAAAATTTCCATACTCTGCTAAATACAGGGCAGGATAAAGTAACTTCGGTCAAATGTTGCATGTTAACAAATAAATAATTGTTATACATAAATTCCTCATACCCCGTTAGTTAAGGGGGAAAGATTTTGGTAAAGATAGTAGAAAATTCTATCATAAAGTAAACAAAAACAGTGGTGAATACAAATTTATAAAGCACCATTCATATAAAAAAGATTATCAATCCAAAATAGACAAAGAACAATAACAGTTATCTTTCAACTATAAAACTAAAGACAATATTTACATTTACATTTTTTTCATACATTAACTTATTTTACCATAAACCTTTTGGAAGCCAAAAGTGATTAGCCTTTGCCACCAGTATAGAGCCAGGCTGGTCTGGATCCATGCTGGTCGCAAACACACTATGTTGGTTTTGTCGTGACACGGCTTAAATATTGTCTAAGTAAAAACAATAGTAAAATGATGATTATGACTTTTTTCTAGGCAACACAATTCTGTATGGACGTGTATGGCGGAAGGATGCGAGTTGAATAAACGTCAATATATACAATATGGTGGAAAACACAATTATGATTTTATATGATATATTATTACATATCACAATCTTCAATGAAATCAGAAAAAAAAAATGTAATAAAGCGAATTTGGCAAGTTTAAATTTAAGCATTTATTTTTGAAGCAATTTAATAAATGAGCTGCGTCACGACAAAACTAACATAATGCGTTTGCGACCAGCATGGATCCAGACCAGCCTGCGCATCCGCGCAGTCTGATCAGGATCGATGCTGTTCGCTTACAAATGTATTACAAGTAGAGAAATGATATCGAACAGCATGGATCCTGATCAGACTGCGCGGATGCGAAATCTGGTCTGGATCCATGCTGGTCGCAAACGCATTATGTTGGTTTTGACGTGACGCGGCTCAAATGGTGTTTTCAATGCCAGTGAGCGTCAGCGTTATACAGCTTAGTTTCATTTCAGGATCTAATTAAAAACTTAAGAATTGTAAGGAAAGAAAGAAAGTCGTAGCGGCCCGACCCTAAAATAAAATCGCATCCTCTCCCAACCACCTATAAGACACTATTTTGTCTAACCTTATACGTCGGTTTAATATCATTGTATAATTTAATTGTTGAATGTGAATTTGTAAATATAATAGTTGCATTGTTTACTCATGCACTTGTAAAATTAAGTTTAAAATGCATAACAATATCATTATTCTGTAACATTACGATAGTATTTGTAAGTGGCAAAGTAAACAGTTTCTAAAGTGGTTTTTAGACTGAAATTTACAGTACCTTTATAGCACCACATACAGGAAAATCACACTCTTCTCATTCAAACTACTTGTTTTTCGTAAAATTATGTAAAATGACATTTAATAAAATGAGGGCGGTAGTACAAAATACAAGAAGAAGTTAATAACATATAACTTTATTATCCCTCACTTTTTAGTAATGTTAATTTCTCATAGGCCACTGGGGGTTATTTATACTGTTAATGAAAGTGTACAACGTGACTAAGAAATTTGTTATGTTAATACAATCGCAAATAAAATCGTTAAATATGATAATTAACATATTGGTCTTAATGGCCTTTTATCCGCGTACATTAGCGTTAAAAGAGACGTCAACCAAATGACGTCATAATTTGAAATATCACAACGGATATTGGTGTCAGATTTGTACCGACATAATGAAACAAACGTAATTTTGGCCGACATGAATCAAAATCCCTTTAAAATGCAGTTCAATTATGTTTCTAGTACATGAATCTTTAAAAAAATAATTAAAGTATGGCACCAACTGGAAAATATTTTATATATATTATATAGCCTTACATAGTTATGTTTTAATGCACCTGGAGGTCCTGTCTTCTTGTCGCCAATTACTCATCCTTTCGGTTCTTTTCGTCTATTTTCTGAGAATTTTTAATGCAAACTTGTTGCCTTACTTTTTCATTTTACATCCTGTTTAATCTTCGTTTTTGCACGGATTTAATTAAAGCTGCGGTTATTTAGCATAATAAATAATGTTTGTTCTTTGATAAAAGTTTACACTGCACCAATGAATCGGGGGTTAAAAATTTATGATAAAAAGCAAACTTAATCTTGATGCTCAATATAAATATTTAAACTAAATATGTCAATCTCTGATAACCTCAAGCCCAAATAAACACGTTTAATGTGAAAAAGCGGATCAAGTGAGAACTAGCTTTTATTGCTATGTATCAAATTTATAAGGATATTATATTGAAAGTTTAAGGATCTGTAAAACATAAAAGAAAAACAATTCCCTAGCGTTTAAACTTAATTTTTTTAAATGAATTTTTTGCGACCGATAAATAAAATGTTATTTCAATTTTGTTATAAAATTTCATAACGTCATTGCAAGTATGAGTTGATTTTAAAGGCAACTTTGCAAAAGAAAATATATTAATGAAAGGTTGTAAAAGAAAATTACTTAGCTTGCTTTTTTATAACATCGAAGGAAATTGAAATAATATTACAATCACTATTGTTCAAGGAAATTACGTGTTACATTGAAGTATCCCTGAATTGTTTCTAAAACACTCATGACAACTGTTAACTATCAAAGTCGAATAAAATGTAAACAAAAAGAGACCAAAACTACAACAAAACAAGGCTTGAACATTGATCTTGACCCGCTACCAACTATAAATTTTTCTTCAATCCAATTTTTTGAGTAGCCGTTTTCAGGATGATTAGTTGCATGACTAGTTTTCTGTGTCACATGATCCGAAACAGTCTGTGATTGGCTACTCATTTTTGATGGCACTGAAGTCACGTGATTTGAAACAGTCTGCGATTGGCTTGTTGTTTTAGACGACGTTGACGGTGCCTTAGTAATAACGGCTGGTGACTGGGTTGAATGGTTTGAAGAACTTTCAGTGGAAGGTCTTGCAGCTACAAAAAAAAATTAATGCATGTACCTGTTACTTTGTGAATTTTGAAGTGGATTAAAAGTAATTATTACGCACTTTGTCAGGAAATTGCCAATATCATTTGTTCTAACTTGACATATCAAGAAAATTAGAAAAGTGCCGAAGATGAGCGGATGATTTATTGCAATGTATACCCTTGAACATTATTTTCTGGGGCCTGCATGGCCAACTGGTTAAGATCTTTGACTAATGGGGACCTGCGTGGTCAAGTGGTTAAAATCTCTGATTAGCGGGGACCTGCATGGCCAACTGGTTAAGTTTTTTGACTAGTGGGGACCTGCGTGGTCAAGTGGTTAAAATCTCTGATTAGCGGGGACCTGCATGGCCAACTGGTTATGATCTTTGACTAGTGGGGCCTGCGAGGTCAAGTGGTTAAAATCTCTGACTAGTGGGGACCTGCGTAGTCAAGTGGTTAAGATCTTTGACTAGTGGGGTCCTGCGAAGTCAAGTGGTTAAGATCTTTGACTAGTGGGGACCTGCAAGGCCAAGTCGTTAAAATATCTGACTAGTGGGGACCTGCGTAGTCAAGTGGTTAAGATCTTTGACTAGTGGGGTCCTGCGAAGTCAAGTGGTTAAGATATTTGACTAGTGGGGACCTGCAAGGCCAAGTTGTTTAGATATCTGACAAGAGGGGACCTGCGTGGCCAAGTGGTTAAGATCTCTTAATAGTGGGGACCGGCAAGTGGTTAATCACTTGCCTCTCGCCTCGATCGATTCAAATTATCTCTAGCACTTTAACGGCTTTGGATTATTCAATGCGAAAAAGCAATTCAGAAATGTTACGAATTGTTGATTATCTTATTCAAGTGCCCACATGTGTTTGCAATTATGCACGTAGCAGCACTTGCAGGTGAACAAGAAAATCGTCATTAAATCAAATGTTATTGCCCAATCCGTATCTAAAACTATCATATTTTGTTATCATTCTAGTGTCACTAAGCAAATATTTTTTTAAAAACAACTGCAATGTTAATTTTAACAAGTAATATTTGTGTAAGGTTTAAGTACAAAACATTTTTATAGATTGTAAAGCAATATCGAGTGCAAACATGAATGTGCAATATCATCTAGTGTATAAAGGCAATCGGTGATTTTGATTCAAGGCCGAAATATTTCTATGTGAAATTGTCGATACATCGAGCCCACAGTGCAACATTCAAAAACTAATAGTTTAGATAAAGTTCCAAATAATAATTACAATAAGGCTAGATAGTAGTGTATTTAACAGAAGCCCTGTAACAAGTACAAAGCATCACATAATGTGTTATTTGTGTTTATAACATGGTATCTTAAGTGACAGTAAAATTTATCTCAAAATAGAGTTCCCTAATTCAATGTCGTTAAAGCGGTGTGTAGATCTGTCATTGCAATTTAATCTGTTTAAACGAGAGGTTACTCCACTTTTATTTACATTTTATAACTATACACTCTAACGCTTTTCAAGTTCAAACGTAAGAATCTCTATTGTCAAATGTCGATTTACAAGGTAAAAGGGTCCTTAATCTCTAAAAGCCTGCTTTACATAGTGATCAAGACTAGCTCGGGGGATCGAACTTCTGTGATATGTTAAAGCAGCCACGCAAGCCTACAAAAGGCTGGTGGTTTAACTCATGTTTTTATTCTAAAATAAATCAGAGTAAACTATTTAGGGGATGCATTACGTTAAACACTGGGGTTTATTTTAACTTTTATCATACAAATATTTTCTCCATAGCTGGGCTTGTACCAACAGTTCTGAAATGCAAGGGAAGCGGTGGGCGTTTTCCCCTCAAACCAGGAAAGGTAGACTCGAGCCCTACTCGGGCCTCAACCATGCAAAGTGTTTTTTTCATTTGACACTATAACAGGATAATTTCTGAAGCAGACTTATAAAGAAGTTATAATGTAAGTTGCGAGTGAACTGAAACAAATATGGTTTAAGACTGGGACTCGAAGGCATTATCTTTCACCACTTAAGTCAAGCGGGTTACACAATATGTACATGTATATAAATGACTCACTCGATGTTTTCTGGTCTGGTCGAATGATCTCGTTTGATGGGAGGGGATCATAGACAATCATCATACCACTACTAACATACACGTGCTGGGGAGCCCTAAAACTACTTCTTTTTCTCCTTGACTCTGTAAGAAATCAAACAATCATTTTTTCCCGTCATTAGTTCACATAAATTCGGCATACTTCGACATTTTTTCCCTAGCTAATATTCACTACGGAAGTGCAAAGTTTGATGAATTGATATGCCACCAGTTAAGAGCCTTGTAAGGAAAATATATGTTGGCTGATATACTCGAAAATAAATTTTGTAGCGTTTTCGCCACAAAAAATGCGACACTTTTGACACTGCGGCATCTTTATGCCGGATTTTTTTCACAATTTTAATAACACAAATTTAAAGGGGAACAACCCAGTCTTTATCGCGATTGTTTCCCTTTCAAAGCTTTTCTGTTTTAGTCAAGAATATGAGAACGGTTCATGAAAATAAAAGTTGCTTTTAAGAGATATTATGCTGATATATATAAAAATAGTCAAATCAACTTTTAGCTCGGCGTACTGTTTTCTAAATGTTCCGTTAAAATCTTTTTGAAACACGTGTATAATTATTTGATTTTAAGGTTCGTGTAGCATGAGGAAAAAAAACTGTAAAGCCTGACAGTAGTATTTTCGTTCGAAAAAAATTCTTTTTTCTACAACTTAATGTTGAATGTCGAATCACCTCCATATGTGCTGAAATAGCCATTCTAGTAAAGATATATTCCGGTCTATGTTTTGAAATTTGATTAAATTTACTACAGTGTTGGAGCAGTACCTCTAGACGCTTGCAAAAATCATGATGACAAAGCAGAAAAATTTCGGCGGGTGAAAAGGCGAGATTTTATAATTTAATCAATCAAGCGCTTTGTCCGGTATATACCGGAATGCGGTAATTAGTGTGGTGCTCCAACTCTTTTTTTTAATCACAATCTTTGAACGTACCTGGAGCAGCTGCAGATGTTGAAGTTTCGAAACAGCTCCGGTCACATTGTGGATTTGGGTCGTCATGTTCACAAACATAGGCGTCACAATGTATATACACCTCACTGTACTGTACAAATTTAAACGTCTGGTAACGGTAGCCAAACCACGTGTTATTCAACGGGAAGAAGCCAACCGTCTTGTCAATCAGTACACCTTAAATATATGACAGTAAAATTACAATAACTAAATATAACAAGAATGTGACGAGTACATGTAGTAAAACAGTTTACTGCTACTGAACAGGTATTAATCGGTGTCATATCTGATATATGTCTGATACTACGGTGTCCTGATTGTGCCAGTTGGAACATCGCTAGTTTACGACCTCCTCGAGTTGTTAATTTATCTTAGTTAATGCTCGATTGTCTGTTTGGAGAACGTCTAAAACAGACTGACGAGAGTATATTTTGATTCTCGCAATGATAAAAGTAAAACATGCGACAAATTAAATGTTCAATGTCGCCATATTTTCTTCGAGATAGTGTTAATTGTCTCTGTATTATCAATGCAAAAGATTAAATAGTCCAAATCTCGCCTGTCAAAAAGTGATATTCAAAACAGCCATAATAGGACACCGCACCGACTCAGTCGCCGAAACGACGATTTCCCGTGTTCCACATTATTTGGCAAATAAACAAATAGTAGGCTTTTCACCTTTCTATTACTATAATTTTGATAGTGGATTTTTTTTTATGATTTTATCGGTGGTTTTGTATTTAGTATCTTAGAGTAAGCCTTAGAAGTGACTTTTTTCTGGGTGGTAGCAGGGGTCCTGGCGCTGATAGGGTTGGGTGCCCAAACACTGATACTGCCACCTTTGCTTTGAATGGCCAATTCTTAATTTAAAGAAGCAGAACTATTGGGTCAATTATTTTAACGAGTTATATTTGTATATAGAGTTTAATCATTTTTACTGTTTTGAAACTTGTACATATTAGGCAAAGGGTACACTAAATACAAAACAGATTATAAATACTACAGAAAGGGAAGCATGTTTAACTTAAAGTGTTACGCTAGTGAGTGATTCTCACATGTTGTTCACATAAATGAAAATGTATATAGGTCCCAGAAAAGTGCCCTATGACACGCCGACATTACTGTTTCTTTCTTTTGAAAAGCTAGATAAAACAAAATGTTGTTTTTTTCCGCTTGATAGATATCTAGGCATCCAATTAAGAATATTACATGTAATTGTTTGATTTAAAACGCCGCTCTAATCCAGGGAGGAGATACCGTTTCAACCCTTCCCTTTTCCGATTAAAGAACCAGAGGATATTTGTTTAGTTCAGTGTATTTCATCGAGTGAGCACTAAAAGGTATATTTCACGAGTGACGCAGCAACGAATGAAATGTGAACTTTTGGTGTTCACGAGGTGAAATATATTTCGATCTAACACCAACTAAACAAATTTTCTTTTCATTATATGCAAAGAAACTTTTAAAAATAGTAATAATAAATGAAAAACGTGACAAATACTAATACGACATGACGTCATTTACGACGCCACGTAAATTAAGTTGATTTCCGGTACTTTGCACGCTGGTATTTCACTGAAATAACGTAACGGACTTAAATTTAAAACAGTGAAAAATATCAAATTGATAATTTCACTGTTTGAAACAGTAAAATATCAGTTTTATGCTTCACTGATATATTTCTATAAACCACTTATAAGCATGTAATGAAAAATTATACAGTATCGACACGTGTTTGTTTAAAGATGGCGTTCGTGTTTGTGTGTATGTTTGGGTATCTTTAACAGTTTAATTTGAATGTAGTGAATGCCTTTTGTACCTATGTTTTAGTACGTTATAAGAAAGAGTGATAAACAATGCAAGTTAGACATGTAACAATGATTTACAACATTTAAAAATAACGTTGTTTTTTACTTACTTATCTGTAAATAATGGATATCTGATGGGATCATTCTTATCAGCTGTCGGAGTAGCGTAACAGTTTGGCACGACTAGTTTAAGGTTTTTGTCGACATCTGTCAGCTCCAGGGCCGCGTTTAACCATTCTCCCAGTGGTAACTGCAAAGGAAAGTCGCTAACTGGGACCTTAAAGCTATTATTCCTGAAATCAAATGTAAAGTTTACATGAATACTGTGCATTTATGATATAATGTGACCTAATTACGTAGCATACATTCTGACCTAATCTTGACGGAGGTAAAAGCTAAAAAATATAATTTAATTAAAATAGAATAAAAAAAATAACAAAAATAAATAAATAAGCAAAAAAATAACTAGATATAAGAAAATATCTTTATGATTTGGATAAATAGACAAAAACGTTAACAGCATGCATAATCATATACTCAACGACATTCATCTTAATTATCATATTATATTGTATTGTACTGTATTGCATTACATAACGCTATATTATATAGCCTTTCTATCTTATTCCAATAGAAGAAAACGTAAATGTGAGTGCAGAAAAACTTATATCATGGTACTAGATCCTTTTTCATTTGAGGTTTGACAAATGTAAAAAGATGTTAGAGAGTATCAATTGTATAAGATGGACCCTACAACGACTCAAACCTTTCACATTACTTATAGTGACCGATCCGGGGCAAAACTAAAAGACAGTCGGGCATAAAGTAACACACATTCATGACAAAATCTCATTCTAAACACACTACTATATATATCTCATTTATACCGCCACAATATGAGAAAAATATTATTTTGTGTTTAAAAGCTAAATAGATCATTAAAAAGTAAACGTTTAACGCCAGCAACAATTTAATATCACAAATACAAAGGTTCAATGTAAGAAAGATTTTTTTCTGCGCTCAAACTCAAATCTCCAGCATTTGATTGGTCCGAAACCAGCTTTGACTGAACACTGACCAATGAAAATGCTGATATTTGAGACTGACCTCAGAAAAAAAGATTTATAATCTTGAGGCCAGGGCTAAATGTCAGGGCATCTACAAAGAAGTTCACCAACGTGTTATTTATTACAAACACACTACAACGAGCTACATCCGTTAGAGTTTGCTAAATTAGCCACACATGTACGAAAAATGCTACTTAAAACCATCAAACACTTTGTTGGGCTGTATATGTCACAGATTCTCACACTAGTGTCAATCGACCAAATAATGGAAAAAACAACAACAAAAAAAAAACAAAAAAACATGGATATCAGTGGTGCTTAAAGGTCACTGATGTTTCAAGGATACTAATGAAAGTTGGCCACTGATATTAAAAGGTCACTAATATCCTAAGGTCACTGGTGTTCGCATTTCACAAGGTCTCTTATATTTTAGTTCACTGGTTCTGATGTCGTTGATGTTATAAGGTCACTAACGTTATGAGGTCACTAGTGCTTTGTGGTCATGTGTGACGAGGACACTGGTGTCATGATAACTTACGTGGATGTACCGAAAATACAATGTAGAATGCTACAGAGTACGTTGTTGGACTTAAGTTTTCACGCACACACTTTCTTGCTGATACACATTCAACGATCACATTTTTAACTTATTTGGAAACAAATAGATTCTGCATGTAATCAAAGAATTTGAAAGTACTGATAGAATGTGATTTTTCGATTTATGAAAAAATACACATGTACATATGCATACATATTTTAAGTTCGCACTTGTGTGGGAAATAGTTCTAGATGGCCTTATTCAAGTAAGCTTCTTGATTCTAAAATCTGGACTACTATCTACAGTACTGGACTACTTTCTGAGTTATGTAGCCCTTTCAAAATCAGGGGAGTTAACTGCTGCAGACTTTTATATTCTTGATAGACAGATTTATGTGCCCTTGAAACAATCATTGTATAACGAATGTTGAAACTCTTAAATTTACTGAAGTATTTAGTATGTTCAACGAGTCGTAAGAGTATTCGTTTGTTTGTTCGTCCGTTCGTTTGTGCATGTCTGTCTTTCTGTCTGTCTGTCTTTCTTTCTGTCTGTCTGGGATACAAGAACGTCACCTTTAACCGAAAGGTTTAGGAATATTATGTACTGCGATATGTGGTTGTCAGGTATTGATCGAGTTAACAATGACAAGAACTTCTAAATAATTGGTCACTTATCGAGCCCGGTCGGTCAATATGATAGATACATACCTATTTTGATTCACAATGCCCCATGCACATTCTTGGAATGTCAATAGATTCAAATTCGATAACTTAACGGCCAAACTCAATCGAAAATTACCATTCATAAAAAGGTAATTGAATAGGAATCGTAAATAGATCTATATTTCTATCTGTGACAGATACTAGTATGACCAAAACCGTTAAAAACATGTTAAGATCAAGGAAAGGGAGGTAACTACATGAAATATAATTTGTTTTAGGATTACCTCCCTAGTACCAAACCATTCCTGAAATTAAAGGGCAGAGTAATTTCTCGTATGTTTCGTGAACGTGTTACTTACTATTCAGTGGTGTTTTAGTTATATATACAAAAGTAACACATTATTCTATTTCATAAAATTTCAACTAATAGGTGTATAGTTTGATTAAGGGATATCTATTTCAGGTTTCAAACTTTAATATTTCTAATTGTTCAAATCACCACTTAATAGCGCTTCAAGCCCATCAATACCCGGGGAAAAGTGGGGATTTTGACTTCAGGGGTGCAAATGCCGCTATTTCTTTCATATATATTCAGTCTTGGGCGGGAATGGTCTTATAAAACAATAAATGTGTTTGCCATAAGATATTTGTAATAAGAAAATTAATGGTGACTGAGGTAAAAGCTATAAATAGCTCGCCGCTATGGTAATAAAAGTGATGACGTCAAAATAAGGTAAAAATAACTTTGATATATAAGGCCAATTAGCACGAAGAAAAAACAACGGCCGCGGCTGCGGCGTGCCGATGTATATATATATAAGACATTTATTTATGAATATAACATAATGGTGTTCAGATAACTTTTTTTATTTAGACTCCATTTTCGAAGAATTTCGGCTTACCTGTAGAAATGCATATTGACTAAAAACTCTCCCGGAGCCACTTGTGTTACGGTTTCTGTAAGAGGTTGAATTGGCTTGTCAGCAACGACGTCACGTGGTAACTCACACTGCACGTGCACCATGTATGTGTTAGCATTGCTCACGTCACCAGTCGATGAAGTAGGTAAATATCTTATGATACTTTTGTATATGATATGTGTGGAATTTGACTGAAATTTATATATATATATATATAAATATACAAATACTTAAAAAATAAGAAATGTGTAGCCCTATTAAGCTGGAAATGAAATTGAATTTTTAAATCTTAAAATGAATAAAAAATATGTGCACTTAGTTTAGCTTTTAAATTAATTTCAGTTTTAAAAGTTAAAGAGTGTCTTCAATAAATGCTTATCAACCATACATGAACATGCATATCACCTGCCGAAACCTTAACCATCACTTATAAATCTAAACATGCATTGTGAACCTAAATATATACGCTATGAATAAACAAAAATCCCATATAAACTATTTCTATCTTTTAAATCTAAACCTGCCTGATTTGCCTAGATATAAGACTGCCGTATAAACCGAATATCTACCTAATAAATTTAAACATGTCTCATGAATCTACACATGCCTAATGATATAAACATGCATCATGAATCTACACATGGCTCATAAATGTAAACATGCCCCATGAATCTAAACATACCTTGTGTATCTTAACATGCCTCATGAATCTATACATGCCTCATGAATTTACACATGCCTAATGATTTAAACATGCCTCAGGAATCTACATATGCCTAATGATCTAAACATGCCTCATGAATCTAAACATTCCTCATGATCTAAACATGCCTCATGAATCTAAACATGCCTTATGAATCTACACATGCTTCATGAAAATAAACATGCCTCATGAATCTGGACATGCCTCATGAATCTAAACATACCTTGTGTATCTTAACATACATCATGAATCTAAACATACCTCATGAATCTAAACATACCTCATGAATCTAAACATGCCTCATAAATCTAAACATACATCATGAATCTAAACATTCCTCATGATCTAAATATGCCTCATGAATCTAAACATGCCTCATAAATCTAAACATACATCATGAATCTAAACATTCCTCATGATCTAAACATGCCTCATGAATCTAAACATACCTCATGAATCTAAACATGCCTCATAAATCTAAACATACATCATGAATCTAAACATTCCTCATGATCTAAATATGCCTCATGAATCTGAACATGCCCCATAAATCTAAAACTGTATCTAAACATGCCTCATGAATCTATACATGCCTCATGAATCTTAACATGCCCCATAAATCTAATCATGCCTTATGAATCTAAACATACCTTGTGTATCAAACATGCCTCATGAATCTAAACATGCCTCATGTATCTAAACATGCCTCATAAATCTATACATCTAAACATGCCTCATGAATCCAAAAATGCCTCATGAATCTAAACATGCCTCATGAATCTAAACATGCCCCATAAATCTAAACATGCCTCATGTATCTATACATGCCTCATAAATCTAAACATGCCCCATGAATCTAAACATGCCTCACGAATTTAAACATGCCTCATGAATCTGAACATGCGTCATAAATCTTAACATACCTTGTGTATCTAAACATGCCTCATAAATCTAAACATGCCCCATGAATCTAAACATGCCTCATGAATCTGAACATGCCTCATAAATCTTAACATACCTTGTGTATCTAAACATGCCTCATAAATCTAAACATGCCCCATGAATCTAAACATGCATCATGAATATAAACATGCCTCATGAATCTTAACATGCCTCATGAATCTAAACATGCCTCATGAATCTAAACATGCCTCATGAATCTAAACATGCCCCATAAATCTAAACATGCCTCATGTATCTAAACATGCCTTATGAATCTAAACATGCCTCATAAATCTAAACATGCCCCATGAATCTAAACATTCCTTATGAATGTATACATGCCTCAAGAATCTAAACATACCTCATGAATCTAAACATGCCTCATGAATCTAAACATGCCTCATGAATCCAAACATGCCTCATGAATCTAAACATGCCTTATGAGTATAAACATCACTCATGTACCTGAATCTTAACATGCCTCGTGGTTCTTAATATTCCTCATTATCTAAACATTCCTTATGAATGTATACATGCCTTAAGAATCTAAACATACCTCATGAATCTAAACATGCCTCAAGAATCTAAACATGCCCCATGAAACTAAACATGCCTCATGAATCTATACATGCCTCATGAATCCAAACTTGCCTCATGAATCTAAACATGCCTTATGAGTATAAACATCACACATGTACCTTAACATGCTTCATGAATCTTAACATGCCTCGTGGTTCTAAATATTCCTCATTATCTAAACATTCCTTATGAATGTATACATGCCTTAAGAATCTAAACATACCTCATGAATATAAACATACCTCATGAATATAAACATGCCTCATGAATCTAAACATACTTTCTTTATCTAAACAACCTCATGAATCTAAACATGCCTCATAAATCTAAACATGCCTCATGAATCTATACATGCCTCATGAATCTAAACATGCCTCATGATTCTAAACATGCCTCATGAATCTAAACATGCCTTGTGAGTATAAACATAACTCATGTATCTGAACATGCTTCATGAATCTACACATGCCTCGTGTTTCTAAATATTCCTCATTATCTTAACATTCCTTATGAATGTATAAATACCATGTGTATCTAAACATGCCTCATGAATCTAAACATGCCTCATAAATCTAAACATGCATTATTAATCTAAACATGCCTCATGAATCTAAACATACCTTGTGTATCTAAACATGCCTCATGAATCTAAACATGCCTCATAAATCTAAACATGCATCATGAATATAAACATGCCTCATGAATCTAAACATGCCTCATGAATCTAAACATGCCTCATGAATCTAAACATGCATCATTAATCTAAACATGCATCATTAATCTAAACATGCCTCATAAATCTAAACATGCCTCATAAATCTAAACATGCCTCATGAATCTATACATGCATCATGAATCTAAACATGCCTTATGAGTATAAACATAACTCATGTATCTTTACATGTTTCATGAATCTAAACATGCCTCGTGGTTCTAAATATTCCTCATTATCTAAATATTTCTTATGAATGTATTAATGCCTCAAGAATCTAAACATGCCTCATGAATCTAAACATACCTTCTTTATCTAAACAACCTCATGAATCTAAACATGCCTCATAAATCTAAACATGCATCATGAATCTAAACATGCCTCATGATCTAAATATGCCTCATGAATCTAAACATGCCTCATGAATCTAAACATGCCTCATGAATCTAAACATGCCTCATGAATCTAAACATGCCTCATGAATCTAAACATGCCTCATGAATCTAAACAAACCTTGTGTATCTAAACATGCCTCATAAATATAAACATGCCCCATGAATCTAAACATGCCTCATGAATCTATACATGCCTTATGAATCTAAACATGCCTCATGAATCTAAACATGCCATATGAGTATAAACATGCCTCATGTATCTTAACATGCTTCATGAATCTAAACATGCCTCATGAATCTAAACATACCCTGTGTACCTAAACATGCCTTATGAATCTATAACATGCCTCATGAATCTAAACATGCCTCATGAATCTAAACATGCCATATGAGTATAAACATGCCTCATGAATCTTAACATGCTTCATGAATCTAAACATGCCTCATGGTTCTAAATATTCCTCATTATCTAAACATTCCTTATGAATGTATACATGCCTCAAGAATCTAAACATACTTCATGAATCTAAACATGCCTCATGAATCTAAACATACCTTGTGTATCTATACATGCCTCATGAATCTAAACATGCCTCATAAATCTAAACATGCCTCATGAATCTAAACATGCCTCATAAATCTAAACATGCATCATGAATCTAAACATGCCTCATGAATCTAAACATGCATCATGAATATAAACATGCCTCATGAATCTAAACATACCTCATGAATCTAAACATGCCTCATAAATCTAAACATGCATCATGAATATAAACATGCCTCATGAATGTAAACATGCCTCATGAATCTAAACATGCATCATGAATCTCAGCATGCTTTTAAGGCTAAACGTGCATTGCTCTGTTAATCTTGCGATGTAAAATACCTTACCTTGATTTTTTTTTAATCTGAGAAAACTATTTTTAAGAAATTTTGTGAGCAATTATCATAAAAAGTTCTTATTTACACAAATATAATATACATGTAAAAGGAAATTACACTTCTCTGGGTACCGCATTCATCGAAAGGAATTTGAATTGTGACGTAGTCATCGTCTTTTGTTTTAACCACGTTACACGGTCCGGTATAGGTCAAGGCTACAGACAAATGTTTTTCGTCTAAGAACTCATCCCTTGATCTGGCAAAGCTACTCGACAGAAGTCCGTTCGTACAGTCCAATAACGGTTCTGGTCCTATTGTAAAACAATAAGGGTTCAATTTTTTAACTTTTTTGTAACTTTAATTTAAAAATAAATTTGTCTGTTCATTTTACAGTGTTTTTTAAATAAAATACCAATAAATTAAGATGCTCAGCGGTTTATTATTATGCCTGAGCATAGACCTAATTTGCAGAAAGTTAATAGAAACAAAGTGACCTTTTACACACATAAAAAATGGTTCTAATGTATATAATGAATTACCGAATTTAGCGGCGTATAGCCACAAGGGATAATTTACAAAACGCTCAATACCAAAAGTTTTCAGTCCATTTTACTAGAAATTTAGATGATATGTCCTTCCATATACCATTTTATGCTAGAAAAGTGCGGTATAATATAAGAAATAGCACACAGTACTTCGGCCCTCATACATTATAGTGACCTCCCAGTCAGCCTGAAAGATTGAACGCCCTAGCCTTCGGCTTCCGTCGGTTATATGCTCCTTTAACTTGGCTGACTGATCGGTCACTATCATTATTCTATGAGGCCCTCGGTGCTGTGTATTATTTCTTAAAATTTAGTTCATTGACAAGATATGGTAATTAAATTGGAACTTGCTCCCGGGTGGCGCATTGTTCAGATCAACACATGTCACTTTAGCCATTTCACTACGCTGGCAAATGCCCTCTGTCCACGCTGATTGTCCGCATTCGGTTATTGATCTCTCGTTTCCAGTGCAGGCAACGTTATCAACTGTCATTGGTTCCGTCACAACTGATGTATCGAACGCCGGGCCTCCTGGGAGAGCTTTATCTACACTGTAAATAAGTAAAATAAAATAATACAGTGTACTGTGTACAGAGACACATCAACTCTCTGTGATTGCCAAAATAAAAGATACAATTTGCATTATATAAGATTGCAATATATGACACTGTAACCCATACACATGACATTAGCACAATAACCCATACACATGACATAAGCACAATAACCCATACACATAACATTAGCACAATAATCCATGCACATTACATAAGCACAATAACCCATACACATAACATAAGCACAATACCCCATACATATAACATAAGCACAATAATACATGCACACAACATTAGCACAATAACCCATACACATAACATTAGCACAATAACCCATACACATAACATAAGCACAATAACCCATACACATAACATAAGCACAATAACCCATACACATGACATTAGCACAATAACCCATACACATAACATTAGCACAATAATCCATGCACATAACATAAGCACAATAACCCATACACATAACATAAGCACCATAACCCGTACACATAACATTAGCACACAAACCCATACACATAACATAAGCACAATAATCCATACTATTAACATTAGCACAATAACTCATGCACATAACATTAGGACAATAACCCGTACACAGAACATAAGCACAATAACCCGTACACATAACATTAGCACAATAACTCATGCACATAACATTAGCACAATGACACATGCACATAACATTAGGACAATAACCCGTACACATAACATAAGCACCATAACCCGTACACATAACATTAGCGCAATAACCCATACACATAACATTAGCACCATAACCCGTACACATAACATTAGCACACTAACCCATACACATAACATAAGCACAATAATCCATACACATAACATTAGCGCAATAACCTGTACACATAACATTAGCACAATAACCCATACACATAACATAAGCACAATAACCCGTACACATAACATTAGCACAATAACTCATGCACATAACATTAGCACAATGACACATGCACATAACATTAGGACAATAACCCGTACACATAACATAAGCACCATAACCCGTACACATAACATTAGCGCAATAACCCATACACATAACATTAGCACCATAACCCGTACACATAACATTAGCACACTAACCCATACACATAACATAAGCACAATAATCCATACAAATAACATTAGCACAATAACTCATGCACATAACATAAGCACAATAATCCATACAAATAACATTAGCACAATAATCCATACACATAACATGCACATAACATAAGCCTAATAACTCAAACACAACGTAAGACTCGCAATAAATGATACAGTGCTTCTAATACGGATAAACGGTCTTCAACAGGGAAGTTATATCTTTCTGTTTAGAATACCCTTCATTTTCTTAATGTCCTAGAATAAAAATATTCGATATTATAATAATAATTCATATCCAATAATTTGACAGGAAGGGGAGAAAATATTACTTCTTTGCAGAAACTTTATTTTATCTTCGTTTAAAAATCTCGGTTTCTTATGGTGGCTGATTTCTGCCATTCGCGTTTTCGCCCCGCGACCCCGCCAAGCGAAAAGTCGAAAATTACAAGTTAAAAATGGCGGGGCGCGCAGCAAAAACACGCTAATAAGCGAGGGCGCACGGCGAAGTTTCATTTATTTAACTTCACCCCGCGCCCCCGCTAATAAGCGTGTTTTCGTCCAGCGACCCCGCCGTTTTATTTCTTAAATCTCGCTCCGCGCTCCCGCGGGCCGAAGTTTATTGATTAAACTTCGCCCCGCGCCCTCGCCAATAAGCGTGTTTTCGCTGCGCGCCCCCACCAGTTAACATGTTTATTATCGTGTTAATTATCGACTTTTCGCTTGGCGGGGTCGCGGGACGAAAACACGTTAATTAGCGGGGAGTTTCATTTATTAAACTTCGCCCTGCGATCCCGCTAATTAGCGTGTTTTCGTCCCGCGACCCTGCCGTTTTATTTTTTAAATCTCGCTCCGCGGCCCCGCGGGGCGAAGTTTTATTTATTAAACTTCGCCCCGCGCCCTCGCTAATTAGCGTGTTTTCGCTGCGCGCCCCCGCCAGTTTTAACTTGTAAATTTTCGATTTTTCGCTTGGCGGCGTCGCGGGGCGAAAACACGAGTGGCACAAATCAGCCACCATAGTTTCTTATGTTACTGCATGTAATTTATTTAACATAATAAAAAACTTACTCAAAACAAAGCATACGGCATACAACTTTAGCATCTGATAGATCCCACCCATTATCGCATACCCCGCCCCAAACGCCATTCCTTCTAATCTGGACAACGCCTACTCCATCTAAATTGGAAGGTCCAATTACTCTTATATTTTCATCAGGTTGTGTGCCTGCAAAACAAGTGTGAAACTATCAATCTCTTTGCGGTCTACTACATTGTAAAACAGCTACGGGTCATAACATGTATCTAGGTAAAATGATCCAAATCCCGAATTTATGAATAATTATTTCTATTAAACGGTTGTATAGAAATTTACATATTTGCAATACCTTACCGATTACAAATGAGTGTCCTTTTCCGGAATTTTACGGACAGCGGCGAAAGGTTGCGGCATCAATGCCAGCAATTCAAATGTTAAAGCAGAGCGACGTTATAGTAAAATGAATGAATACTTAACAGACAATCATATTTTGAAAGTTTTTTTTCTCGCATAATTACAGTTTAACGAACATAGAAAAATAGATTTAGAACTACTTACAGTTGCCAGTGCCCGGAATCACCGGGGCTTCTGTGGGAGCTGGGGTTATGGTTGGTCGGGGCGTGACGGATGATGGCGGACAGATGACGCCAACGTCTTCAGCATGTGTACAATCAGATACATTCCAACCACCAAATGGACAGTCTGTTAGCCGTTGTTCCGTTGCTTGGCAATTAATTGAGTCTATTAAAATATCACCAGTTCCTGGTCCAAACCTTCCATCAAGAACTTCTATACCGTTTGACGGATCACTAAAAAAGAAGTTTTTGTTTTGAAATGGAACAGATTTACCTCAGTTATTCAAATGTTGTGCTTTTCAAAAGATATAATAATAATTATGCTGGTAGTTTGGCAATAGATATCTATTTTTAATATACAATTACATATACCCGTGCTTTACTGTTTTACGTAAAACAAAACTTCCTTGAAATTACATAATCAACATTCTTAGAAAATAATTGGGAGACCTTAAGTACTATTGGGAATTTCTTTGAAGCATCGATAGCCCAAAATACTTATTTCAAATACTTACGAAGCCCCTAATTGTCGGCAAACAACAACAGCTTCTGACTTATCGAACCCGTCGTCACATACTGTACCCCATCGTCCTCTATAATACACCTCAACTCTGCCTTGTGTCGAAGTACTGTTGATACCTCTCAATCGAATATCTCCATCATTATCTAGAATGATAACCAAGTCATATATGAGCCGCAACATGACAAAACCAACAAAATGGGCGCAGTCTGATCAGGATCCATGCTGTTCACATATAAGTTTCTCTACTTGTTATAGAGAATATAAGCCAACAGCATGGATCATGATCAGACTGCATGCTGGATTGGATCCATGCTGGTCGCAAACAAATTATGTTGGTTTTGTAATAGCGCGGCTCATATACAAGCCGTCTCTAGAAGCCCACATGGGTGATGTTTCACTTCAGAAGCTATATTTATACAGATCTAATAGAGAGTGCATAAGTTTAGTACATGAAAAGCCAGGGAGGAAACTCGCGACGAGGGTGGATTATCACCCGGGAGCAACTAAGAATGAACTAATGAATAAATGGATTTCAAATTATATTTTGTCATTCATATTTGTGCAATGTTACCACATATGAGAGATAGAATAAATTTAAGGTATAATAGTGGAAAAGTTTTAACAATTTTTTTTGTAAATGTATTATGTAAAGAAATAAAAATTAAGTGCATGTATGTATGGTATTGCATATAACTGTAAATGTGTTTTGCACAGAACAGAACATACTCTTTATTCGGAAAACACATTTTATTCGGAAAACACATATTTCAAAAATATTGAATTTTGCAATAACATGTGTGCAAATTTTTTAGATTATAAGCAGTTAGAATGATTAATATGTAACTGAGAAAAGAATTTACATACAGAGTACAAACAAAGTAACTATACAGTAAATATGACTAAATCTCAGCTCATCTGACATTCAAAAATAGTGTTTCAATCTCTTTTCTTTGTATGAATTGTGTGTGTGTTTTTTTTTAATATTTTCTTTTACCAATGTGATCCGATTGAAATGAAAGACGTGAAAATATAATTGAAACTGGTAGGTCTAGTATTAAAGAAAAACGGAAACTAAAATAGAAGGAAAAAGAAAAAATAATAAGAGTATATGCGTAGTATTACATGTAATACAATGTCATGGTGCATTAAAAGTATTGAACTGATTTAAGTTAACAAAGTACAAAGTATAAAGTGACAACAATAAAAAGGTTAAGGAATGAGACGAATGCTTGAATACCCTCAATATATAAGAAAGTGCACAGATGAGGGGAGATAATAAAATGGCTTTACTTGAAATATATAGTTGCATTTACTTCCCTTCAATTAAGAAAGCTTTCAATATACATGTATATGGCAAGTTGCGACACAGCACTGATATTCGTGAAGTAAATAAAAAGACCCAGGTTATACTCAAGTGAAGGCGTTCCGAATGTTGTAATAAATGATCTTTTTTATCTATAACTGAATTAAACTTGAACGGTGAAGAGGTATATTAACGAACGCCGTTCCTTGGCAGATTTATAATGGGTAACCATTTTAGCTGACCTTAAGATAGGAGCACATGAAAAGAATAGATATAAATTACACAAAAAATTAGATAAATAAAATAAAGTCATAAATCAAAAAATATACATTTCATAAAATTTGGCAAGAGCTGAACCACCCATTTTAAACAAACAAAACAAACAAATAATAAATTTTATTACTCAACAGTATTATAAAATGAACTTTGAATGCCGGCTCAATACGCAGGTATAAACATAATACTTTTTCGATAAAAAAAACAACAACAGCATATACCCTCAATTTATATGCACGCTCAAACAGTATCAGGCTGATTTTTTGGCAACTTTGCATTGGGCGTTAAACAGGGCAGTAATTTGTGAGGTCACATTACGACATTGCAAAACACGCATAATAAATTAGTCATTGATTTACAAGTTTAATTGTTTTCCTTATTTTTAAGTAAACATATTTAAAGAAAAATAAAAAAGGTCTTTAATTGGCAGTCCACCCAGCTAAGCTATCGACATGCTAAAAATTAACACAGTCTTAAGTTAATATATAATCCTTCTTAAATAAAAGAACGATCATATTTTGAGAAGGTTTATATTTTTTATCTTAACAATTAGAACTACAGGGTAACATAATACAAATCATACTAGGTTTTTAATTACTTATTCATATTAAGAGTACAATTATATTAAGAGGACAATTTCATTGAAATGGGGCGACTATCAATAGAATTAATACACACGTGCGCTTCAAAATATCAAATTTCTATAATACATTGTTATTTCTACACATGTAATAAATAATTTATCTTTCTATCTCACATTCTCACAAAGCCTTACAATAGGTCAACTTTAAAGATTGTGTACATCATTAACAATATATGATAAATATTTACTAACATAGAGTTAGCTAATATATAATATGCCTTATCTATAATAATTTTTGATAAATTCATATTTGGCATAATATAACATGAGCATATATAGATAGCATGCAAAAAACAAGTTTATTTTCAATTTGTTTAATCAAGTCTCTTTAATAAAAAGGATCTTAATGCCCCTTCATGGTCATGACATACATTTTTAACCAAAACTAAAAAATACTTTGTTTTCTTTGGGTTTGAAAAGCACACACACATAGAGAGAATAATAAGTATGTAAATAATGTACATTTTACTTTTATATGCATAGTTTTACTTTATTCAAGTCGACTTTAACACGATATAATTAGGGGGGGGGGTCATTCAGGAAAAAGGGCGATCTCTCGTAAATCAACAACTCCCAGTATTAATACTTAGTATTTGTTTACATGTTTACATTGTGTAGCTTAGGATGTGTATCTAGATAATAAAATCTTTAAAACATTATAATATTGTGTCTTTGAATTCTAAATTGTATCCGTTCTAGGAATTCATACTATTTGACGGAAAAGGCCGAAAGTTGGTTTGGGTGCTAGAAACCACTGCGGGGTATTCATTGCAGAAAGCTGTATATATACGTAGCACCATGAGTCACGATTAAAAAACAAAAAACAACAACAAAACATGCAAATGCCGCATTGATCAGTAAAATTAATAAATTTGACTGCCATCTATATTATATATATACAGTTAGAAATATCTATTCTATATGAAAATGTTGTGACAGAATTATAGCAGGTCACCACCGTAAGTCTAAATATAACTTTAAAAAATCAGAAATGATGCCTATCGGTAAGCATCTATATTATTATTTTTATATACTTGTTGAATAAACTAGACTTATCAAAAAGAATTTAGTTAATACGAATTTATTTTAGTTCGATTATGTTGGAAGCTATAAGATTATTGAAACACTATCGAATCCGTTTCGGAACCAACCAGGAGTAAGCTTCTTGCTCAAGGGGTTTGAACCCACGCGGTCAGCAATCCTGCGATTACTAGACCGACGCGTTTACCACTCGGCCACGCCGCCACTCTAAGGAATATTTTAAGACTTAGATCTATACTTACTCTGTGACGAAACTTCAGCTGGTAACAGTGGGCCTAAAACCGAGAGAATCATAAATGCACTGGTAAAATGCACGTCATATTTTCCACCCATCTTTTAATATAAAACTATGAATGTTTTAGTCGTCTATAAACTCACAATTTTTTTAATTATTAAGATTAAAACCAATCGATATAAAAACTTAGAAAAAAACACTATTGATTCAATTCGGGTTTTGTAATAACCGCGAAAACACTGTACATATATATACATAAGTACGCGTATACTTAATACTGAGAGGCACTGAGGCGAAAACTATACGGAAGCCAATGAAAAATGGCGTAGATCCAGCATTCGATAATAAGAAGTTTTTTTTTTTAAATAAATAAATTTAATTAAAATAGTCTTTTTAAAGACACATCCCAATACATTTATTTATTGCGATAATTAATTAAAGTTATATATCATAAGTCAGCCCCAAATATTGCAGGCCTCGGTCCGTTTACATTTTTGCACGATGTTGGTTTCTACAATCTTAGGAGGCCTTTAATGCCGTCTGCTTTATAATGATGTAACCTAATGAATGCACTTAAAAGTCTTTGCGATGATATAAACTAATGATAATATAATTTTTTTCTTTTCTTTAAATGATGTTTGAGAGACAAATGGGCCTGAACGTTGTCAAGGTGTGTGGGGGAGGGGGACCCCATTCTCTGGCAGATTTATAATTTGTTAACATTTAAAACATTTAAAATATCCTTAAGATCGCAGTATACATGCTATCTTTATATAAAACACACCTGAAGTGTCTTTTAAGTAATAACATTAGGGTTGGTTACAATTTGTTAAAATCTGTTCCACCTACATTAAACAAACACAGTGATAAATTTTATTACTTAACATTATAATGAATGAGAACTTTGGTATAGATATACTTTTTTTAGACATAATTATCTTTCAACAAAGCGAAAGTAACTGTACCTCTTATTTGTGTACATTATTCATGGAAAAATCATAAAAAAATTGTCAACCCATAAATATTCGATTTAGGCTGGGCGTTAAGTAGGGCGGTTATTTGTTAGGTCACATTACGACATTGGAAATCGTAAACAAAGTAATATAGAACAAAACAATGGATAATAAATTAGTCATTGATATACAAAATTGTTATATGATATACATTGTTTTGCTTATTTTCAAGCAAAAACTTAAGATATTTCTAAAACTTTTTTAAAGCTTTGTTATTGATTAGTTTCGTTCTTGTTTTTATTCTTAAAACTAACAGACTTGAATTACTAATTCTTTTTGAATAAAAGAACGATTATAGTTTTTTGGAGATTTATAGCAAAAAAAATGAATTTCAAGGAACCTAAAAAAACGAATTTTAAAGTGCTTTCATGGAAATTTACCCTCTATTAATAGAATACACACATTGCATTTCAAAATAACAGGATATTAAATTTCTCCTTGTCCTTCATACAAGTTTATGAAATATTTAATATTTTATCTCCTAACTTTAGAATCAATCAGTTGATTAATAAATAGACCAGATCATATGTAAACAGTTTATTGAGCTTGGTATACTTTGTACGTGATATATTAAACATGCGTCTTTTTAATGACCAATTAATTTGCTATCAAAAATATAATCACATTTATAGAAGCCAATACACTGAAATTCGAACATAACACCTTAACTGTTAAACAAATATACTAGTTACAAACGAGTGTGTTAGATATTATCATAAAATCTCAGCAAGCAGATTTTCCATCATCTATTTCAAATCATAGCTAGGTAATCTATAAATTTCCTAAATCTATCTACGGGCAGTGATTTTTCACCTTATATAACAAAGGCCTATAAAAAGGCCTCTTCCAAATCGAACTTTTCTTTGAAAGCATGTATATATAGTTTTCCCAAATATCTGAACTTACACCAACTTTTTTACTTCCAAAAATTAGCATTTTTAGCGATAATTTCCCCTAAAATCAAGAGATTATTGGGAAAAATCTGACGGACTGACATGAACATTACACGCTTTAGTCTACAGTTCGTTTTTCACCCTTTTTTAGCCGACTGAACCTTTATGTTCAGATATGTTCCTCTGCATTTTCTTTTTCTGCATAATCTTTACAATTATCTTCAGAATCTACTATTTCTGTACACTGCCAGACAGTTTCGAAAGTTACAGCAATATGATTTCTAACTTGTATTTGTATCAAAGTGATTATGTTTTATTGTGTTATGTTTTCTGTGTTTCTGTTCATGCATGTATCACAATGTCCCGAAATTCAGGAGTCACAGTATAGCATGATGTTGCTCCAGTTATCAATTGCCTCCTGTAATTTCAATAATCCCTGCACTACTTTAGCATTTATGTAACAGAATATGCTTTACTGCTGTTTCATAATCGTCAATTATGTATTGAAATGATACGAAATCGATTTCTCGTTCATGCGATAGTCCTGGTTTGGCTGCTTCAGCCGCTGTTCGCGTCCACCCACCCCTCCCCCATGACTTGCATATAATTCCACAGAGCATGCATGCCTTGACTCCAAAATCGTGTTTGTGATTCCTTACAACTGGTTTCGGTACTGTGAAGGAAGTGTACCCATCCTAGTGTATCAATACAATTCGTGCACTTCTATCAAGACTTGATCTTATTACCAGTAAGAATAGAAATCATGAATGCTGTGTTGTAATGGTTTAACCTAGAGTCGAATGCAAAGTTCTTTTGTACAGCCATCTGTAGTATGAAGTTGCTCATCAGTTGTTAAAACAGTTTGTTTATTTTTTTTCTTCTGAGAAATCCATCTAGATCATATGATGTTTGTTTTCAAAGTTTAAAGAGCAGCTTTTGTCTGCTGTTTCTTTGCACTGTTGATTAATTCATGTTTTCTTCAAAATAAGACCTCTTGCTTTATAGCGCTTGTATGGTTCTTCCATGTAACTGCTTTATTTGTTTGTCTCTCTAATTTTAATCACAGGGGCAAGACAATATGATCTGATATCCCCTCCCTCCTTCTCCCTCAAATTCCCTTCCCTCAAGTACCTGCTACAACCCGTAAAAAATAATAAATAAAGGTTAATTTCCATATGTACAAACAATAATAATATTATGACTATATATAAAACTCTACAAGACAATTTTCAACATACTTTATTATAAGTTTAAAACTTAAAAGTTATTATTATTATTGTTGTTGTTGTTGTTGTAATTTAATAAAAATAATAATAATTAAATGGGGAAATTGATTTTTATTTATAACTTATGGAGTTGTAACAGGGACTAGAGGGAGTGGTTCGTGGGTAGAATCAGATCACACAGCGTCTTATATATTATGTGATCTTAATTCTAATTGCTATTTTTCTTGTTTTTTTTTTCCATGATAATAGTTGATTTTCCAGGATAACAGTAGAATTTTTGAGTTGTAAAATTTCAGTCTGGTGGTGTTGGAAGTTTTCACTCCGGATCACGGCAGTAAGCCACATTGGATTTGCCAGAGCACAGATCAGCCACGCATGTGCAGGCTGTCAACAAGTCTACCAGTATTAGTTGCCTCCACTTTCGAAAGTAACTGAAATTCTGTACTTGCCAGACCAGAGATACAGTGCGAATGACCGTAGAAAAGAAATTCATAATCAATGACAACGAAACTTCGGGCAACCCGGCTTCGATTCCCGGACAGGTGACCTGCACCGTTCGGGAATCGAACCTGGGTCGCCTGATTCACACTTCAACGCCCTACCTATTGAGCTAACCGGACGGCTGAAATTGTAAAATTTCAATCTCAACAGAGTTACAGTACAGTAGTGTTATATCTGCAGTGGTAAATGACAATAATAGATTATTCCATGCTACTACTAGAAGTCGTGTACGTAACTAACCTGCTGGACAGGCGTAGGGTAACTACTGTGAAGCAAAATACTGTAAACAAATTTTTGCCAATGTTATAAATTGTGACTATTATTTGATGAACCATATAGTCACATAGTCGCAAAGGGTTATGCAATTATCAGACTTAGAACAGTTTTTCTAGCTACAGACGCTTCTTGGTGTCAGATCCTGCCCCCCCCCCCATGTGATAAGCAGCTGTAACCCTCAAAATCTTATTGAGAATTTATGGTAAAAGTTTTTTTTTATTCGACATGTGAAAATTGTTTGAAAACCAGTTTTACCGTTGTAACAGATAGCGAATCGTCGGATACCCACGATTGATAAACATATCATAACATGCTGATGAATGATTCGGCCGTGGGTATCCGACGATGCAGATAGCGATCCAATCGGGATCATCCCATTCGTTTAAATTTGAATGTTAAATATCTTTGATTCTAGTGTTTACAGGGATGTAGATCTAGATCTATACAGTACTGTACTGTACAGAAGGGTCAGCCAGGGTACAGTACAGTATGGACCCAAGCGTCTGTGCTTCTAGCCAGTCCTTGTACATAGAGCTTGTATTGCCCATTTAGTTATTCTGGCAAATAGTCACACACATTTTAAGGAAATATTAAGAAGTTGAATACCACCGTTTATAAATTAGTTAAACCCTGTGAAAATTAGTGACGTCATTGACCAGTGTTTCTCGATGACGTTTGAATTTGATGACGTAGGCCAGATACATTCAGGTTAGTTTTTTTAACAGGTCCTCTTTTCATGTACTTCTCAAGTATATTAAAGGTTATAAAATTTGATAGCCAACTACAATATTTCTAGATCAAAATAAAATTCATCTCAAAAAGTTTCTGTCAGAATACCCGGTTACCTCGACTCGAGCCGTCGAGGCTCCATAAACATTCAAAAATGAAAGTAGGGTCTACATGTAAAAAACTTTTAACATCCGTCAAAGCAATTTTATTATAGCTTTGAAGTTGTTCAATAAGTCATATACAAGACGTGTATCATAAATCTTAAACATTAAGGAAAGTGAAAACAATTTCCAGATCTACTTACTCTGCTGTGTCGAAACCTCAGCTGGTAGCATTAGACCTAAAATTGAGAAAATCGTAAAAACACCGGTGAAATGCACTCCATACTTTCCTCCCATCTTGTAACATACCATACCACGTTTAAACCGTCTATTTCACTATCTTATTCTTAATTCTTTCTACATTGCAGATCACCAGTTAATCAAATTAAGTCACCTTGTGAAAACCACGCGATCTTTTATGATATCAATCTAAAGTAACTAAAATTACGAAAACACTTGTGTGATTAAAAATAAATCGTGATTAAACACATTATATTGTGTATAGAAAGTGAGATCGATTTTTTATTTAGGTAGGATGAAAGTGATAAGTAAACTTTTACTGTAACACCGTTGTTATAGGAAACCGATAAACAGGTGCGACACTTCACTGTCACAGCTTGCAATTATTGATCGAAATCATTTAATTTATCAACAAGTCGCTGCTCCCAAAGGAAAAGTATGAATGGACAAAAGCAGAGATATCAAATTTATACCATAGCATTTCATCTCAACACTATTGGTGGCCAAATTTTACACAAAGTTTATGAATTTTTAAGTTTGTCGCAGAGGTTCGAAAGTGTAACGCCTTCTTTTCAGACAAGAGTGATCTTGCATTTACTCTCGGCGCTATTTTCCTCGATGTATTGAAGTCTCGTCAATTTAATCCTAGCTGTGTATCGATTATTTACCTTCAAATGCAATGAATGATTCAATTTATATAGATCTATAATGCAGGAATTTGCTTTATTAGTCGTAACATGAAAATTGAAAACTTGAAATTAGGTATGTAGAATTAAAATTTACCAAACGTGACCAGGGATATTGATTTATGGTTACACTTTTAACGATGGTTGACATATTTCTTGATACTTACCAATATTTCGAGCGTGAATTGTTTTGTTTAAACAGAGGACATTAAAACTTTACGTAAACAAGGTTTGATGTACATGTACATTTTAAATTAAGTCAGAAACTTAGTTGGATATATGCTCTTATTTAACCGGATTATACTTATTATCATTTGTGCAGGATAAAGCCCGATTTATGGAAAGTGGAAATGTATTTTATCATTTGCATCAGCGTTTTTCTCATCTTCATACCTGAAGGTAAGGCATCTTTCTATTTAATTATTCTCAACTTTGTGTACACATATACAATTGAATTTTATAAGAGGGATTTCAATAGTTAGATCTTCAAATTAAGCATGCGGTTATTCAACAACCTCAACACTCATTCTGCATTATTATTATTATTATTATTATTATTATTATTATTATTATTATTCAAAACATTACAACAATCATCATCATGATCATCATCATTATTATCTTAAATTTATCATCATTATTAGTTTATTATCAAATCATGGTCAATATTATTATTACATTTCTGTTATTGTTGTCAAACTTGTCGTAATCATGCTTATCGTCATGTTACCTTATGTTTTATCTTTGCAATGGAATTCATATACAATTAAGTTAATTTTGATAGACGGAATTAAAATAGGTATAACTATTATATAAGTCATATTATTGTTTAATCAAGCGTTTGACGTTCAGAAACGGAACTGAACGTTGTTTTTTTAGTTGAACTGATAACGTTTTCACAATTATAGAGCTTGATCTATTCATCACTAATCAATCAATATCGATTTCAGGGACCTGCTCGACCACTACCCAAGCACCGCTAACATGTGAAACTGTTTCATGCGCGGCAAACCAGTACTGTCAGCAGAACCAAGGAGGTCCAATTTGCAGACGTAATAATTTTTTAATTTATCCTCACCCTTTGTAACACCAATCGAATTGATACCAAAACGTTTGTAATTACCTAGCGTTATTTTTCGCTAATATTGCAGATATGACAACTTGCTTTCAATAGTGCGTGGTCAATTTTTTAATGCTCTTTAACTTAAATTATCCCATTATATGTAATACTCATTCTTTAGGTTTACTATCCGGTTAACATAAACGGAATGCGTTTTTGAAATTACCTGTAATCTTTTTCATTAGTAAACATATATGATTATAATTGTTTATTGTTTTGAAACATGATACAATAGGATTGATCGGCAAATATCTTGAAAACCGATCTGATGTGTAAACATGATATATCATTTAATGCCCATTCAATGGTATATACTGTAGTATATTCTTTATTGTTATATCAGTACACGGTATCGTATTTTAATTTATTAAAATCTTCATGTATTGCCCGGCCTTTAAATATAGTTAATATGTATTTATATACATTGAACTTTAAATGTTTAATGTTAATCATGCCATATTGGACTGATTAGTAATAAGATTTTTTTAAACGGGTCAAAATCCCAACCCAGTCTGAATTATTTAAATATAACGATTTTAAAGACCCACCGTGATATGTCCTATTTATTTTGTTAATATTCCAATTCAAATGATACATGTCAATATTGCGATATGACATAACGAGGAATTTCCGAATTTATCTTTTTACTACCAACCCATCCCCTACCACTCCCTCACCGTCCACACACAGTATCTGTGGCACTCGATGAATAAGTCAAAATGGATTTTTTGTCTTTATTTAATTAATCATCAAAAATGCTTATAAAGATATCCTGTTTTACGGCGTTATCTGTCGACACTAAAAAACTATTGTTTAAAGGCACATTATGCCTCAGAAATCAAATTAACAATGATTTCTTTAACAATTCCCTAGAAAGGTCATACATGTGTCAGATATTCAACATCTATGACTGAAAGTGCAGTAATGTGTTGTAAAGGTAGCAAAATATAAACTAAGTAGTGCTTTGACTGCCATACAAAATCATTTTAATTATATCAATTGCCAGAGAAATTTCACAATACATGGCCAATAGGTGACTTTTTGGAAACTATAATAAAATATTAAAAATATTTATTTATTTATATATTTATTTGTTATTATTTTATGGTTTTCAGTGGATTACTGATTTATCCGTGAAAATTATATTTGATAATTTCACAGTGAAAATTATCAAAATATAATTTCACTTTTTTCAATGACGAAACTACTTTTTTAAGATTTTCCCCATGTGGTACCTCAATTTTATTTTTACTGACAATTCTGACAATATCAGGCTGTTAAAAAATAGCAAAGCTGAAATAAATAAATAACTTAAATGTCAAAAGAAATAAAGAGAGAAAACTTACTTCTATTCCTTCAAATTCCAATCACAAAATTTCGTCTCTAATTTTTTTTGTTTCGTTTTTACAGTCTGAAAAATACATTCCTTCCCCATGCTAAACTGCTCTTGATGACATTTGGGCATATTAAAGTATCCTACGAGCAATAACTGCCGTAAGCTTTTTGAAAAATTGAAAAGCATTGACAGCCATCACTCGTAAAATAAGTAAAACAACCCAGCATTCCTTACAATGCCTTAGCAAGCTTCCAAGTTTTCCATTTTCCTAGCTCCTTTTCTGAATGTTTTTACTTCTGTCAAAACTTATTTTTTGTCTGTTACAATCCTCAAATAAGTTTTCTTTCTTTTAAAAAGGTGTATGACTAACAAATCCAAATTATATCCTTCTGAATCTTACACAATTATTTTCATCCCATGAAATACACAACTTTAAAAAATGGCTGCCGCTTACATTTTACAAAGCCAGGTCTAATATAAATTCGCAGTAAGTAACAGAAATATGGATGGATGGTTGGACTTTTTCTCCTACAAGAATTGTTTGTTTTTATTGTTAAAACAAGCGATCATTCATATTTTTTTAATAAAATGAATAAATTTCACCGTCATTTAACCTTGATTGGCGGACTTATTTTTTCAGCTCAAGACTTCTTGTTTTTAATGAGAAATTCCCTCTAAATGGGGCTCTCAATGGGGGATACAAATTTTAACATTAACGTTAAAATTATGGAAATTTTGTTTTAACTTGTTTTAAAGCATAAAATAAAAAGAAAATTTGTCTGTTTGTTGTGTAAGATGTAATTTTATTTCATCTCGTGAACTTTAAAAACAGTATTCTCACTCGTGGCTACGCCACTCGTGAGAATACTGTTTTTAAAGCCCACTCGATGAAATAAAATTTCATCTTACACACAAACAAACAAATATCCTCTATTTATTTTTTTTTTTGAGAAATAAAAATTGTAGCATTTTGGAGGTATGATGGGCTTTTAAGTTTAAATTTCACAGTTTTATTTTATTTATTTAGTGTGTGATGATGCATGCAGTGGCTGTATTGGTTACGGACCTACACGGTGCAAAGAATGCAATCCGGGATACCGTAACAATACCAATACAAGAACCTGCGAACGTAAGTTGATTACAGTATTAGTCTTTCAATTTACCCTGAAAACTTTTGATAATATATGAAGTAAGCTGGGGGTCGAACGCATATAGCGTATGATAAAATTTCAAGCTTGGCAAAATCTAAAATCCGCCTCTTCAAATTATCTTATCTTTTTGGGTCGCTTAAAAAAATTATCGTATCGTACCTCTACACTCGTTCACCCCCTCCCCACCTTTCACCCCCACATGATAGGAGTAGAGATAATAAAACAAATCAATAATGCCACTCACTCAGGTGAGGTCATTACATTTCATTACAAATAAGTATCTATTTCTATTTTTCAAAATTTTGCTTTTATGATCTTATTTTCATACAATGTAATAAAATTAAAACTTTATATAATCTATCAAATTCTTTACGGTATGTTATACATTGACATAGGTCTACAGTTTTTCTCAACTTTAATATTTAAAACAGATGAAAATTTAAGCTGCCATATCTAGAAAATGATGATAAAAATTTATTTTTGTCTGTAAACGATGTTTCACAATTCCAGCCTGCCCTACAAACACATATGGCGTCGACTGCGTTGGCACATGCCATTGTCTTTTAAATGACTGCAACCAGCAGACGGGATTTTGCGAGAGTAACACATGCTTCCAGGGCTGGTCCGGTCCTCCATCATGTCAGACACGTAAGTTTACTTCATCTTTTGTGTGTCTGTTTCCGCACTCTAAGTACAGGTATTTAAAGGTCCTATCTATATTATTAACAATAATTTTATTATCTCTTTTTCCAAATCATTCAAACTTATCATTGTTGTTTTTGTATCAACCTTATAATTATATAGTTATACTACGAATGTAAAATAATTAAAGAATAACAGGAATATAACATGTTTAACCTGCATTTTTAAAGAAAATGACCACATCATCACATTCTCCAATTCTTTACTCCTTAACAATTTTTATCGATTTGTTTTCTTCTTATCTGAATAAAAATGAGATTGCATGAAGTTATGTTGAATAAAATGTACCATGATCGTGTAATGTGCACCAAACTAAAAAGTACTGTGGAATTGTCACGTGCTCCATTTTTTACTTTCGACGAAAAAAGTGAAACTATTAAATCTAGTTACTGTTTGTTTTACAGCATGTAGTAACACCACATTCGGATCAAACTGCGTGTATCAATGCCATTGTCCACCAGACGATACTTGTTCTCCTGTCAACGGACTGTGCAGTAGTAACGGATGTGCAGTAGGCTGGGCAAGTGCCGGGTGCCAGAACGGTATGTATTTCAATTGTCAAGTTAAAAACTTTTTAAAAAAGGAACGAAATTTATTGAGAAAAAGTCGTTAAAGTTAAATATCTATTCTTAGAATCCCGAAATATTTTATTTGTTACTGTTACCTATGCGGATTCATCGAAAATATAAATACGTAGAGAATATTTCATTGACAATGCATTTATTCAATAAAGAAGGAAAATGGAAAAAAGACCAATAAAGAACCGATCTTAAATTATAATCATGTGCATTAAATTTCATACTTGTTATATGGAAAGCCAATTTTAAGTCCTACATACATGTGTATATCTAAATCTACCTGATACCCTACTCAAGGACACAATATCATCATTTTTTTTCTTTCCTAGGAGCATACGTCTTTGGAATGGCCTTCGTCTAACTGTTCAGTCTAGCCCCAGTTTAAACATCTTTACTGAGAGGCTTGACCCATTCTATAAGTTCTAAATTGCACGCTATGTCTTTTAAATTAATAGTCTTGTAGTACTTTTATTCTTTTAACTTTTTAATTTGCATATAAATAATTTCTTTTATTAACAGTTCCCTGACAACGCGCCTGCTAGTCATAATCAGAATTGATTGTTAAGCAGTATAATGTAGATGTAGATGTAGATCAAATGACAATGATATTACATTAACCTTTGTGACCAGTAGTGAGACAGCTATTCGTGCAGTCTGACCAACACTGTCCATTGATTTCCTCTAACTTGATTATGGACATTTTCAAAAATGAAAAACTGGGCAAGTCCATCTAAGAAATTTATTAAAGGGAGTTAGTATGTATAGTTACTAAAATCCATAAACACCTATTAGTGGCGAAAACGAGAAAACATTGATAAACGAGATAAAATGGAATTCAGGGCAAGTAACTTGATTTGTGCATGCTTACTTATTTCAGCAAGATAGAAATAAACAAACAAAAACAAAATGCCCTTTCTTTCAGAACTACCTCAGTTAAACGACCCACCGACGGCGGAAAACGTAACTTGTTCAAACATGACCGTCATATGGAGAGGTTGGCGGAAAGGGGTTGATAAAGGCAATACGGACAGAAGAATAGCTCAATACGAGTAAGTCTATCTAAGGCACGAATAAAATACTATTTAGCACGAGTAATATTGTCACTGGCACAATTTATTCTGAAATAGGAATAACTTTTCTCAGGCACCATTCATGTCCAAAAAGTTCACAGCCACAAGTTATTCAACCTACACATGTGGTTCTGTCATAAACACGAATATATCTAATTATGTAACAGGCACCTGTTATTATGTCACATACACTAATATTTGTTTAATGAACAAGTAATTCTGTCGCACGCATGAGTAATTCTGTCACAACCACTAATATTTATATCACATACACTAATTATTATATCACAGACACGAGTAGTTTTGTCACATACACGAATATCTTTTTCACATGCACGAATATTGTTTTCACATACACGAGTTATTCTGTCATAAGTACGAGTAATACTGTCACATGCATGAGTTACTCTGTCATTGGCACTAATAATTATGTCACAGGCACAAGTAATTTTGTCCATACACGAATATTTCTGTCACAAGAACAAATAATTCTGTCACATGCATGCATTATTCTGTCACAGGCATAACTAGTTCTGGCATGAAAAAAAGTCAATCTGAGACTGAAATGAGGTTGGGCATAGTCACATGCGGAGAATAGTAAGGTGGTAAGACTGCCTACCTCTCAACTCAAGGATGCAGGGTTCGAGTCTAACTTGCTCAAGGCAATGTCTGTTCGTATTAAATCAGTACCGTATTAACTTCAGGAAACGAGATTGGAAGAATGAAAATGATTAAGATAGCAGGTTAAATTTAAATGTTTCAACTACAATATAGAGTATTTTGTTAAAATCATTTTAATAGCAAGCATTAGAGTAATCTGCTTGAATCAGAAGAGTTTTTAAATACCCGAGTACCTTTTAATTATACACAAATCAATTTGAAAAATTAGCTTCAGAATGGAACCCGATTTGAATTAATACTACATGAATAGTTTTGCAAAAAAGTTGTATAGCACAAAAGCATGTATAGCGGCAAACAAAGTAAAACAAATCATTGGTATAGAAATACAATAAATATATTCTAAGTAAATAAGTAAGTCTTAGATTTCTCTTAGAACCATGTCAGTATACTTAATATGTCAATTACAATATTATTTGTAAAGCAAGGACTATATAAAGTTTATGCATGATAGTCATTGAGAATACTAAAAGAATATTGTGGGGGGCATGGCCGAGTGGTCCAGGCGTCGGACAAATCAAGGGCAAGCCGTTTGCTAAACAAGAATCTTCACACTTTGCTCAGTACTGGCTAGTTCCACGAACGGATTCAAGAGTATGTCATACAAAATTGAACTAAAATATCTTCCGAGTATTACATATGGATATAGTCTACATGCTCCATGTCTATTAAAATGCTCTAATCACACGAGAAGTCAAGAAGTAATGGATAAGGATGAGATACATTGGCCACTGACCGCTACCCACTATGGAAATATACGGACCCCCAATAGAACCATGTGATTGCTCTTATCCAATGAAAATAAAGAATTGCAGTGAGTTATTAGATAAAAATGTTTTGTTTTAACGTCTCTTATGTAACTTTGCAAGGAATGTACATGTATATGTGCGCTTTGTTTGCTTTCAGTATCATTTATTTTATATATCAATATATGCTAGAATTGTATGTTAAATATGCATGCTTTTTTGTTTTTTGTTTTTTGCTACGATGAATGAAATAAACTTGTTTATTTCAGGCTGTATATGGCATACAACGCTTCACGTGAATTTGCACCGGAATGGCGGCACGTAAGAAATGTCCCGCACGTGTTTGGTGTACAGCAATATACTGAGAATGTTGTCGGTCTTGAACCTGACGTGTTTTACGTTTTCCGCGTTGACGTCAGACAGTATGACGGTGACAAACTTATTGGACACATCTTAGATGGGAAAATTTCGGAGGAATTTTTCACACCTTGCACACGTATGTTAATATATTAATTTCAGTTATTAGACTCGATTGAATATTCTGTTTCTTTTTGCTGTTTTTTTTTTTCAACCAAACCTATGAGGTCTCATGGTTTTCTCGGAGCTCGAAATAACCTAATTTCTAATAAGCTATTTACTAATTAACGACGCATTATTATTTGAAATGCAAATTTACCTTTAAACATTTTAAGCCGGGGAACTAACATTGTTTCAGATTTTTTTTTTCATTTTATTTAACTCTTTGACAGTTTCAAAACTGTAGAAATTATTGAAAATAACTCATTTCATACATACTTAAAGAAAATGTTATACAAATCTTTGAAAGAAAATGTTATACTGCGAGCCTTGCAATTGGGTGTAAAATTATGTGTGTTATTACAAAGTTACAAAGCTAAAAGTCGTTGAAAAATCACTGCTACGCAGGCCATTTTATGTATTTTATCGTCGGCAAATTTAATTTTCCATCGGCATTCTTTTGATTTGATAATTATATGAAACGATTTTTCGCTTTTATTGATTCCGATTCCGATTTCGGTATTCGAAAATATCGATATTTAATGATTGTCCTCCCTTTTACATTATGTACCATTAGGAAAGTTGTATGTAAGCCAAAAATAAAGCACTAAATATATCGTAAAAATCTCCTGTAAGTTAAACAACGCCTTCAAAAGTGATAAATTATTTTAAAAAGCCTTTAAATGTGATAAATCAGTTTAAAAAATATTCCACTCGAGAATTTTGACATCTGGATATGGTTATTTTCTGTAAGTATTAATAATTCAACATGTATTTTACTCAAGTGTTATTGTCATGAGGAATTTACGACATCTCTCATTTATGGCATTAAATATTTATCAACCCAATACCTTTGTCAGTGATCGTGCGAGAAGTGCGCCAGCATACTTAAGCATATGTTCAACTCATTGTTGAAACATTGATTAATCTAATGATGTTCGAGAAATCAACTTGTCCACAGGGGCAACACTTTGTCATGTGTTAGTAAAATGGCCATAAATTTGAATGACTTACGTTAGCAAGTCTTTGTCTTTTATTGTTAAAGTTGTCGTTAAATAAACTGGTCATTGTTTTGTCACTTTGTGGTCGTAAATTTACCATTAAATCAATTTCATTACGAACAACTTTGACTGACAACTAACAATGCGACCACAGTTACTGAACTTTTTTCAAAGTGACTTTCCTACATGCTACTAAAGTTGACTTTACGACAACCTCCCTTCCACCAAACAGTATTTGAATGTCTTACAAGACATAATGAATATACGCCAACATTTATCGTCTTATTATCAAATTAGATTAAGATAATACAGAATATAATTCGGTATAAAGTGTGTGGCATTTAAGTATAACTAATTTTGGCAACAAATCTTTTCACATTGTCCATATTTTACAACATTGTAAGTAAAACAGTAGGTATATTTAAAATAAAGAGAGTGGAGGCAGTGTGCTAATGATACCATCGCCTGACTACAAATCTAGGGGTCGCAATATTGACCCTATCCCCACTACACTCTACTCCAATTCTAACTATCGAGATTTTAAGAAGAAAAAAATGTTCTGTTTTACGATGCCTACACCTTGCAGGTATCACATCCGGTTGTTTCTCCTTGGATGGAGTAATAGCCCGACATTTATGGAGCTGATCCTATTAAACTTCATAGACACATAATTATCTTATTAGAGCTGTTTGGAAGAGACATACCAAAATAAATAGTTGTTTTATAGAAAAGTATCAGAAACAAAAATAAATAGTAAAACGGCCGTTCTAGGAAGGTTCAATGATTCTTAAATATTTTTTCGGTTCATTTCGGTTCATTATCCCTCATGTACAGACTCAATCAAACCGAGTCTGCAATTCTCTTGTAATTTTGTTGTGATTTATGCTTCCGAGGTATCACTTTGTTTCCAGATTTTCTCATTGACGTTGTTTTTAATTTTGATTGATTTAAATGATTTATTCTGGTTTATTTTTCAGAAACCACGACAACAACAACCACGACCGTTACATTACCGATTACTACGCGACCTCCAGGTGAGTACAATTTGTTAGAAAATATGATAAAAGCATTTTCTCTGTGTTTAACGAAGCATTTTAATTGTGTTTGCCAATTTATTTTATTGTTTTATTGATAGTCAAGTTAAAATTCCAAATAATATCAAAAGTAGTTTATTTTAAGATGCATGCACAAAACATGTAGGTGGGTAAAAAGACGGATAGATAATTCTTAGGCAAATGCGCCAACGAATTGCATTTTTCCCGCCAAATGTGGCCCCAAAATTAAATAAAAAATGATTTTGTTATATGTTATGATAATTTCTAAGCCGATTTGTTGTAAAATTATACATAATTAAATTGAACAGAATTGAGTAAATGAACGACTTTCACTAATTCATCGTCGGATACCCACGGCTTCGCCATTAACATGGATTACATGTTAAGTTACATGGTAATCAACCGTGGGTATCCGACGATGTCACTGATTATGCCTCTTTATTAATGCAACCTTTCTTTTTGTTTCATATTGCAGGTCCATACCTCCTTGATGAGAGTAAATTCTTCATCCAGAGTTTTGAAGGCTATCCGAATATACTGCAAATTGAATGGGCGGTTCTAGAAGACGTAGCAAATTTTACACTCAGTGTGACCTTGAACATTTTTGAAGTAAAAGTCAGAGAGCCGGACTGTCCGGAAAACTACATAGCTGATATAGACGTGATGTAAGTTAAGAAACGTGAAGAAAAAATGAAATTATTAGTTACTAATTATGTTTGGGGATTAAACTTAACGTAAATTAGTTAAACGTTAGTTTTAAGTAAGATTACGAAGCTTTAAGCTTATAAACACGCTCTAGTTTCTGTTCCTGGCACCAACTAGTGGGAAGCAATTAGTGTGAAGTTCCTTACTCGAGAAAAGAACAGGATTCGGACTTGTTCGAGGCATTAAGCACTATGGCCTGCCGCCAGAGTTGATACGAAATACCTTCAAGCTCCTACTTACTTCCGTTAGTTTTCAACAATACCTATTCTGATCAATTCATTAGATATTCATAAAAATGATAGTGAATGGTTTACCGAAATCGGATCTTCGTGCCTAGGTCACTTATTGCTAGCCACTAGTGTATTGAGCTGGGTTCGAATCCTGCCATGGGACTTTGAATTCCCCTTCCCCTCCCCGCCACATACACGCAAACATGAAGAATAATGTACGCGGAAAAGCATGCCTGAAATAATGAAATAAAAAATCCTATTAGGCTGATTAGTGAGAATAACAAACATGTCCGTGCTCGAACACCTTTATCGATTTCTGATTGAGGAAATTAAATAGATCTTTTATTTCTTTCTTTATACAGAACGTTAGAAAAGTCAGGCAGTTACAATGTTACCAATCTGTTGCCATGGAGATTGTATAGGTTTAATTTAACAGCTGTGAGTGAGACACACAACCTTACAGATTCACTACACAAAGATGCTGGAACGCCGGAAGATGGTAAAATCATACATGAAATATCTTAACTTTCATTATTACAGACTCACATGTGAATTCACATGTGTGGTATTAAATTCTGGTTTTAAGAAAACACCTTTAAAATATTTGATGTGGAAAGTGTGTGAATATTAAGCATTTAATTAATTAACATTTTTCATTACAAAAATAAAGACCATATCGTAATAGAATTCAACTATTTTATTACACTTTATAGTTCTCGTCAGGCAATCTCATGTGTTGAAACTACATACGGAAAGGCGCGTAAGGTCTTCCTTCGGAAGTAAAGCTGAAAATTCTGTATGGTTACCTGTATGATGCATATTTAATATGAACACAGCCAATTCAAATCAAGTGTTTCATGAGGACAGAGATAACAATCTTTTTATAGGCCTTATACCACATATAACAAAATGAATATATTATACATATGTTTAATTTACTAGGCAAAAGATTTTCGGCAGTTTTCACTTTAGATCTCATTTATTACCACTGTTTTCTGCTCTTTTTGGTACATGCACAATGAATTGCAGCATGAAGCTCGCTTATGCTAAGCTATATACTGACGAGAGTTGATATGAAAATATAAAATGGAGAAAAGAAAAGATATTCCTTCTATTCATTTTAGTACCAACGGCGCCGGTTAGGAATCTAAAAGTCTCTTCCATAGCCGCCGGATCTGCTTTAGTGAGCTGGTATGTTCCAGAATGCTCTGGTCGCAATGGCGCCTTTCAGAACTACACATTAGATGTTTACGCGTTACCCAACGATACACATATAGCTATGACGTACGACACAGATTCGCCATTCTTTGAAATAACGTCTCTCATGCCTTACAAAAACTATAGTGTATCCGTTGTGTATGTCAACTCTGCAGGTCGAGGACGTCAAGTGGCGACTCTCGTTTCGTTTAGAACTTTAGAAGCAGGTTAGTAACTCTCAAGTTAGACTTAGCTTGATCTACGGTAAATATGTAGTATACATGTATTTTAAATAGAAATGTTCAAGTTTTCTCACCGTTAACAAAGGTTCTAAACTTTCTCAAGTTTGTTCGAAGAAGATTGTTTCAGAGGTTAATGTATTGCTGGCTTTATTTAATTTTGCCATTACCAACACCCCTGCGAAAGTTACAAATCCACGCTTTACTAATTAAAAAGAGACCGTTAAAATAGTTCAACCATGTTACATCAGATACTGTAGCTGTTTTCCTATTATAATTGCTCGAAGCAGATTTAAAATTGTTGATAAAGATATGTTGGGAACATATAAATGTAATAATACTTTAATTTCGTTGACAAACATTACTTTGATGAAATCTATTAATGAACACTGGCCTATTTCATAAAATTTTTCTAGCAATGCTTTTTTTCTTTTGAAATGATTCATTTCAAATTACGTTTTCTTTTTTTTTCTCTCTCTCTCTTTTAATCTGGAGGAAAAATCTTGTTATTTTCAGTACCAGGGCCTCCGAGTATATCCAGTATAAGGGCAGATATGACGTCAATTACACTGGTTGTTCAAGAACCTGCTATACCGAATGGAATTGTCCTTGAATATCATGTGTCAGTTGCGGAAAATGTGAACTTTCAATCTTCTGTAACAAAAAGCTTTCTTAGAGAAAGTAATGACAGATTCCTCACAGCGATAATGACCAATTTATTACCAGACACTACCTATTTTATCAAGGTTATTAATATTCTTACTTCTTTATCACATACATGTACATTTGAAGTTTGGTTCGAACTTGGTCAGAAGTGTCTGTGTTCTTTTTGTATTTTTTCAAGGATCTAGCGATATTTATAAAGTGTCTATATGTAAAGTTTTGTATTTGTATTCACTTTTATTTCATATAAACTTTTAAATGTAGTGTTAATGAGTCATGGATAGAGTAATATATTTTTTAATTCATGTACTTAATATTCGGTTCACGTTCTAAAAGCAATCCATATTAGCTTTCCTTCTCTTTTATTTTTTTTAAATAATATGCACGTTAATGCTTTATTTACTGGTCTAGTAATTGTAGACGCATAACCATTCATTAGGACTGGGTTCTCTTGTCATTCAGGTTTCTGCCAGCACAAGTGTAGGACCCGGTCAGCCGAGCCCTACGAGACAAATTGAAACAAAGCAGTCGGTGCCAAGACCACCAGCTAACATTACATCGGACAAAAGTAGTCGGAACGTTTCGTGTGTTAAACTACAATGGTCTCATGAGGATATATATAACGGAAACATTACTGGTTACAATGTAAGTAAGACTAATTTATATCCTGCTGAATAACCTGCTGAATTTGTGAATCGATTTGCTCTGCTTTGAATATGGACCAAATATTCTATTCCTATCTAGATAGGAAAGACAATTGATACTAGTCTTCCCTTCAAACAATATTACTTAAAGAAATGAAAAATGTTCTTCTATTACAGGTGTCTTACCAAGAAACAGGAGTTACTCAGGGCACGGTTAAAAGTTTTGCAACAGAAAATACTTATGCACAAATATGTGATCTTAAATCAGGCCGTTATTATACATTCATGATAAAAGCTTCTAATCCAACTGGGTTCAGTGAAGCTTCTATACTTACCATCTCCACCGAGCAACCCGACCCACCAATTCCGCCATTACCGGAAGTGATAAATACAACGTCGACTACTATCGGCGTTGCGTTATTTCCAGTTGTTGTGACAAACACTTTGTACGAATATGGCTATTTAGTCTCAATACAAGATGTTACGGGAAAAACGAAGCGAGCAGTGAGCACAAGTAACATTTCCTGTCCTGGAATTAATGAAATACCTGGTACGATTGTTAAAAATTTTACTCAGGCCGAAATACCGTTTAAAATTTCCTTCATAATAGGCGACGGGAAACAATATGGTGACTTTGAAAATAAGCCTTTGACAAAGAATAACTTGTATGACATTTATTATGTTATAACGAGTTATTTTGAAGACGTATGTAAATACACGTATGTAAAGACATCAAGCCCGGTGAAAGTGGCCCCTGCTGCTGTTATGGTACCAAACACTACAGAAAGCTCTTCGACAAATGTCGTATTAATTGTCGGCATTGTCATTCTTGTTGTTATTATAATAATTTTTATCATTGTGTTTATATACTGCTGGTGGCGCAGACGACAATCCGACCAAAACTATAAACCATATTACAATGAGAGCGATGATCACTTTGATCTTAAAATCTACGAGAGAATTGACAATTATAATGCACAGAAATATTGGAACACAATTTATTCCTTGCGTGAAAGTAGGTACATAGTGGAAGGGAGAGAGCACATACGTGACGGACAACGGATAATGAATGGATCGGTCGGCGTGGCTACTGGAGAACAGCCTTTACTGTTCCAGGATGAATTCTCTAATCTTCCCCATGGACGTTTATCAGCGTTTAATGTGGCAAAGAAAAGAGATAATGAACTTAAAAACAGGTTTAGTCATTTGCTGCCATATGATCACAGTCGCGTGATTTTAGACCCAGATGTCAATTCTGAAAGTGATTACATAAATGCCAGTTTTATCAAGGGCTACAAACACCAGAGAGCATATATTGCCGCGCAAAGCCCGTTCGATGAGGATACCGTCCTAGATTTCTGGCGGATGATATACCAGTATGAAGTTAGAGTGATAGTAATGCTTTCAAACATTGTGGAAGACAATATTGTAAAGTGTACGCAGTATTGGCCTGACCAGGGTCGTGCAATGTATGGACAGTTTATATTAGACCTTGTTGATGTACAAGAATATGCAGATTACACACTCAGATCTTTACGAGTTCGAACCTCAACTGAACGAGACTGGCAAATGGTGTATATATTTGACTATACTTCGTGGCCCGAGCATGGTGTTCCCGGTGACGCAATTCCGTTACTTGAAATGAGAAGAAAGATAAATGTTTACCAAAATAGGTACACTACACCAATTGTTGTTCATTGCGGAACTGGCGTAAGTAGAAGCGGTGTTTACATAGCAGTTGATTCTCTGCTGCAGCAATACGAACAAGAGGGGAGAATTAGTGTGTACTCTTTTGTAAAGAAAATGCGAAAAGACAGACCAGCTATGGTTAGAACAGCAAAACAATACATATTTATCTACGAGGCTATATTTGAAGCCATGGTGGTCGGTGACACACTAACTGGACCTGGTGATCTTAAAGAAATGTACGAAAGTCTAACAAAGAAAAATCCAAACACTAAGCATTCTTACTTGCATGGACAATTCCATTGTCTAGAAGAGTATACGCGAAAACTGTATCCATCCGCGTGTTCTCATGCCTATTTTCCGGCGAATGTGAACAAAAATCGTTTCTGTGAAATAGTCCCACCTGACCAATTCAGACCAATACTAACGACACCTGGAGGTTTAGGTAGAACTGATTACATAAACGCTGTCTACTTAGACAGTCACAGGAAGTCCTGCCACTATGTGATCACACAAACACCCCTGCATACGACCGTCATAGACTTTTGGAAGCTTGTTTACGACCATGACATTTATACAATCGTAATGATGGAGCCTATGACATTTGATGACGATACAAGCGCGGAATATTGGCCGGAAGATCACATGAAACAGTACGAACCTTTCTTTGTTGAAACTGCCGATGTTTATCAACAAGAAAACATCACCATACGTAATTTCAAACTTACCAGCATGGGAAATCCAAAAGATACCCGCCATATCCGTCAGTTTCAGTTCAACGCTTGGGCTGATTCGGAGTTTGTACCCAAGTCTAAATCCATGCTTCTTGATGTTATTGATCTTGTAGACGACTGGCAGCGCGTCAATAACAATGATTCTACGCCTATTCTGGTTCACTGTAAGGATGGTGCTACGCACAGTGGGTTGTTTATTGCGGTGAGTCTTCTGTGCGAGAAAGTCCTAGATGAAGGCGAGGTGGATGTCTTCCATACAATAAAGCATTTGAAGCGTCGCAGAACTCAGATTGTTGATATGCTGGTAGGTTTAATTTGTTAACTATGCGATCAGATATATATTTTCTCACTGTTACACACTGATATATACCTTCTTTAAAAAATCAGGTCGCCTAGCCATTATTACATAAATTTAAAAATCTTGACCATAATTTATACTATACAGACTTTGCTATACATGTATTTAGATATGGCCTTGACATTTTTTTTAATTTTTACACGTGTGGTTTTAGAAAAAAAGTATATTATATGTATGTTATTTATTTAAATTGCAATTGAATGGATTCTTTTAAGGACTACTTTATTTCTTTTATTGATTTTTTCAGGATCAATATCGTTTTTGTTACAAAGCATTATGGGATTTTATCAACATGCGTATGCCGGGCGGGACACTCACGGAGCAGATGAGCAAGACGATTGCCGATAAACCTTACAGCAGTTTGAGCCTGGCTTCATATGCGTCCGCGCATGATTATATGCCGTATTAAGTGTCTTACTGGAAACCAAAGATTTGTGTTTTTTTGGAGATAGCGGACATTTTATTTACTAGCGATGAAATATAGAAATTAAAATGGACGTAAACGCTTTTGTTATTCGGAGAATACTTCTTTTTGCTGTTTTGTATACTTGACTACTTATCATAGTACAAATTAAATTTTCATATCACTATATATAGAAGTTGCTGGTGCAAATTTTAAAGGTGCATATACATGGTATCTAAACCGCTAGTAAAATATGTCTACTGGGTAATCATGGTGCTTATAACTTTAGTATGTCTTCTGAAAAAACTTTGTCGGAAAAAAATTGCTCAACTGCGCTTCATTTTGTTGTATTTTCATTTTCTGTAATATTAAGCTTTTTTTCACTTCATTTTTAGTTCTCATGTAAAGTTTTCTGATTGACTAAACCATTAAAGATATCAGCTTTATTTAGTATTATTCATTTTAGTATTTGCACAACTTTATCGTCAATGAGAGGGCATTATTTAAGAAACTTCCGACTGTCTATTTCCCATAACCTCCCTTCAATAGTGTCCATGTAAAATTGGCATTTATATTTGGATAAACAACCAAAGTATGCTGCTCTGCTCCAGTCCCCACCGTTTAAGCTGTTTTAAATGGTATATTTTTTCTTGTTGGCAGCATATCATAATAGTAAAATTGCTTGAAATGTGTGATAGCCAGTTATTCATTGCATTTTTATCTTTAAAAAATGGAGTAGTAAAATATACGAATATACAGAATAAAACACTATAATTACTTTATAAAGTTTTACCCCTAGAGTATATTATATATGTTTGTTACAATATGTACAACGTACGTACGGGTAAAGTATTCGCAATGAGACCATATATTCGTTCACCATCTATTCATGATTTTGTATTTTAAAATTTTAGTACTTTGCTTTTGAACTAGCCAACATGACTATTATTTAAATTTAACTGCAAGTGACATGTAATGTATCAGATAAAATATGGAAATTTAGTATTGTCCTTTTGATTATCTGGAAACTAAACCGTGTGACCATATTCACTGGGCACGCAATGTAGTCTATGAACTTCTGTCTGCTTGTGTATAAATATAACACTCCTGCTTGCATAGCATCAATTTTTTCTGCACAATATATATTTATTTTTTTAAGTTTCAATGTTAGAATATAAGGTTATTTTTATTTTAGTTTAAATGTCGTTGTTACAAAAATGTCGACAAAAATGAGATATCAGTAATGTTAATTACCTCTCTTTTATCTCAAATATACTTTGATTGTTGTTAAAAGTATCGTAAATACTTTTAGTTTAATACATACCGTAAATAGAACATTTCTTATTAAACATCAAGTGATATATTGATATGTAAAAGAAAAAGGGAGATAAATTAAATTTCAGTTTTATTTTATTTTATATGTTACAGGTTTGCAATTTTTCATATCTAAGATTTGTAGATCTGTTTTGTATTTATAGTTAATTTATCTGTTAAGATTTCTTAGTTAAATGTGTCAGCATTTGTTATAATTACTGTACGATATTTTCATGTAACAAAATAAAACGATTTTTATATTTCTAAGATTTGTTGTTATCATTAAAAGGACATAAAGCCAAAAAGTGGACTGTCTAAAGTGGGTTACTGTTACATATCTTCGGTTGAGTTTAACCATGTATTGTAATAATATGTATAAAGGGCCAGTGGGTAAGGTGTCTGCCTCTCAATCCAGAGTTCATCGATTCGAGCTCTTCTCGGGTCACGACCATGTTTCTTCATATGACACCAGTACTGGTTGGTTTCAGGAAGCGGACTCGAAAGTGATTAATATAAGTTGCAAGAGCTTGTTTCGCAGTCGAGCTTAAATAAATATGTTTAAACCAATATGTATAATAAATGTATTTTATGTCCCAGCTTTTTTTCTTTATTTATTTTTTGATAATTTCTTGTCAACATATAAAATTGGACTACTAACAAAATTGTCATCATTTGGCTATATTATACATTGTTCTCTATTTATTTCTTGAAAATTATAATTTTTTCTGCTTGACGTTTATATAATTAAGTGATTAAATTAAGGTAAACAAGCAAATTCGTTGAATTTATATCCCCCGCCGAGTACTGGTTATTATTAACACAACAACTGAAGACATAAGGCGTTATTTATATATTAATCATGGCATAAACAGTAATATTCTTTGAACTTGATAAATATTCAGGGAAATAAAAGAGCCATAACTTTGTGTTAAATAGTAAAATCTGGAAATGCCAATGAGATGTATGCATACTACATAACTAATCAAGGGCCATAAATCTGAGATATAAGTATCGAGATCTGACTGGAACAAGGCGACTATATGCACATCTCCTCTTAGTATCCCATAAAGTTTCATTGAATTCCAGCCAGTAGTAGCAGAGAAGTAGCGAGGAAACAAATATTTTTCCATATGGATACTGCATAACTAATCAAGGGCCATAACTCTGAGTTAAAGTGTCTGACCGGAACAAGCCGACGATATGCGCATCTCCTCTTGGTATTGATGATTCCCATAAAGTTTCGTTGAATTCCAGCCAGTAGTTGCAGAGAACTACTCCGGAAACGATTTTTACTCTATATGCATACTACATAACTAATCAAGGGCCATAACTCTAAGTTAAAGTGTCTGACCGGAACAAGCCGACGATATGCGCATCTCCTCTTGATATTGATGATTCCCATAAAGTTTCGTTGAATTCCAGCCAGTAGTTGCAGAGAACTACTCCGGAAACTATTTTTACTTTATATGCATACTACATAACTAATCAAGGGCCATAACTCTGAGTTAAAGGGTCGGACCGGAACAAGCCGACGATATGCGCATCTCCTCTTGATATTGATGATTCCCATAAAGTTTCGTTGAATTCCAGCCAGTAGTTGCAGAGAACTACTCCGGAAACGAAATTCGGACGGACGGATGGACGGACAACGCCAAAACTATATCCCCCTCCCGATTCCATCGGCGGGGGATAATAAAAATAGGAATGGCCATTACTTGGCTGACTAACCGACATTTCTACTGTAGGAAACTGGAAGGGTGCTCTTGTCTAATATATGCGAATATCGTAACACCTTCCTTATGGTCTAATCCGATCGGCAAAATGCATGACAGGGCACAACAATCAACGGGAGCAAGTAAAATGCATTGGATACCCGCATCTTAATATTTAATAGATGTTAGCAGTACAAAAGTAAACGAGTTTGCTAATTTTACACTGTGTTAAGATGCAAAATTTTTCAGATAATGCTAGAAGCAGTAAATTCAAGCTAAGAATTTTTCTTTTCAAATCAGGTATTGAAATGAGCAGACCTTGAATTTTGAATACTAAAACTATAAAATCTGTCAATATATTAAAGATGGTCCCTGTTGGAACATTTTATCAGATGTAAAATATATTATGACAATACTGGCCGAGCTAGCTATTCGCTTTGAGGTAGACTCGACTCGCGCTTTAAGACACTAACAGGCATCAACCCTACTTGTCTGTGGTATATATTTTAACTGCAATACCACAATTTGACATATTGTAGAAAATTGTGTTTCTAAAGTAAGCAAAATTTGCTTAGTTCATTGATAAACTGGAGGGCTGCGACAGTAAATATTCATCGGTTATTATACATTTTACGGTACAATACGGGAATATATTTGGACGAGTAAACAGCTTGAAAAATCATATTGGCCGAGCCGATAGGCGAGTCCAATATGACTTTTGGTTTTCAATGAAACAATACATTATACTGTACATTTATTTAGTTGTGTTTTGGATTGAATGAACCGTATATAGTGTATCTGGAATAATATATATATATATATATATTATAAAGAAAATATTTAAGTAGTATGAAAAAAATGCCTTTGAAAGGATAGAATAAGTGGACACAAAATGTTAGGGTTTGACCTGGAAAAGTGACCTCGACTTGATAGCATGGTTTTAACACCGCCTTGCTGCCAAGTTTGAAGAAAATGCCTTAAATAGCGGACACAAAATTGTCCGATAGGATATTTGACCTTTAATGGTGACCTTAAGTCTATACAGCGGTGGCATGAGTTCTGTACATCGCTTTATTTAAAAGACCATTAAGAACAAAGCGTTAAGAAAGTCTTTCCAGGTCATATTGGACTTTTAGAGAGCAGACATGACAGAGACGGACGGAAACGTGACCGGACTGGTAAAAAGGGCAATTTCTTCTTTTCCCCCCTGTTTAATAGAGGGCAATTGTCCCCTTATACTACTGTAACGGAATAAACTCTATTGTTATATTTTGTTATGTTTATAGTTTACATTTAGATGACCTTTTCAGGCTGTCCAGTACCTTCTGACAAAAAATTAGGGCAAATTTTAGGGCAATTTTTAAGAAATTTTAGTGCTAAAATTAGGAATTTAAGAGAAAATAAAAGAAATTTTAGGGCTAGAATTTGGAATTTTATACTTAAAATATGGCCTCAAAAGACCATGATATGGGCTCAACTTTGCATAATTATTTGACACAAAAGTAGCGCACAAATAATGCTCTAGTTTGATTATAAGGTGTTACCAGTGTTCCATAGTCACCAGTGAATGAATGGATTCACTGGTCAACTGCCTTTAAAAATAGCTGATAAAACTACATTAAAACATAACTAGAATGAAAACATTTTCAAAGTTATAAGTATCCCTGAACAACCAATATTCAATTTGTTAAGCTATGATTAGCCAATAATAAATGGAAGGGGAAATTATGCTTTAAATTTATTTTAGCTATAAATGCATTTCTTATCAACATCTATTCATTTTAAGGTTGGAAAATTTTCAACAAGTCTTGATCTTTCTTAAAAAAAAACAATAAAAACGAATGACCCACTCAAGTTATTCCCAGGAATATTAAAACTCAAATTCAAACAGCAGGGTATACACCTATGAAGAATTTGTTCAAGATAAATCAGGCTACTAAAAATTGTAGAAAATTTCACAACAGTGTCAGATTTTTCAATGATTTTCAATAGATGTTTTTCCCCAATTTTAAAAAACTTACACTTTATGTTATAACTTATGTTCAATACATGTTAATGTGTACAAAAAGGGCAGTTGAAGGTGTCACTTCTTATTCGGTAGCAAAATGGTTAAAGCATCAAATCATTACTGCCAGTTTATCTTATCCACTTTATAATTAGCAAATATGGAAACTTGTCTAGATCTGCCAGCTGGTATCACTTACAAAAGATCTGTTCTACAGTCATCACTTGAAAATGGTTTGATTATAAATTAAGATTTTATTAATAAGGACCCCTACATAAAGTCTGATGAAATTTAGTGATACATCATGTAAATAGCTGCTTTCAATACACCTAAGACTGAGGTAAATGGTAAAACTCTGTAGCCAATAAAATGTAACTTCCTTGAAAAAAAAATTATCACAATTTTAAACAGGTGACTATTTTGATATAGTCAAAGTCGTACAATTTTCATTGTTCAATTTAAAACAAACAGTTTTTATTATTTTTCTGATAACATCTGACATTCAAGTATAGCATATCTGCAGGAGTTGAAGTAAATACATGTGACTTTATGCAATTTAGTCAGACATGACATCAGCTCCACTGACTGTGTTTGAATTCAGGTTGTGATTTAAACATGGTTATTTCGGGATATATTCATCACAAAAGATATAAAATAGGAATTTAAGTGAAAAAATATGGCATTTTTAGGAATTCCCTTTGAATTTTTCATTTCTTTAGGAATTTTAGCCAAACTGAAAAAAATAGAATTTTTTAGGAATTTTAGGGACGCTGGACAGCCTGCCTTTTATTTCATTCAGTAGTGCTGTTGGACTAACGGACAAACCTGACAAAAGTGATTCAGGTATAGCCCTGTAACACCGCACTTTGTGGTCCGACCCCAAAGTACGTCCAACCCCAAAGTGCGTTACGCACTTCCCCAAAGTGCGTCACGCGCTTTGGTGTCGAGGTTTGACCCCAAAGTGCGTTACTCAGTTAATATGCATATTTAAAATCAGGCAAACGACCGTTATTTGGGGTTTAGTTTAATAATATTTTATTGCTCTTTGAATACAATTTAGAACATTATTTTTACAAATAACAAACGGCAAAAGGGTTGAACAACAAGATCTAGCAACATTAGTAACTGTCCTTCCCTTAAGCATTATAAAATATAGAAACGAAAACATGTTTAAACACTATACACATGAGCAATTACAAATATCAAGACGGATACAAAAACAAAGTAGCAAATAGAATTCGACATCAAATTTAAGAGAAAAAAAACCAGAAAACATTATTACATCTTATCAATTTTTTTAAATATAAAAAAATAATAGTAATTTTCCTGCACTTGCAGTATGTGATGGTTTGTATGGCTGTCAAAATATGTCATTTATAAGGGGAATTAGAAGAATTAAAATTGGAACAACGATTGTTATTTTTACATGTACTTATTTCTTATTATTTAAATCTATGTGTATTTTTTATATATTTTTGAACCTCATGAAATAAAAAAGAGTTTTCCTCGACTGATAAATTTTCTTTTCCATAAAGGAGAGTACTTGTACTTAATGGATGAAAAGGGCGAGTGGAAGTGAAAAGTTAGAGTCTTTTTGGGGTCATAAAAATTAATCAATGAATTTAAGTGATGTTTTAAATGCCAATTGAAAACTAAAAACAAGGAAGGAAGTAGGCGAAATGTATTAAGTCAGTAATAGCAGACAGATTATTTAAATTTGTTATATCTAAAAAAGGGTTGCAATTTATTATAATAATTTAATTATTGATCTCATAGGATAGTGGCCTTAAAGTATAAAAATGTTTGATAGTGTGTAATGATACATTTGATAACATATCATTTAAGTCTTACCGTGTGTCGATAATTATCACACATATTTCCATCTAATTAAAAACCAGTTCATTCTAAGATAGGATCTGTTGAGGACCCATTAAAATCTGGATTTACCTTACTTCTTGTTATATTATTAAAGGGAGGTAACGTTTTTGAATTTATTAATTATAGTTCTTTCAATGTTGAATGAATAATCTAGCACAACTGGACAAAAAGAAACATTTAAGATGATTCCAAGATAGGTGCCATATTGAAAGAATACATCATACTCAACAAGATCATAAGTGTATATTTAGAAGAAATGCACATCCGATTATGGCAGGAATTATTTTCAACACGCATATAGAAATTTTCGAAATATACAAGTCATCTTGTCTGATTCAAAATGGCAGCAGTTTTGGTGGCACATAAAACTGATACGTTTTGCAAAACCTGAAATATTAACCAAGTTTTCATTGACTGCCTCTTGCTGTAAAGTAATGTTAAAGGCATTCTTAAGCCGACAATCTTATTATAGTAAAAATTCCCTTTGACCTTTGACACAGTCACCTAAAAATCTATAGGGGTCATCTACTAGTCATAAATAACCTCCATGCCAAATATGAAGACTGTGCAGACAAGCATTTTTTTAGTCAAGGCCCCTGTGACCTTGACCTTAAAATTAATAGGGGTCATCTACTAATCATGACTAACCTGCATGCAAAATATGAAGACTGTGGGTAAAACGAATCTTAAGTTATTGGGCAGACAAGGAAAACCCGCTGGACGGCCATCGAGCTGATTTCAGTATAGCCCCATTACAACTTTGTTGTGCGGAGGTATAAAAATTTACAACAATACAAACACAATGTTTAGTGACTTTATTAGCTATGATCAAAAATAAATAATTACAGAACTTTCAGGTTATCTTTTGCATTTTCTTCTTAGATTGCTTTGAATGTCTTCCAGCCTTGAATTTCTGAAACGATATACATGTATATACATACAACACATGCATAGAAAAGTTATGACTTAAACTTATGTTTCAAATCAAAATTTTGAAATTCAAGTTTGACCTTGAAGATAAAGTTCATTTCTGATTGACAGTGCAAAATCAAACTTGAATGATGAGAGTAGAGTTAATGGCTACAGGTATGTTCTGGGTATATTCTGGGCATGTTTTGTTCCTATCATGGCTCTAGCTTATATGATGATGTTACACACAAGATTAACATTATCTGCCGCAGATTTTCTCCTGCTACATGTTTTATATCTGCAATATGTGATTTTAATAACAAGAGGGCCATGATGGCCCTAGATCGCTCACCTGAATTATCAAACTCATCCAAACAATTACCTAGACAAGCATTCTGACCAAGTCTCATGACAGGTGAGTCAAAAATGTGACCACTAAAGTGTTAACAAGGATTATCCATATTTGAGCAGTGTGACCTAGTTTTTTACCCAGGTGACCCATATTCAAACTTGACCTAGAAATCATCAAAACAAACTTTCAGACCAATTTCCAGGATACTTGGATCAAAACAGTAGCAACTAGAGTGTTAACAAGATTTTTCTATTTTTAGCTCCGGTGACCTAGTTTCACATGCGATTTCGAACTCATCCAAGCAATTACCTAGACAAGCATACAGACCAAGTTTGATGATAATGGAGTCGAAAATGTGACCACTAGAATGTTAACAAGGTTTTTCCATATTTGGGCGGTGTGACCTAGTTTTTCATCCAAGATGACCCATGTTCGATCTTGACTTAGAAATCATCAAAACAAACTTTCAGACCAATTAACAGAATATTTGGATCACAACAGTAGCCACTAGAGTGTTAACAAGATTTTTCTATTTTTAGCTCCTGTGACCTAGTTTTTCATCCGAGATGTCCCATGTTCGATTTATTCCCAGCAATGACCTAGACAAGTTTCCTGACCAAGTTTGATGACAATTGAGTCAAAATTGTGACCACTAGAGTGTTAACAAGGTTTTTCTATTTTTAGCTCCTGTGACCTAGTTTTTCATCCGAGATGACACATGTTCGAACTCATCCGAGTTATTACCTAGACAAGCATCTTGATCAAGTTTGATGATGATTGATGCAAAAATGTGACCGCTAAAGTGTTAACAAGGTTTTTCTATTTTTAGCTCCGGTGACCTACTTTTTCATCCGAGATGACCCATGTTCGAACTCATCCAAGCTATCAACTAGATAAGCATCCTGACCAAGTTTGATGATGATTGATGCAAAAAATGTGACCGCTAGAGTGTTAACAAGGTTTTTCTATTTTATAGCTCCGGTGACCTAGTTTTTCATCCGAGATGACCCATATTCGAACTCATCCGAGCTATTATCTAAACAAGCATCCTGACAAAGTTTGATGATGATTGGGTCAAAAATGTGACCACTAGAGTGGTCACAAGGTTTTTCTATTTTTAGCTCCTGTGACCTAGTTTTTCATCAGAGATGACCCATGTTCGAACTCATCCAAGCAATTGACTAGACAAGCATTCTGACCAAGTTTGATGATGATTGGTTCAAAAATGTGACCTCTAGAGTGTTCACAAGGTTTTTCTATTTTTAGCTCTTGTGACCTAGTTTTTCATCTGAGATGACCCATGTTCGAACTCATCCGAGCTTTCAACTAGATAAGCATCCTGACCAAGTTTGGTGATGATTGAGGCAAAAATGCGACCGCTAGAGTGTTCACAAGCAATTGTGGACGGCCGGACGGACGACGGACGACGGACATTCATCGATCCTAAAAGCTCACCCTGAGCAAGCTCAGGTGAGCTAAAAACTGAAATTGGCAAAGGTTTGACTTAATGCTTAAGTACAACATGATTATAGACATCCTGCTCAGTTTGGTAAGATTCTTTTCTTCTTATATATCAGTAAAATATTACAGCAAGCTATTTTATATGAGCAAACTCATGCATGTTTTTAATGTATTCATTAAAATCTTACATTGATAACAAACCAAATAAACATTAAACTTTAGGGGATAGAACACAAAGTCAATTTTAAAACATATCACAGGAAAATTTGCATTCTTGCACCACCCAACCTGTCCTGATAAGTTCAGCATAAAAATATTTATTGGCCAGTGAATATAAAAATAAGTTCAAGTTACTAAAATATCTGATAACTTTTTTTTCAGAATAAGATTTAGGAACATACATTTCTTTTCTGTCCTCTCTGTTCTGTATCAGTTTTATTTGGAGATTGTTTGATATTTTCTGTTTCCATTTCTTCAAACTCAAAATCAGAATCATCATCTTCATCTACCTGACTACCACCAGCTACTTCCCCGTGCTCAACCTGATCCTCTAAAGTCACTTTATCAGCTGCTGAAATACACATCATATCCAGTTACTATACAGTATTTGACACTACTCTTAGTAAATTAACTCTTATTTCATTAATAAAGAAAATAGATATGTCAAATTTAAGGTGTCTCATTTTTGACACCACCTGCATGACTAGTAAAATATTTGTAGAGGTGTGCTAGGAAATGCTTCATTTCAAATATCTAAGCTCTGAGCATTGTAGTTTTCTGCAGGGTTTTAAATCTGTTAATATCAGCCACTAAGTTGACTACCAGGACATAGTAGTTTTGACCCTAGGGAGCTACAATGTGATGCTATCTTTAAAATACTTCTGTACTGGGCTTCGTTGTTTTAAATAAGACTTTAAAGACTTGTAAACTACATTTTATGCTAATTAAAAAATAAATCTATGTAAACTAAATGACACCAAGGTTAACCATTTTGACTTTACGCACATGTACATATGCATTAGACTGGAAACATTCATAAAAACTTTTGCATTTAGTTTGGATAAAAAGCACAAATGTTGTTTATTTAGGATGTCATGTTAAAGAAATTGCCAAACAAGGGAGGATCAGCGCAAAACTATCACAAAAGCTCACTTTCATGCTCAGGAGAGCTAAAAAATACTAGGTTTGACTGAGACCACATAAAACCTGTTTTCCAGTAGTTTTATAAAGACTGGGCATAAAAATTACCTGGATATAGATCACTTAGACTGTCAGTATCACTTATCTCCCCTTCATCATCCTCTCCACCTTCCTCCACAGAGTAAGCTCTCTTTCTCAAATCTAGATTTTCCTGAACTTTCCTTCTACCTCTTGGTGGACGATACTCTTTCCCAGTTCTCTGGCATTCCTCCCCTGGAAAATGTTCAATTATGCAAAAACTTAGTTAGATGCATAACACCCTCAAGCAGGTTCAACTAGACCTATCACTGAAGGTGATTAATACCCCCACCAGCAACTTTGACTTTTTGAAAAATACGTGGTCTAAAGAAAATTTGAACACAAGCTATAGTAAATGAAGTATCAACTGTGTACAAAGAATTATTTCAATTAATTTCAATAACCAGCCGGGGTCTTCATATAAGCTTGCTATACACCAAGTTTGATTACAATATCTCATTTCTAACTCTAGTTATTGTTTGGAAACCATTTTTCTATATTTAGTAATGCTGACCTTGACCCCAGGGGTTCAAAATGCAATACCAAACAGGGTCTCCACATATGGTTGCTATATACCAAGTACAAAACCTCATTCCAAACTCTAATTATCCTCCGGAAACCATGCTGTGGACAGACCGACAAGCTGACTCCTATATACCCCCCCCCCCCCAAAAAAAAAAAAAAAAAACTTTGTTTGTGGGGGTATAATTAAAAGCTGGTTCATTTGTCAACATTTACATATAAGTGACATGCATTGCATAAAAAAATCCTGTAAGTATAGATATTACAACAAAAGCCTGAGTCAGTAACCAATTTGCCAAAACGGTTCATCCAGTCTCTCAACTATGGGAGGGGAGTCTGTTCAATAAAATTTGTTAACAAAGTTATATTACTTTACAGACTTGTGTCTTTATTTTTATTCGAAAAAAAATGTTAACTGGCATGTTTGCTATTTGATGATGTTAAACAATTCCCAAAGAAAGCCGTTGAACTAGGTGACCTCAAACCCCACCTATGTTGTAAGACCAACAGTTAATAGGGTACATATTTTTGTATCTTACTACCAAGTTAATGAAAGAAATTAGTCAATACTAGTAACTCAGACCTGTACAAGCTTAAGTGTAAAAATATATTTTTAAGCACCAGTGACCTTGATCCCAGTAACTCCTAACTCCATACTAAGGTAGAGAACTACCAAAGGTATGTTTTTTTATGAGAGGCATCAATTAATAAATAAAGTCTGTATGAGCAAAATGGTAAAACTAGTGACCTTAACCATGACCCCTGTGACCTAAAATTACACTCAAAGATTAAGGACGATGACCCAAGGTTTCTACCAACCAAATATGAAAGACTATAGTCAATTAATGAAGTTGATTGGAGAACTTAAGATATATTAAACTTGCCAGAATACTAGTAGGTTAAAACATATCAGGTGATAAAAAGGAAAATAATTGTGGAAAAATTGATGTAACAATTATGATACTTTATACTTATAAGAGTGTGTAATATACAAATTTTGGTATAGATAAAGTTTTAGATGTATTCATTTTTCTTCAAAACAGTTTAACCATACTTAGTTACAAAGTACTTTAAAGAGAAATAACTGGGGAAAATGGAAACCAAAGTTATGTAACTTGCCAAGATTATGAACTTTGTATTGTGTGTAAATTATGAAGTCTTTGGTACAGGAAAAATCTAACAGGCTGGTGGATGTTAACCTTGTCCAGATGAGTAGACAGATGGATGTTATATAATATATAATAAAACACTTTATGCTGGGAAACATAAAAATTTGTTTAACCTCACTTTATGCTGGGGAACATAAAAATTTGTTTAACCTATCTGCAAGTAATCACTGAATCCATGCATTTTACAATTTGATAGAAAGTTACAGCTTTGGTAAGAAGGCATGATGCCATATCATATGACATTCAAAGCATCCAATTTGTATATCTTTATGCTAAAACTTTTAACACAGCACAACATGAAACAATTTTAGTTGTGTTTGATTTAACATAAAATTATGGTTTGATCTAATGGCATAATTCAAATCAGAAAATTACTTTCAATTGTTGCTTTGCCATACAAGCAAACAGTATTTTTGATACTCAACTCATAAAATATCCTCTTTATACTTCATAAAACATTTGTAATCTATTACTCACATCTTGCCAAAAATCTCTTGAATTTTCCTCCATTAACATGTCTTTCTACATGAGCTAATGTCTTATTTACATGACACATTGTCAGTGTACAGAATAACTGGTGCCTGAAAGTAAATGTTGACACATGGTCAGTGTATAGAACAAATAGTGCCTGAAAGTAAATGTTGACATGTGGTCAGTGTACAGAACCGCTGATGCCTGAAAGTAAATGTTGACACATGGTCAGTGTACAGAACAAATGGTGCCTGAAAGTAAATGTTGACACATGGTCAGTGTACAGAACAAATGGTGCCTGAAAGTAAATGTTGACACATGGTCAGTGTACAGAACAATTGGTGCCTGAAAGTAAATGTTGACACATGGTCAGTGTATACACCAAATGGTGCCTGAAAGTAAATGTTTGTTTGTTTGATTTGGGTTTTACGTCACATCGACACAGTATAGGTCATATCGCGACGTTCCAGCTTTACTGGTGGAGGAAGACCTCAGGTGCCCTTCCGTGCATTATTTCAGGCAGGAACGGGTACATGAGTAGAACCACCGACGTTCCGTAAGCTAGCTGGATAGCTTCCTAACATGAAAGAATCCAAAGTCCCTGTCGGGATTCGAACCCACAGCGGTGAGGGGCAAGTGGAAAGTAAATGTTGATACATGGTCAGTGTACAGAACAACTAGTGCTGGTGCATGAAAGTAAATATTGACACATGGTCAGTGTACAGAACAACTGGTGCCGTAAAGTAAATGTTGACAAATGGTAAGTGCACAGAACAACTGGTGCTGGTGCATGAAAGTAAATATTGACACATTGCCAGTGTACAGAACAACTGGTGCCGGTGCATGAAAGTAAATATTGACACATTGCCAGTGTACAGAACAACTGGTGCCGTAAAGTAAATGTTGACAAATGGTAAGTGCACAGAACAACTGGTGCATGAAAGTAAATGTTGACATGTGGTCAGTGTACAGAACAACTGGTGCCTGAAAGTAAATGTTGACATGTGGTCAGTGTACAGGACAACTAGTGCCTGAAAGTAAATGTTGACATATTGTCTATGTACATAACAAATGATTCCTGAAAGTAAATGTTGACACATGGTCAGTGTACAGAACAAATGATGCCTGAAAGTAAATGTTGACACATGGTCAGTGTACAGGACAACTGGTGCTGTAACATGGTAAGTGTACAGAATAACTGATGCCTGAAAGTAAATGTTTACACATGGTCAGTGTACAGAATAACTGATGCCTGAAAGTAAAAGTTGACACATGGTCAGTGTACAGAACAAATGATGCCTGAAAGTAAAAGTTGACACATGGTCAGTGTACAGATCAACTGGTGCCTGAAAGTAAATGTCAACACATGGTTAGTGTACAGAACAACTGGTGCCTGAAAGTAAATGTTGACACGAAAATAAATGTACAGAACAACTGATGCTGTAATATGGTAAGTGTACAGAATAACTGATGCCTGAAAGTAAATGTCAACACATGGTTAGTGTACAGAACAACTGGTGCCTGAAAGTAAATGTTGACACGAAAATAAATGCACAGAACAACTGATGCCTAAAGATAAATGTTGGCACATGGATTGGTAAGTGAACAAGTAGTGCCTACTTTTATTAAAATGTTGTTATCAGATTGTCATGAACTGTCATGCATTTGTATTTAAACTAAGCAAGATGTTATGATAATTTCTCATTAAAAAGCTACTCACTCATGATGTTTCTTTGTGCTGGGTACCAGATGAGGCTTGTACTTCTCATAGTTTTTGTCCTCTCTTTCCAAGAGTTTTATGTACTTCTTCCCGGTAACATAACTTCTGATAGCTTCTTCCTTATATGGCATCTCATGACCAGATAGTGAACATGTTACCTGTAAATAGAAATTTGGAAGTATTTTAAAATTAAAAGTCTATTAGTTTAGCTGTGATTTGAAACTAATTTTTTAGCGATATATACAGATAAAATATGAAATAATCTAACATTAAAATTAAATCTTTCAAAAATCGAAGGACACTGGAGATAAGTTTTACTTGTTTCCTATCTTATTATGGTTTCCCTTCAAATTGATATTCTGAATCCCTTGCCTAAAATTACCGTCAGTCCAAATATGAAGTTTCTCGAACAAACTTTTTTCTAAAAATGGAGCTCTTAGCATGTTCAAGATCTTCTGATGAATTAATCATAAAAAACGTTAAATTTTGATTGATTCAAGTACACAGTTTATTATTTAATAAATTACAGTCCAAATAATCTTATTTATACAGAACTTATCCAGATAATATAGAACTAGACCTATCACTGAAGGTGATTAATACCCCCACCAGCAACTTTTTGAAAAATAAGTAGTCTGAAGAAAAATTTCAACACAAACTATCAACTGTGTACAAAGAAATATTTCAATTAATTGTAATCCCAACTGGGGTCTCCAAATAAGCTTGCTTTTCACAAAGTTTGATTACAATATCTCATTCCTAACTCTAGTTATTGTCCGGAAACCATTTTTCTATTTTAAGGAATGGTGACCTTGACCCCAGGGGGTCCAAATGCAATACCAACCGAGGTCTTCATATAAGCTTGCTATACACCAAGTTTGATAACAATATCTCATTCCTAACTCTAGTTATTGTCCGGAAACCATTTTTCTAATTTTAGTAACGGTGACCTTGACCCCAGGGGGTCCAAATACAATAACAACCCAGGTCTTCATATAAGCTTGCTATACACCAAGTTTGATTACAATATCTCATTCCTAACTCAAGTTATTGTCCGGAAACCATTTTTCTATTTTTAGTAACCATGACCTTGACCTTGACCCCAGGGGCCTAAATGCAATACCAACCCAGGTCTTCATATAAGCTTGCTATAACGCAAAGTTTGATAACAATATCTCATTCCTAACTCTAGTTATTGTCCGGAAACCATTTTTCTATTTTTAGTAACGGTGACCTTGACCTTGACCCCAGGGGGTCCAAATGCAATACCAACTGGAGTTTCCACATAAGGTTGCTATATACAAGTTTGATTACAATACCTCATTCCAAACTCTAGTTATCGTCCGGAAACCATGATGTGGACCGACCGACCGACGACCGACCGATTACAATATCTCATTCCTAACTCAAGTTATTGTCCGGAAACCATTTTTTCTATTTTTAGTAACCATGACCTTGACCTTGACCCCAGGGGGCCTAAATGCAATACCAACCCAGGTCTTCATATAAGCTTGCTATACGCAAAGTTTGATAACAATATCTCATTCCTAACTCTAGTTATTGTCCGGAAACCATTTTTCTATTTTTAGTAACGGTGACCTTGACCTTGACCCCAGGGGGTCCAAATGCAATACCAACCGGAGTTTCCACATAAGGTTGCTATATACCAAGTTTGATTACAATACCTCATTCCAAACTCTAGTTATCGTCCGGAAACCATGATGTGGACCGACCGACGGACGGACGGACGGACCGACCGACCGACAAGCTGACTCCTATATACCCCCCCTAAACTTCGTTTGTGGGGGTATAATAAATAGAAAATAGATGCCGAGTCAATATCAACTTCCGGTAGGTTCCTGATTCACGATATCCTATTCTTGAAATGGAATTGTTAATCCTGAAATTTGATTTAGAATTTGGAAGGGATTTTATTCTGAGATAGGGGAAAAATACATATGATTTCTTTGAGAGGGGAACAAACTGTTAAAAACTTGTTAAAAATAATTTTAATATATATTATTCTCCTCATATCAAAATCGAGTGACGTCACGAAATGGAGTCAGCGACAAACTCAGATCGCGGGAAATAATCAGAAAATGTTGAATTATTCCTACATAGCTATGCGATTTTAAACAAGAACTGTCGGAGGACAGTAAAGCTCGACTATTCAAAATTTGTCACAAGGGTGTTTCATTGAGTATAATAATGCTTACCTATATGAATACATAAAATTGTCCGAAAAGGTACAAACTCTTCAAGTTTCAATACATTCCCTTCAGTAGTTATGGAGATACAAGCTTACATACAAAAACTTAACCAAGATTTTCTAAGTCGAAAAAGGGGCATAATTATGAAATAAAACAATTCAGAGTTATGGGACTTGTACCAATCACCTTAGATAATCACAGAGACCAAGTGTGTGAAGTTTCAATCCATTCCCTTCAGTAGTTATGGAGATACCAACTTACACGCAAAAACTTAACCAAAAATTTCTAAGTCGAAAAAGGGGCATAATTATGTTAAAAAGCAAATCCGAGTTATGGGACTTGTGCCAATCATCTAAGATAATCACAGAGAACAAGTGTGTGAAGTTTCAATCCATTACCTTCAGTAGTTATGGAGATACCAGCTTACATGCAAAAACTTAACCAAGAATTTCTAAGTCAAAAAAGGGGCATAATTATGTAAAAAAGCAAATCAGAGTTATGGGACTTGTGCCAATTATCTTAGATAATCACAGAGAACAAGTGTGTGAATTTCAATCCATTCCCTTCAGTAGTTATGGAGATACCAGCTTACACGCAAAAACTTAACCAAGAATTTCTAAGTCGAAAAAGGGGCATAATTATGTAAAAAAGCAAATCAGAGTTATGGTACTTGTGCCAATCGTCTTAGATAAACACAGAGAACAAGTGTGTGAAGTTTCAATCAATTCCCTTCAGTAGTTATGGAGATAACAGCTTACATACACAAACTTAACTAAGAATTTCTAAGTCGAAAAAGGGGCATAATTATGAAAAAAAGCAAACCAGAGTTATGGGACTTGTGGCAATCATCTTAGATAATCAGCAGAGAACAAGTGTGTGAAGTTTCAATCCATTCCCTTCAGTAGTTATGGAGATACCAGCTTACACGCAAAACTTAACCAAGAATTTCTAAGTCGAAAAAGGGGCATAATTATGTAAAAAAGCAAATCAGAGTTATGGTCTTGTGCCAATCGTCTTAGATAAACACAGAGAACAAGTGTGTGAAGTTTCAATCAATTCCCTTCAGTAGTTATGGAGATAACAGCTTACATACACAAACTTAACTAAGAATTTCTAAGTCGAAAAAGGGGCATAATTATGAAAAAAAGCAAACCAGAGTTATGGGACTTGTGCCAATCATCTTAGATAATCACAGAGAACAAGTGTGTGAAGTTTCAATCCATTCCCTTCAGTAGTTATGGAGATACCAGCAGCTTACATACAAAAACTTAACCAAAGATTTTCTAAGTTCGAAAAAGGGCATAATTATGAAATAAAACAATTCAGAGTTATGGGGACTTGTGCCAATCATCTTAGATAATCACAGAGAACAAGTGTGTGAAGTTTCAATCCATTCCCTTCAGTAGTTATGGAGATACCAGCTTACATACAAAAACTTAACCACAGGGACGCCGACAAATGGGTGACTGCATTAGCTCGATTATTCTGCGAATAGTCGAGCTAAAAATCATAGGTGGTATTTGATGCATTTATGTATTGTTTATCGAAATGGCCCGATAGATTATTTTGATCTATTGTTTTGTTGATTTGTTCGGCGTAGATTATGTTGGGGTGGGGAAAAGGCATTTCATTCCTTGTGTTTATTTATACAGTCTAGGGGGTATATTTTGGATATTATCATTAAAATTGATAGAATTTCAAGTTCCTGTGCTAAAGCAAAGACAGTGTTCCTTTGGCCTGTATAGTCGCATGGATTTTTTGCCAGAGAAATGAAATGTGTTGTTTTGGGTCTTGGGTCACCGTCAGTGATTTTTCTCGCTTAATTGGGAAAAATTATCGCTAAAATTGCCAATTTGGGAAGAAAAAAGCATGTTTCAGTTCAGATTTTTGGGAAAACTGCATGATTTTAAAGAAAATTTCAATTGGGAAGTGGCCCTTTTCCGGAGTCTGTTATATATGTAGGAAAATCACTGACTGTATATTTTGGGCTTCAACTGAATGAATTGCAACTTTTTTGACTGCCTGCCTATTGCAGATGGGATCATTTAAGAATCCGGGTCAGCTCGGCCCTAAAACGTACTCGGCCCCCGAGTCAGCTCGGCCCTTTTCCAACTCGGCACGGGTCAACTCGGCCCACTTTTCAATTATTAATATTTAGGTTTGTGTTAACACTATTTATTGTAATTATTGTAATTATTTATAATACATGCACGGATTGACAGTTTCGAACTAGCAGCAGGCAAGCTTTTCTTATCAGTAGAATTGCGAGTAAAGATAACCAATAGCGTATCTCACTGTATTTCTACATATTTAACTTCTGTTCTGTTCTTTATTACTTTAACGTTCTAGATAATGCACAGACAAGGTCTTTCTATTTGATAGAAGAAAAAAAAACGTATGACACATGCAAATAAATTTCGGCAACAATCAATGCGCTTATACGGAAGATTTAATTAGAAGCTTATGTCATGATATTAAGTAAACACGTTTTTGTTTAATTTTTTAAATATTATTTTACAAACACATTTTATTAGAATCTACATCTATATTAATTTTATCGAATCTGCAAGACAGATAAATAACATTTTTTTCTAAATATACTTTATTTCAGAAGAAGTACAATGTATGTGAATAATTATATAATAATAAGATATTTCTTATTATTCATTTACCTTAACAACATGCAAAGCAAAGTTAAAACGTTATATATACTTTTGCAAAGTGGGCCGAGTTGACCCGTGCCGAGTTGGTATAGGGCCGAGTTGACTCTTTTCCTCATTTTATTGTAGATTTGCAATCTTATGTCGTATATGTTCTCAACAAAATGTGTTTTCTTTTTCTAGGTTGTGTAGTTTGGTATGGACATTGACGGCAGGAACTTGAAATTAACTGTGGAGCACTACCTCAAGTTAAATTGAATATCAGATCTGTCGCGAATACATGTGACAAATGTAAATTGCCGATTATTAGGATGTCTTTGTTCTATAAGAAAATAAAATTATAATATATAAATTAGCAGTGTTACCTTTCCAGTCACTTCGCTATAGTTTAAAGAAGGGTGGTCAGTAAGAAGTGATTTTAATTTCTTTGACATTTTCACGTGTTGTTGTTTTTTACTTTGTTATCTCCCTTTGATCAAGGATCGACTAAAAAATTGCAGACCGTTATTTCCCGTACTTTAAAGTTTAAAGTCTGTCACCGTTTTCATACGGTGGCACAGAGGTGACATGTTTGTGTTTTTTTTATCTATCTCATGCTATGTAGTGCACACAAGTTACCATGTCAACGTAAGTAGCTCAAAGCTCACGACATACTAACTCGTGCTCAAGACATAATAACTCGTGCTTACGACACAGTTACTCGTGTGCACAACTTAAAATTTTATCTCGTGCGTACGATCTTAAGTAACTCGTGTACACGATGTAGTATCTCATGCGCACGACATAGCACCTCGTGAGCAACTTTTTATTTCGTGCGCAAGACTTAGTAACACGTGCGCAAAGTATCTCGTGCGCACGACATATTATCTCGTGCGCACGAGATAAATAAAAACATACATATATCATCTTTGTGCCATATTGTCAATCTCAAAATAATGTGCATTAAATAGATCTAATCATTTGTTATACCCATGAGAATAGTAGGTCTATGATGACTGACTCACTTACTCTCTCACTCACTCACTAGTTTAACTAACTTACTGACTGACTGACTGACTGACTAACTAAATAACCCAACTAATAACTAATCCAACTAACTAAACTAACTAACTAACTAAACTAACTAACTAACGATCTAACTAACTGACTGACTGACTGACTAACTAACTAACCCAACTAACTAACCCAACTAACTTACCCAACTAACAAACTAACCCAATTAACTAACCCAACTAACTAACTAACTAACCCAACTAACTAACTAACCCAACTAACTAACTAACTTACTAACTAACCCAACTAACTAACCCAACTAACTTACTAACTAACCTAACTAACTAACTAACCCAACTAACTAACTAACTAACTTACTAACTAACAAACCCAACTAACTAACTAACTAACTAACTAACCCAACTAAATAACAACTAACTAACTAACTAACACAACTAACTAACTAACTAACAACTGACTAACTAACTAACCAACAATCTAAATAACCCAACTAATTAACTATAACTAACCCGCTAACTTACCGGCTAACTAACTAACCAATCCACTAACTGACTTACTAAGAACTAATTAACTGACTGACTGACTGACTAACTGACTGACTGACTGACTGACTGACACATTGGGAACCTTATCTAATTATTGTTATCAAAATAAGAATAATTAGCCTCTATAAACACCCTAACATATAGACCTAAGAGTTCATATATCACCGTAGGGAACGTGTTACAGTATCGCGTTTTTCGGTTACAGTATAGAATTTTCAAGATGGAGGATTATTTATGGGAAGAGAGGTAGGTGATTTTTATTCAGGTCCATACTACTAGTAGTTAAGTTTTTAAAAGATGTTTTTGTGCTTTGCTTGTAAGGAACAGAATCCGGTATCTAGTCATATATTTCATCAGACCCTGCACCGCAGATTTATCTCTATATTGTCTCATAAATGTGCAGATTTGACATTTTAAAAATTTGAATCGAGGGACCAACGCATTTTTCTCCCATTCCGACATTATCTAAGCATGCCTAGATAAAGTAAATCTACAAAACGTTAGTCCTTTATATTTAGAAACGTCTATAAAAGTAAATGACCAGTTGAACCTATTTTCCTGTTGGTAAAATGCGTTTGAAAAAATAAACAATGTTACAGTATAGAGCGAGTTTAATTTTGGAGGGTAACAGCATAGACCTAGCGACTTTGACCTGTAGTGTTGTTAGTATTTAGAGATTAGCTCCGCCTACTTGATTAAATATGCACACTCTGAGAACTCTCTCTCTGAGCCCTCTTTGATAGACAGTTTGGATTACACATGCAATGTAGCAACATCTCTGTGAATACTCTTGTAAATAAATCTTAGAATAGAATGTTTATATTGAGTTTTCAATACAGTACAATGGCGACGAGGATTTAAAAAGAAAATTGGATAACATGATATTTGTTGATTAAATTAAATAAGTGAACACCGGAAATTTACACATTTTGGAATTTAAAGTTTAAAACACTTTTCCTGGACTTTGTTACAACTTAGCTCTATCAATAATACTGATACAGTGACAGTATGGCACAAGGATTGCCAGTTTTTCCATCATTTGGTGTAAGTGAACCTGGTGTTGACACAAGATGGAGGAAGTGGACAGGTCGATTCGAAAACTTAATGATTGGCATGGACATTAAAGATAAAAAACGTCAGAGAGCCTTATTTCTACACTATGCAGGGGAAGAGGTAAATGACATTTTCGACGTACTGCAGAATACAGGGGATGACTACGAATCAGCAAAGATAAAGCTAACAGAGTACTTTGCCCCCAAGAAAAACACAGAATTTGAGATATATAAATTTAGACAGGCAAAACAGGAATCTAATGAAAACATTGATAGTTTTCACACACGTTTAAGACACTTAAGTATAAACTGTGAATTTTCGGAAACAGACAAAGAAATTAAGTCACAAATCATTCAAGGCTGCACCTCAACTCGACTGCGTCGCAAAGCACTACGCGATGACCTGACATTAGACAGTCTCATCAAAGAAGCAAGGACACTAGAACTATCAGATCAACAAGCATCTGAAATTGAAGGTCAAACAAAATATGACGCCGTTAATGCTATGAAATCACGAAAAAGACAAAATCAAAAGGCGCAAAAAGAAAGACGCAGACACATCATTAAGGAATCAATATGCAGATACTGTGGCTATGAATATCCACACAAATCAGGAAAATGCCCAGCCAGTGGAAAAACATGTACATATTGCTCAAAGAAAAATCATTTTGAAGCAGTGTGCTTGTCAAAGAAACGGGACAATAACTTCACATGCCAGCTTAATGACAGCTCACAAAGTGAAAGTGATAAGGACAAAGAAAGTGAAGATGAAAACGAAATATATGGACTATCTGTCAATTCTATGCAATTACAAAGACCAAGGCTGAAAGTGCATATCAACGGCTGTAAAATTAAAGCATTAATTGATACAGGATCATCAATAAATGTAATTGACGAAAACACGTACTCAAAGCTTCAAAATAAAGTTCATCTTAAGAGAGCACACACCAAAGTCTATGCATATGGTGCTAGTAAAGTTACCTTATTAGGCAAGTTCCAAGCACAAATTGAATCTAAAAACAAAATAACAACAGCTCCAGTATATGTGACAAAGGGCGCCAGCGGTAATCTTCTCTCTTATCAGACATCTGTTGACCTCAATATCATTCCAGAAATAAACACAGTCACAGACAGCAAGGTCGATGAACTCTGCAAAAAGTACCAAACCGTGTTCACAGGCATGGGGAAAATGAAAGCAACAAAAGTCAAACTATATGTGGATAAAAATGTTCAACCTGTTACGCAACCACATAGACGAATACCTTTCCACTTAAGAAAACAAGTTGAAAATGAGCTTCAGAGGCTTGAGGACCTAGATATCATTGAAAAAGTTGAGGGTCCCACAGACTGGGTATCACCCATTGTAGTAGCTCCAAAGCCAAAAACTAACCAAATAAGGATATGTGTCGACATGAGGCTACCGAATCAAGCCATAAAGCGTACAAGACATATTATTCCAACAATTGATGACATGATTGTGGACTTAAGTGGTGCCAAAGTTTTCTCTAAACTCGATTTAAATCATGGATATCACCAATTAGAACTGTCAGAGGAATCACGCAACATTACAACATTTACAACACATGTTGGATTAAGACGATATAAACGCCTCAGTTTCGGAATCAATAGTGCAGCAGAAATATTCCAAAATGCTTTAAGTACGGCTCTAGAAGGTCTGAACGGCGTGAGAAACATTTCCGATGATGTCATTATATGGGCTGGCGACCAAGCAGAACATGACAGAAGACTTGAGGCAGTGTTAAAGCGACTTGAGCAGAAAAACTTAACTTTGAATAAAAGCAAATGTGAGTTTAATAAGCAAAAACTTGAATTCTTTGGGTACATTTTCAGTAAAGATGGAATGTCAGCAGACCCTAAGAAAATTGACACAATTAAAAAGACACAGCCTCCAAAAACAGTTTCAGAAGTCAGAAGTTTCCTAGCAATGACAAATTACGTGTCACGCTTTATCCCAAATTACAGCACTATAGCAGAGCCAATACGTCGTCTGATAAAGAAAAACGCAAAATGGGCATGGCAAAATGAACAAGACGAAGCATTCAACAAACTGAAATCTATTTTGAGTAGTGATACAGTCATGACATACTTTGATCCTAATAAGGAAACACAAATAATCACAGATGCATCTCCAGTCGGAGTAGCTTCAATTATGCTCCAAGAAGGTAAAGTTGTGTGTTATGCAAGCAGATCACTGACAGATGTTGAACGAAGCTCTTACAGTCAACAAGAGAAAGAAAACTTAGCATTAGTTTGGTCATTAGAACATTGGCACATATACTTATTTGGACATAAATTCACAGTCATAACTGATGCAAAATTTCTTGAGAATATCTACAATAATCCTAAATCAAAACTTGGATCTGCAAGACTGGAACGTTGGAGAATGCGTCTGTTATCATATGACTTCAGGATCGTGCACAAACCTGGAGAGTCAAACATGTCAGATTATCTAAGCAGACATCCAGACACAGGACAAGGCAGCAAATCAAGCATAGCTGAAGAATATGTAAGTTTTCTTGCATATCATGATGTACCTGTTGCAATGAACATGAATGAAATTATTCAGGCAACTTCTACGGACAATGACCTCCAAATGGCCATTAAATCCATAAAGACGGGTTGTTGGAGCAACACCAATAAAAATAAAGTATTTGATACGTTCTCTCGCTGTAAGAATGAATTATCGGTAGTAAATCTCCAGGGAGGTGAAATCTTACTGCATGAATCAAGAATTGTTATTCCTAAGCAGTTGCAAGATAAAGCGATATCATTAGCTCATGAAGGTCATCAGGGAATTGTTAAAACCAAACAACTGTTAAGAGAGAAAGTGTACTTCCCAGGCATGGATCAACAAGTTGAAAATATGTGCAAAGGCTGCATTCCGTGCTTAGCAGCAACAAATTCAAAACAGCATGAACCTTTAAACATGAGTGATATGCCAAAATACCCATTTCAAATGATTAGTTTGGATTTTTGTGGCCCATTTCCAGATGGAAAATATCTGCTTGTACTAATTGACGAATATTCACGTTTTCCTTTCGTAGAAGTCTTAAATTCCATAACAGGAAATACAGTGATCCCTGTGCTGGACAAAATATTCTCAGAAACCGGAATTCCTGAAATTCTCAAGTCAGACAACGGCAGTCCTATGAACTCTCACCTATTTAAAAGCTTTGCAAAACACATGGGCTTCAAACATAGGAAAATAACCCCATTATGGCCACAAGCAAATGCCGAATGTGAGCGATTCATGAAAACCATAGGCAAGTCAATACGAGCTTCTCATGTGCACCATACAAACTGGAAACAAGACATGTATGCATTTTTAAGGAATTATAGATCTACACCACATGGGACAACGGCCGAAACTCCTGCACAATTGTTCTACGGGAGGCCTATTAACATCAAAATTCCCATGGTTCAAAAACAAAAGAAATCTAAAAATGACATAAAGGCCAGAGAAAATGACAGAAAATCAAAACAAAAAATGAAAGAATACGCTGATAAACGAAGAAACGCTCGGAAAACTGAAGTTAAAATAGGCGACAGTGTGTTAGTAAAGCAAACCAAACAAAACAAACTCACAACTCCATACGACCCTAAACCGTATGAAGTAACCAAGAAAAAAGGATCAATGATAACGGCAGAGCGAGAAGACAAACACATCACTAGAAATTCATCACATTTTAAACGTGTCGGCAACTCTCAACCCCAAAGTCTAAATGGAAATTCTCCTTTAAATGTCGAGGGTGAACACAGCAATACAGAACCAATTTACAACGAAACGAGCATAGAATCACAATCCGATGAAAGCACAATGTTTGAAACCTTACCTACATCAAATGAGTATACCTCTTTGCGAAGATCTGAAAGGCACAGAAAACCATCTGACTATTTAAAGGATTATATGTGTAAATAGTGTTAAATAGTGGCATAATAATCCACTAAAAGTTAGCTAAATGAGTGAAAACCACCTGTATATATATGATATATATGACTATTTAGAAGAATAAATGTATAAACAGTGTTAAACAGTGGCATAATAATCCACTAAAAATTAGCTTCAACATTCATTCAAACAAACGAGTTCGATTATTTTAACTGTCGGTGTGCACAAACATTCAAAACAGGGATTTAATATAACTGCTGATAATCATACAATTCTTTACTATGTGCTTAAATCTCCAGAGGAAAATGGAATACAAGTATAAATGAAACATTCAATTAGCATTTTGATACTTAAACTATTTGTGTATCATTTAGATTCTATCTTCAATCTTTATTCTAATTTGTTTTATTTCATGCTGATAAAACCTGTTTGTATTCTGTAAACATTGAAAATTTACTCAACACAGTTTAGACGTTAAGTTAATTTATTGGACTACGGACAGTCAGTAACTTTCTAGACTTATTGCCTCTAGAACATAAACTGAGATTTAATGTGATAGCAATCAAGAGACTATCATTACTGGATATAAAATAATCATTAAATTGTAGTGGCAGCGCCAGCGTGAAATAAACACCTGTGAATCAATGGATATCTGAGACAATAACATTACTGTCAGACAAATAATTAATGTCCTTCATTAGGACTGACCAGTGAACTTTAAACCTAAGCAAGGCGGAGATGTAGTGTTGTTAGTATTTAGAGATTAGCTCCGCCTACTTGATTAAATATGCACACTCTGAGAACTCTCTCTCTGAGCCCTCTTTGATAGACAGTTTGGATTACACATGCAATGTAGCAACATCTCTGTGAATACTCTTGTAAATAAATCTTAGAATAGAATGTTTATATTGAGTTTTCAATACAGTACATGATCCAATTTTGTTACAGTTTATACCCAGATTTCGGTTACAGTTTAGATACTTGCCAAATTTCAAACAAAGTTCGTTATGAAATGACTCATATCCTTCTATTTAATACATTCTTGAAAGGTTGTATTACTTTTTTTCTTCAGCAGAAAAGTTATAGTTTGCTATTTTTCTTACTTTAAGTTTCAGATTGAGACTTTTTGCAGAATAAGTAATGTCCTAAGTAAGGACTGTTTTCACGACAACAACAGTAACTTTTATCGAATTGTATTGAGAGAAGAAAGATTATTGCTTGATTTCATTACACATTATAATAATGCCCATTAGTAATAATATAGAGAAAAAAGAATCCTTAACAGAAGTCCAACACAGAAAACATGAAAATGTTGCAGGCTCAGTTTGATTAAACCTGTTCATGGACGGTAGTGGTAACTGCAACCTACCGTCCACGCCTCCTAGCACCGGCTGTGGATGTGTTCATATGGCGGTTATCATGGAACCTTCAATGTGAGACGTTATTGCCATTCTATGAAAAGCGGCATATTACTCCCAGGTTAAAAACTGCGTGTGCCCTAAAAGAGAATACAATGAGTGAAACTAAATAAAATGAAATTTTGAGAGGGGATCAGAGGTTATGAAGCCTGCATACCATAGATAAGCTGCCAAAAGACACAATTAACAAGCAGGCAATACCCTAAGAATGATTAAACAGTATTTAAGTGAGCAATACTGCAACCTTAAATTTTATTTTAAGTTGGAATAATGTATTTTGTAAGTATTTTAAAGGGTTTGTTGTTGGCTTTCTTGGATTTTAAGTTTCAACGACACTGAGGTCATGTGAAAACATTCCTGCTTTAGTGTAAAGAAAGACCCCAGATACCCTTTGTGAAACATTTCAGACACGAGTGGGCATCTGACTAGAACCACCGACCTTCCGTAAATTAGCTTGATAGATTCCTCACAAACAACGAATCCAAAGTCATGATTGGATTTCAACTACAGCAGTAAATGAAAGATGATTTGATGTGGACGGCCTTATCCCGACTCTGCCACTATTATGTACCTCAATCAGGCTCACTAGAGAAGATATTGTAATTGTCTGACCTTAATTTATACTCTATAACTTTCAATATTATTTTCTTTTTCAGAAACATGAAAACTGCTATACAGGATGTCTGAAATAAAAAAAAAACGACTTTTAATTTAATAATGACAAAATAATCGTAACTTCAACAAAGAAGCATTCGAAATGACGCCATGATCATGATTTTATTTGAATGATTTTGGTTCGAGATGAGAAGGGTCTTTAAACATTGCCTTTTCATAAAATCTATGTTTTAGGTTTTCGTATCTCCGATTGCAACCGAAACTATTTGAACAACTTGTTTGTTTGTTTGTTTGTTTGTTTCATTTTACGCCTTTTCCCAACAGTATTTCAGTCATATAGGCGGGTAGTTTCCTTACCATCGTTCCTGGAGAGTTTCACCAGTACTAGACTACCTTCCTCCGCGCTAAACTACCAAAGCAACTTAATTGGTAGAAAGTCATGTAAATTTCATCACATTTAGTCAAGAATTTACTGAGCGGATGAGATTGCACACACATGTGTACGACAGACGGACGAATAGCCATCGGGCCAATTTTAAAAGTCTATGTATCATTCATGCATTTTACCTTGTATATATAGAAAATATTGAAGTCTAACAACTTAATTGGTAGAAAGTCATGTAAATTTCATCACATTTAGTCAAGAAGTTACTGAGCGGATGAGATTGCACACACATGTGTACGACATACGGACGAATAGCCATCGGACCAATTTTAAAAGTCTATGTAACATTCATACATTTTACCTTGTATATTATATAGAAAATATCGAAGTCTAAACTGTAACCGAAATCTGGGTATAAACTGTAACAAAATCGGAAAAAAATTGCTAGGTCTATGCTGTAACACTGCACAAATCACCTCGCTCTATACTGTAACATTGTTTATTTTTTCAAACGCATTTAACGAACAGGAAAATAGGTTCAACTGGTCATTTACTTTTATAAACGTTTTCTAACATAAAGGACTAACGTTTTGCAGATTTACTTTTTCTAGGCATGCATAAATAATGTCGGAATGGGAGAAAAATGCGTTGGTCTCTCGATTCAAATTTTCAAAATGTCAAATCTGCATTTTTACGAGACAATATAGAGATAAATCTGCGGTGCAGAGTCTGAAGAAATATATGACTAGATACCGGATTCTGTTCCTTACAAGCAAAGCACAAAAACATCTTTTAGAAACTAAACTACTTGTAGTATGGACCTGAATAAAAATTACCTACCTGTCCTCCAAACAAATAACCCTCCATCTTTAAAATTCTATACTGTAACCGGAAAACGCGATACTGTAACACGTTCCCTACGGTGTATATATACTGTTAGAAATATAGAAAAACATGTACAAACGTACGCGTATCTGACCTTTTGTACAAGTACAAGATACAATGTATGCAAAATAACACCTCAAATGCATGATATTTTCCTAAATCATCGCAATAAATTATTCGTATCAATGGTGTCTGATCACAATGATAACCCTATATTTAAACTATCAAATGTATCCTTACACGTAGGTGTAAGTCTGATTTTGTCTTTGTTAATTTTGATCCGGTGCATTAATAATAGATCTTAATTAAGTCAACAATAAATCAATAAAACGGGTGTAAAGTGTTAAATCATTGTAAAATGCCACATGAAGCGTTATGATTTTTATGTTTCAGTGAAAACATGCCTTATCATGGACTTATTACTAACTTTTAAATTTGTACTTTCAGACTTACATAAACTTGCCACGTTTATTTTCATTGTTCATATCATAAGAATAGGTAAGACAACTTTGATATAATATGATGTAAGTAAAAGATAGGCAGATGCTTTGATGTTTTACATACAACAGCGTATTGTTTGGCAATATTGACATGAGACTGATAAATTTTCGAGACGCGTTTCGTTAGTTTCCGTAATTCATTACGATTTACCCATTAATTTTTATTGATAGTAAAGTTTACATTGATATGCATAATAATTATTGTGACCTGATAACCTAGTGGTGAACCCGCGGTCTCACTAGCTTACTCCCGGCAAAGCCCAGGACCACCTCGGTAAGTTACTGGGATGATCAGGGTCGATCCGGGGTGAAATTATTGTTGTGGTCACACTCCGGCAGCACTCAGTAATTCCAAACTTACCACCAGGATGCGCTCCGGACCATCCAGGCAGAGACCACGTGAAGCTAAAGTTCATGCCGGTGCTTCCCCGGTCGTTCCCGGATGACGTCGGCAGAGCCCCGGTTGACCAAGGCAAAGCGACGGTCGATCCAGGCAGAGCCCAGGATGATCCCAGCAGAGCCCCGTTGGATTGAAAACGCGTGAAAATGATTACGTTGATACATAATTTTCATTTAATATAATATCTCTTGTTCCAGAACAGAGATTCGTGATGATTTTCTGAATAACCCTTATGAAGGGAACGGGGAGGGGTTTTAATACAAACAAGTGCAATCAATTGCAGGCAAATTGTAGTGATTCTTTTTAAATGAACCGGGCTTTGCCGGGGCTCTAACGGGATCAACTGTAGCACCATCGTCATGCTCCGGGGCTCTGCCAGCATCATCCGGGGCTCTGCCGTCATTCACCGGAGCTCCCTGGCATTCACCGGGGCTCTACTGTAGTTCTACCGGCTATATCGTACCCCGGATCATCCCCGGTTTGTGCCGACAGAGCTTCGATGCTTCCCCGGTGTAACCCCGGTCGTTCCCGGCAGAGCTAAGGAGGAACCGGGAAAAGCTATACTTCCCGGATCATCCCGGTGATATTAAATATTTTATTCCATCCGGGGTCGAATGCCGGATGTTCCCGGATCATCGCGGACGTTGCCGGCAGAGTTACGGACGTACTCCGGTTGTTCCCGGCCGTTCCTGGATCACCCCGGACGTCTTCCGGGGCTCTGCCGGGATGTAATTGAGACAGCAGCTTTAAGTATGATGACATTGCTATCGCGAAACTGTAGGTTCGAATCCTCGATAAACTATTTTTTTTATATTTTTTTTTGTAATTATATGCGACATTATTGTATAAATTATTTGATTATTTCTCGGTATTTTTTTTTAATTAAACATGTATATGCCTTAGTAATTTTACATAATTTCAATATGTAATGTCGTATAATGGGTGATTGGCATGTAAAAAACATAGTAATCAAGTTTCGAAAAATAAAGAAAAGAAGAAAAAAAAAACAATGAAATAATGTTTCACTAAGATTCAAATTAAATCCGAAAGTTTTAAGTCATTGTCAGTGAGACTTTTTCGGCAAGTGTTTTGTTACTAACGTTAAGTTATACGTTAACCATGTTTACCGTTATGCCATACTTTAAAATTCGTAAGACTGCTTCGGAATACGATAATCGAAAAAAAAGTCATTGAATATTCAAATGTCTCAGGACAATAGTATCATTTAATACACTGTAAGTGTAAATGTTAAAGAATAGAACAAATCTTGAACGCCTATTTGCAACAGATATTGAACGCCAAGACGCGTTCTATTTCTTAATATTAGTGTTCAATTTTTGTCTCCAACTGTTCATATATTAACGCCTAATGAACATCTAGTGTTCAAATTTTAACGTTGACGTTAAAATCCTAACACAAAACCATTCCATTAAAGAATATGTTGTGAACATTCAGGTGTTCTACTTTAAAATGCCAGACGCGTTCAATTCCGATGCAACAGATATTGAACGCATAGAACACGGAGAAATCATATTAAGATTTATTTAATTATTTTCAGTTATTCACAATAACAAAATGAATAATGTTATTCAAAATTTCTTATTTTTTCTAACTCTAAGCCTTATAAACAGTTATAAAGAAAAAATATCTAAAAGACTTTAACAATTATGATTAGAACACATTAACATAAATTATGTTTTACAAAGTCCTTACGGTAATTTTTAGTACATGTTAACTTGTGAGAGTCTTGAAAACATAAACAATAAACAATGTTTTATGTCGAAAACAAAGTTAATTTCAAGTCACTGAATTTTAAACACAAACAAACACTATCCACAGCAATTGTCCTCTCCTCTGAATATCATCAGTTTGTGTGGGGTGTTTTCATTTGTCTCTATAAATTTAGCTGGAAAATCATCTTCTTCGTTATCCTGGAAAATATAAATAGAAATTATTTACATGTACATAATTTATATTTCCAACACTTGCTAAGTATTTGATTGTTCTATCCACATAGGTATTCATAGATATTTCAAGGGATCAACAGAACCGTATAAGTTAAAGACAGTACTTATATAAGAGTAAGACCAATGTTGGAATTTAAATATTGTCGAATCTATTGTATTGTTTAAGAAAACAAACCTCAACGATCTGTATGGAAGTCCTGAAATTACATCCCCTTCTTATTTCTGTAAGTATTTTGCTCCAGTTTCTATAGATCTATACAGCAGTTCAAGGCGTTCAGCACTTCTTGTTCCACAACAGTACTTACTTACTAGCTATCCTATTAAAATATAAAGCAACACAAATAATTATATATCATTTAAAGATCTACATACAGAATTTAAATAATTAATTAATCTTAGCAGACTGCTCAGAAAAAATCTACATTCTCACATAGATCTACATGTATATGTAGAATTAGGTCTAGATTCTACTCCTTGTAAAAAAAATAAAGAGACACGTTATGCCATTGTGAACTACAACATATCGACTAAGTTCTAAACAAACACATAAATCCATTTAATAAAAATAAAATGTATGGATAAAAAAGATGCTAATGAAGTGTATGTTACTTCTTAAAAGTTTATACCGTATTTTTCGTCAGCTTTATTTTCGTTGTTGTTGTTGTATTTAATGTGCCCTCGTGCGGATGCTAATTATGACGTCACAAATCTTTTTTAGACACGTTCTCAATTAGAACATCCAGGAACTTGTATATCTATCATACTTAAATTCTATACCCTGTTGTTTCCGAGATGATTATGGACAATCGACGTGAGTTCCAAATAAAAATTTTCGCATGTACGCGACCCATTCCAGCTTAAGACTGTACATGATTAAAGTTTATGGAGAAAAGTGCAACGGATACAACTAGAAATTATTATTCGGGTTAGTTACAGAAGCAGAGGATCGAACTTCCTAGGGTGAAACAAATAAAGCATTATATTTGGAATGTGTTAAAGTTGACAAGCAATAGATGGATGAATATCTCATTTAAAATATATTAAAATATTTATCACTCTTGTGATGATCTAGCTGTGAGTTTCATTATATTTTCAGCTGAAGGTCAATGTACAAGCGATACAAGGCCCCTCGTTTTAAGTTCATCCAACTCCATCCAATACTTCTCCTCTCCAGCGTATCCGGCTGACTATCCTCCGTATGTACTTTACCAAAGTCTACTCGTAGGCGTTTATCTGAGTAGAGTTAGTAACGATATCCAGGGGTTGGTGGTTTGACCCTCAGGAGATGTGTAATTTCTCTGAATGAGTGTAACGGTCATTTGTCTCTCAGTGCTTTAAAATTGAGAACTCATGTGAGATTATCAGTTGGTCACAATTTGAGAACTTGGTAATTACTGGCAAGTTATCCAGGAAAGCCGGGTATGTGGATCCTTCCCCGAGATATGACCCAAAATGTGTTAAAAATAATTAAACAAACAAACATACATAATTGATTTTTTCGTCATTCATTTCAGGGTTTTATCGAAAAGAACAATTCTAGTGTTTTAATCACACTAGAGTTATTTAATTCTTTCTTTTTTGACAGAAAATATGTATTACGCTTTATGAGTATTCAACTGATTTTACGGGAGAGTCATTCCTAATTAAGTCATTGCCGCGGAAGTGTTATTGTGACGTGTACAATCATAGCAAAATACATATTCAGACCCTACATTAAAATCTAATGACTTTCCGCTTCATAATCATAGTTAATGAGATGCGTGTTTACTTTATCCCCCGGGTTACTTCTTTGTGATATCATTTAAATATTTTCACCAGGAATGCGGACTGTACCTGGCACATACAGGCCCCGAATGAATACGACAAGATTATTTTGAATGTAGAGCTGTTCCGTACACAACAAGATGAGTTTCTCAAGATATATGATGGCGGTAAATAGTTTCCATAGTTAACATCATGTTTTTAGATATATAATTTCTTTGTAATGCCTTTTTATTTCTTGTTCCAGATGATAATTTATGTTTGAGCTTTAAGTATAATGTTATTGATTATCTGTTATAATTCTAAAGTAGTTAATTCTGTTGGTTTATACAAATTTATTTTAGTTTGATTGTATTGGAAGCTATAAGCTTATAGAAACACTCTCAAATCCGTTCCTGGAACCAACCAGTACTAAGCAATGAATGTAAAGTTTCTTGCTCAAGGAAACAACGGCTTGCCCCTGACAGGGTTTGAACCCATGCGTTAAGCAATCCTTAGATTGCTAGTCCGACGCGTTAACCACTCGGCTACGCCGCCACTTAATTCTGTTTAAATCTGTAAACTATCTTTTACTAGACTAAACCCGTGTTTCGAGACAGGGAACTTCGAGTCGCGTGTCTTACATGTATTTATTCAGTGAGTTCGATCGGTTTTGATTTATGTTCAGGAACTGTGACTGGAACACTATTGGCAGAGATAGATGATACAAATCAGAAACAGTCCAATGCATTTGTTAGTCCTGGTGATGAACTGTATTTCACGTTCCAATCTGACGGGGAAAATGAGGCTACTGGTTTCAATATTCTTTTCTTCTCGAATCAATCAGGTATATGTGTATGTCAAAATTACCTAATTTATTGCGTATTATCATTAACCTGATATGCATTTACACCATTACACTATTCTTAAACCATTGATAGGCAATGACGAAAATTAATTATCTTACATCATTGCTGAAAACAATCATTTCAAAATCAAATCAAGTACAAGTACAATGTCCAAATCATTGAATAAAAATAAACTCGATTCATGGATGAAAAACACATTTGTACATGTATTGTAATTTTCTTTATTGTTAGTTATCCAATCATATAACGAAATACAATGTATAATATTTTATTTAAGCCAATCAGCATGCGTGTGGCGAGACTATAACAGTTTCATCAGCACCACAGATATTTATGTCCCCGAATTTACCAAATCAGTTTACAGCGTAAGTACAAGCTATACAAAAAAGTCAAAAAAGATATTTTATTATTTACTAAAGTATTTCTTTATGAAACATGCATAACGTTATCACATTTCATTTTATAGAGGTGATGCATCTCTTAAAAATCATTAGCTTTCTACCGTGACCCAAATTCGGCGTTCTCCTAAATTCGGCATTGTTTTGTTTTTCATCATTCACGTGAGATTTCAGAGGTGAAGGTCAATCATGTTTATGTCCCACGGTCTATTTTTACAACTCCAGTGATTTTCTGCGCTAAATATGGAGATACGGCTGGTAAACATTAAAAATTGTATATGACATGGAGAAAATTGTGTGTTTTACCTGATGCAATTTTAAGTTTATATATACTTTCCTCTATTTGATTGATGTTGTTGCTTAAAATAATTTGACAGTCGCCGTTTTTATCTAATATTAAACTAACTATTTTTACTGCCGATCTAGGTCAACATACTACGTCACAATCCCGCCAAAATAAAAAAATTACTGCAACCAATCAGAGTCGCCGAATTTAGGTGACGTTTTCAGATCGTAGTAAGATTTTACATCAGCCATATATGTTTATATTTGGCAACCCCTGAACGATTACATTGTTAGAAATCAATTTCAAGTAATTTTTAAATATTTGTAGTAAAATTATATCAAGTATAATTATATATTACTGTAATTTATTGAAAATGCCATTGTCATTTGTTCTTATATCGCCGAATTTAGGTTACACCGGGATACTGACACAATGGGAAAATCTTTGATTTCAGCGACGATGGTTGTAATTGGCTTTTCACATCGGCCAGTGGAGCCATTTCGTTTCAGATATTTTTGGCTTGCAGCCACGGCTGCAAGCCCATTTGTTTTGGAAAACTTGTTCCGGTTAGGTGGTTTCCTGCTTACATTTGTTAGTGCATGATTGAACGAGAAACCAACTGCAATCGTGCCAATCGCAACTTTTTGGCCCTTTCCGTCACTCTTCGGTTTAATGATTATAGCCGATGTAGTTCCGATTGCAATCGTGACAATTCGGGCGATTCCGTCATACTGCGGAATCAGACGAGGTAATATTACGGAAATCTAAGCTATTTTAGTTACTTCGGTAATCCCAGTTTGTTTATATAAATAGGATTCCTATTTTTACTTGATTTATCGGTTTAAACCGTAATAAATTATAAACGAAATTGTTACGTTTCAATTCTTTTTCAAGACGCAAAAGTTAGTTTCTTTTATAATTGTTTTTGTCTGTATTAGTTTTGTATGTTAATTGACATATATACCTTATACAATAGAGGATGGTTACGTCTCCAAAGGGTGGTCTTGCTTACCAAATCACAGAGAATATTAGTGCATGATCGAGTTATATTTAGATCTAATGAACGCAGTAAGGTAATCTAAAAATAGCCCATGCATATCATTAACCTTACCGTATCTGTGGTTGTGTAACATAGTTGATACATGCTTATTAATTGGTACCACGTAACGAAGTATTTTAGTGCATTTACTTGTCCATAAAGATGCTATATAAATGAAATTAGCAACTGCCAAAACGAATGATTTCTCTTGAAATGAAATGTTCCTTGTGACCCCGATGTCTTTTTGCCTTGTATAAGTAAAGAACAAACTGAGGGTTACTGGTTCATCAATTTAATTTGTAGTGGACACTAGCTTTATATATAATTCCAATTTGGTACATCTCAACATCAAACATCATATGTCATACATCATACAACATACACATCACAGTTACATCACATCTACATCACATCTATATCACATCTATATCACATCTATATCACATCTATCAAGCCCTGAAAGTATAAATACCAAACATCCCATACTATCATGAAATATATATAGTTTTATACATTTGTATATACTACAGTACCTTAAATATACGTAATCTAATATTCTATCAACAGATCAGTCTATAGGGATAGACCATTCATTTTATCTCATGTAAATAAATCATGTACACATAAAGTACATCTTTTAATGTATTACATCATATTGTACCTGCATCTAGTGACCACTTAATCATTTACTTATAAAACAATATACATTATGTTCAACTTAAGAAATACATATAGCTCTAAAAATATATAAACAATAACATATAAATATAATATAACATACCAATTGTGGATCAGACTCTGTAAATATACCTCTGTCACTCACACCTGTCTCACTGTGCTGTTAATTATGCTGTAAACTGTAATTTACAAACATCAGTGCAATACAAATAGAAACAGTGATTTCTAGGAATAACTATATTAAAGATAAGAACATATGCTGCCATCTTGAATTCTAACACTCAAGAACAATACAAATTTATCAAAATAACTTTTATCAAATCCACAACTGTATTTAATTACTATAAGTCTTCATTTAGTTGACATTAGAACTTTTAAGAACAAATGAATAAAAGAAAAGAATTGTTTCCTTTTCAGTATGATAGAATAGTTAGTATTTTTATGATTGATTATTTTCTTTACAAGTTTTATACAATAGAGAATAGATTTCAAATTGTTTTGACAAAAAAATATTCGTTTTTACAAAAAAAAAACAACTAAATAAACACTTTATGAAGGCACAACTGTGCAAGCCTTTCCTTTTAAAAGGAAACTTTATTCATGGATATGGCCAGTTGTAAAACGGAGTTCCTATCATTCTATATGGGCAAGTCAGTTTTGATTATCACTTCCGCATTTTTGCTTAACATCATTCACTATTACATTGTTATAATTGTGACAGCTGAAATCTAACAGGAACTTTTGTAAGAAATATCTAACGTTATGTTAAATGTTCATAGAAGTGCAAACTCGTTTGAATAACATCTTAACTAAATCTCAAATAGCCGTTGTCTAATCGGTATTTTGTAATTTCTGTAGTCTTATTTCGTCATTTCGGTATCCTTTTCCTCATCACTTCAAAAACACATATCTCATAGTTTGTGTAGTCCCTTCTATTTTCATTTCTGTAACTTTTCCCTCATCACTTCAGTAACAGTTACCTCATAGTTTGTGTAATCCCTTATCTCGTCATTTGTGTAACCTTTTCCATATCACTTCAAAAACATTTATCCCATATCGGCCACTACTAGAACCACTATCCAATCATTCCGGTTCCTTTATCTTGGAATTTCAAGAACCGTTATAGCATCGTTTTAAATGCGTATATATGATCATTTCAGGGACCTCTTCTGACAGCAACTTGCTTGTTCAGGAATGTGAAACAGCCTTTGTATATGAATTTCCTGCAATTAGTACTACCGGTTCTAATGCATATGTAGAATGGACAGTAAGCCAAGACGCTATTGGATACGGTTTCATGTTTGCGTTCCTGCAAGGTGTTGGTAATTTTATTCTTGTACTTGTAGAAAATATTGAGTCTAAAACAGGCTGGCGAAATTATTAACAAATTATAGCATCCTGCCTTCAGATGGTAAAAAATGAAATGAAATAAAATAAGAAAAAATGATAACAAAAAAATTAAAGTAAACGATAAATCTATCTTTACTGAAAGAAAGAAGGTTGAAAAAACTGTCAGTTATTTGTGCTTCTTCGTAGCATAATCTTTTGCGTTACTTACGCAGTAGCCGATATAAATAGAAAAGATTATTTATTCAATGTGGTCACGTGTCGTAATAGTGGTTGGGAAAATTTCCAGGGATTTGGTACGCCCTTTCCACGTATTTCAATTTTAGTTAATGTTCAGGCTGGTACTAGTATATTGCTCTTATCATATTTCAAGCTAAAATTAAATCAATATTCCTGTCAATATGTTTTATGATTTTATGAAATTATTAATCAATAAAAGAGACTTATTATTCAATACAGCTCTGTGTTAATATCAATAACTTTAAGTGCAACATATTACGACAAATATCAAAGCTAAAGCGGTTTCCTCATTTCCCGATTCCACGTCCCGTGCGTTCAGTATCACGCATTCCATCTCGTGGTACATTAAATAAATAATCGTGATGAAAAAGACCGTAGTATAATAAAAGAAGCCAGGTCAGGGCTGGGAATCAAAAGTGCATCCTTAAATGTAAACAAACGCCGCCATCTTGGAACGAAAAAGGTATGTTTTTGTTGTTACTCTTTTTGTTGGAAATGACTGAAAACAAGATACCCGGTATATCTATTAACGCGGTCCACTATTTCCGCTATGTTTCTGAATTTATTTGATATCTTTCTATCTTCAAGTTTAAATGACTATCAGATTAACTCATTTCACTGTCGCGAATACATGCGACAAATGTTAGTTTTCAATTATTACGATGACTTTGTTCTATAAGATATGAATTAACAGTGTTACCTTTCCACTTCGCTATAGTTCAAAGAAAAATGGTGATCTGTTAGCAGTGATTTTTAAAATAAATTCTTTGACACTTTCACGTGTTTCTATTTATTTAGTTATCTACATGGTTTTAAAAAGCAACGCACAACTGGAAGTCATTTTCTTCCCAATCTTCAAGACCTGTCATCAGCCCTGGATCAAGAGGAACAAGTAGACGCTTTACTACTAGACTTCAGTAAGTTGTTCGACGTTCTGCCTCACTAACGACTCCTTTCCAAGGTGAACCAACCCGGCATTAGAGGAACAGTCCGAAGCTGGACCCGGAGCTCCCTGTCTAAACTCAGCCAACAAGTTGTCGTCAGCATCTTCCTCAGTCACTCCAGGCAACAGTATTAGGTACGTTGCTGTTCCTTTTTACATCAACGACCTACCAAGGTGTGTGACTTCCATCAGCCGCTTATTTGCTGACGAGAGCCTGATTTACAGAATAATTGAATCAGAAGATGACGCACAAGCTGTTCAAAGAAGACCTTGATTGACTTCAGGAATGGGAACGGAAGTGGATGATGTCTTTTAATCCCAGCAAATGTGAAGTAATATACATCACCAAGAAAAAAAAACATCATTCATGCCTACAAGGTCCATCAATCAACTTTTCAATCAGTCTAAAGTGGAAAGTGCCTTGGTGTCAACATTGCAAAAAATCTCTCATGGAATCTACCACCAAGAAGAACAACAACGCCCTATCATTCATTACAAGAAATATCACAAGCTGCCCGCAAGACATCAAAGCCAAGTCCGACAAGACCCTTGTAAGACCCATCCTGGAGTAAGCAGGTACAATCTGACACACACACACAGCCATCAACATCAACCAGCTGTAAGATAACAAAGCCAAGTCCGACAAGACCCTTGTGAGACCCATCCTGGAGTACGCAGGTACAGTCTGACACACACACATACACTGCCATTAACATCAACCAGCTGTAAGCTGTGTAAAGGCGAGCTGCCCAATTTGTGAAAGGCGACTACTAGACTACCAGCAGTACCACTGCAATAATGGCCGACCTAGGCTGGCCAACACTACAGCATCACCGCTCCAATACCAAGCTAGTGATGGTCTACAGGATCACGCACAACCTTATAGATATCCCACCTACACAGTACCTCCATCCCCTGACACTTGGTTGCCATGGCTACGGACACAGATTCCATGTCCCATTCTGCAGAACTGACACCATGAAGTTCTCCTTTGTACCCTCAGCCATCCGCCTGTGGAACCAGCTTCCAGAACACTTAGCCACAGCAGTCAACCTTGAGGACTTCAAAGGAGAACTAGTCATGGGGCCCTAATATGCCGGAATTGTTTTCATTTCTACCCTGTTCTTCTTTTAAATTTTCACTTATTCGCCGCACAAAACTTTGTACATAAACCCTGTGCGTTAATGCCCCAGAGCGGGTTATGTACAATACTGGAAGAAGGATCAAGGATTGACTAAAAAAATTGCTGACCGTTATTTCCCGTACTTAAAAGTTTAAAATCTGTCACCGTTTTCATATGGTAGGACAGAGGTGACATGTTTGTGTTTTTATCTATCTAATGTGCACGAGATACTATGTCGTACGCATGAAAAACTATGTCAATCGTAAGTGACCTTACAGCTCACAACATAGTAACTCGTGCTCACGACATAGTAACTCGTACTTACGATACAGTAACTCGTGTGCACGACTTCGTTATCTCTTATGCACGAGTAAGTTATTCGTGTGCACGATATAGTATCTCATGCGCACGAAATTGCTCATGAAGCAATGGGTTTATTATCTCGTGCACAAGACTTAGTAACTCATGGACAGGAGTAAATAAAAACATACACATGACATCTTTGTACCACAGTATTGTCAATCTCAAAATAGTGAGCATTTAACACACCTAATCGTTTGATATATTCTTGAGAACTGATTCTCTTACTCTCTCACTCACTCACTAATCTTACTAACTGACTGACTGGTTTACTAACTTACCGAACTAACTAACTATCCATTTAGCTAAATAACTAACTCTACTAAGTAAATTACCCAGTAAAAACCTAACTAACAAACAAACTTACTAAACCCCAACTAACTGACTACAACCAACCAACCTACCTACCTAACTACTAAATTAACGAATATACTAATTATCGAACTATCTTACTAATTGTAATTTTATAAACGACCGACCATGTAGCTAGCAAACCACCTACTTGTCCGTCCATTCATTCGCCTACTCACACGTATATTGTTATTGACTGGCCATCTGACCGACCATCTAACTGATTGAGATATGCTTACAAAAATCATTACACGCAACACATAAATTAAACATGTTCTTTTTTATTATAACTATTAGTATCATTGCATTTTAATCAAGATTTTTTTTCCTCATTAAAGACCGTGTTAATTTACTACATTTTGTTTATCAAATTTATCTCAATTTCAAATCCTTAAGTTTTAATTCTTTAACTGCACAAACGATTCCAATCCCGATGCAAAACAATTTCAAAAATGTGTATTATGGCAATTAACCAATCAGATACTAGAATATTAGAGGCACATTGGGGACCTAATCTAATTATTTTTATTATCAAAATTAGAATAATTAGCCTCTATGACATCCCTTTAATAACCGATAGCCCTAAGAGTTCATATTGGTACTTATACTGTTAAACAAAGAGAAAAATATGTACAAACGTACGCGTAGCTGGCCTTTGTACAAGATACAATGTATGCAAAAGGACACCTGAAAAGCATGTTATTTTCCGAAATCATTTTTCGTATTTCCGATTATCAATGGTGTCTGATTACACATGATAAACCTATATTTAAACTATCAAAGGTATCCTTGTTTAACACGTGCATGGTTGTAAGTCTAATTTTTTTCTTTGTAATTTTTGATTCGGTGCATTCAAAGATCTTGATTAAGTCAACAATAAATCAAAAGAACGGGTGTAAAGTGTTAAATCATTGTCTGTTTAATGCCACACCAGGTGCTATGATTTTCATATGTAAATGGTTTCAGTGAAAACGTGCTCCATCATGGATTTATTACTAATTTTTAAATTTGTACTTTCAGACTTACATAAACTTGCCACGTTAATTTTCATTTTTCATATCATTACAAAAGGTAAGACAATATTATATACATGTACTTATGTGTAACATAAAGTCATGTCAGTAAAAGAAGTAATGAAACTTTGTAGAAATGAATATTGTAACGCTAAACATACCCTGTCAGTTATATTTATATCCATGCCAATGTCAGTAGTGATATAATTCCAAAGTTTGTCATCAAATCAGAGTGTTGTACATTCAAAAAAGAGCATAACTGAACGGTTTATGTACTTTCAGGATCTACTACAACTTCACCAACCCCTGATACAACAACAGCTGCTCCGGATACAACATCGGCAGCAGCTCCGGATACAACAACGGCGGCTGCGGGCACGACAGCAGCTCCGGATACAACATCGGCGGCAGCTCCAGATACAACAACGACGGCTGCGAGCACAACAGCTGCTCCGGATACAACAACGGCGTCTGTGGGCACAACAGCAGCTCCGGATACCACAACGGCATCTGCGGGCACAACAGCAGCTCCGGATACCACAACGGCGTCTGTGGGCACAACAGCAGCTCCGGATACCACAACGGCATCTGCGGGCACAACAGCAGCTCCGGATACCACAACGGCGTCTGTGGGCACAACAGCAGCTCCGGATACCACAACGGCAGCTGCGGGCACAACAGCAGCTCCGGATACCACAACGGCGTCTGTGGGCACAACAGCAGCTCCGGATACCACAACGGCGGCTGGTGGCACAACAGCAGCTCCGGATACAACAACGACGGCTGCCGACACAACAGCAGCTCCGGATACACAACAACGACGGCAGCTCCGGATACAACAACGGCGGCTGCGAGCACAACAGCAGCTCCGGATACAACAACGGCGTCTGTGGGCACAACAGCAGCTCCGGATACAACAACGGCGTCTGTGGGCACACCAGCAGCTCCGGATACCACAACGGCATCTGCGGGCACAACAGCAGCTCCGGATACCACAACGGCATCTGCGGGCACAACAGCAGCTCCGGATACCACAACGACGGCTGCAGGCACAACAACAATTCCAGATGCAACAACGACAGTTGCGGGCACAACAGCGGTAGCAGATACAACAGTTACGCAAGATCAACTCGGAATTAATTTAACGTATCCGTTAGCGTACGTTCAATTTTCTTTACCCGAGAACACGTCAATTGGATTCGTGAATAAATCTGTTGCTGCGATTATTTTGACCACCACTGGAGTTCTAGATTTGAAAATTGATCCGAGGGTAGGTAGCTGATTACAATGTGAAGTAAAGAAAATCAAAACTTATGAATTTGTCCTTACATGACAATTTTAATCAAATATAAACATAATTAAGGGTCAGCATTTAAATAAAAATAAATAGAAAAGAAATCGATGGTTAAAGTAATGTTTGCGAGCCATTTCTATTGAAGCCCGCTGGTCAATAATGATTGGTTAGTTGTTGGTATCGTCTGACTAATACTTTTCCCGTTTGTATTTATTTTTATTACAATATCTAAATTTTTAAAATCCATACCAAGATTCACGTCAAGAGTTTTGTAGTCTGTAAATGTCCGTTTGTAACGGGGGAGAATTTTGATAATAAATTAAGAAAACTCGTGTATCACATTTTATGTATGGGTTAAAGTGTATTAGTACGTATATTGTATTTACAAAATTATATTGGTCCGCGCGAACTGTTCAATTTTGTAAATACATACTAATGAATTTTAACTGGCCTAGTGTTTTACTAGACTTATTAACAGTTTGCCGATTTACCAAAGTAAATGTGTTACGTTTCATTTGAAATACTGCATTCCTATTGGACAGAAATTAATTTCAAACAATAATATTTCTTTGTATTCAGGTATGCCGCTTTCAGATTTTAATTATTATCATATTGTTACTTTTTTCTAGTATGAATCCACTACAGATCAACCAATTGACATGGCCAACGATGTTCAAGTCTTCTCCTTTACTGAAACAGATTCTCCTTATTATTACCTCTTCTTGGGAAAAAGCTTAGATTATGAAAAGATAGACAAGTTTAGTCTTCTTGTGACGTAAGTGAAATGCTTGTGGTATAATTTAAATTGAATCGAAAGTTCTAACTATGGTTGCTGATTTGGTACAATTTGCGCGTTGCGTTGTCGATAGCGACAACACAACCTATATCGTTATCGCCTTTTCGCATTGTCGTCTTGTCGCTAGCTTCAAACCTGAGGATTGGCTATTTGTCAAGCGACAGGGCGACATCGGAACAACGCGCCGCACGACAACGCGCCGTTTGGCGTGCTTCGCTAGCGATAGGATGACAAGACAACAGTGCGAGTGAGACAATGCGCCGTTTGAAAAGGCGATAACAATACAGGTTGTGTTGTCACTACCGACAACGCAACGCGCAAAATGTACCAAATCAGCCACATACATACAAGATATTTATTTATACAGAAAACAACTTTTGCAAAATAAATTCTGCTCAGCTAGTCAAGTGACTAAAAACGGGTTGAGGTCCCGCTCTTAAAAAGTAATATCTGTGACTATAACTATTAGAGAAATTTCACCACAGTATGAGTTTGAAGCTTTTCATACAAATCACTATATATTGATAAATTCTAAGGCCTATAATTTATATGGCTTTTGGATTATAAACTAGAAATGCCAATGATCGATATTTGATAACTACTGTCTACACACCGCCGTAAAGTGATTAATCAATTAATTAATAATTGATGAATACAATTGAAGTGGATTAGTCTATAATTTAATGGGCACATTGCCCATAAGTTAGTTTTCAAATAAATGATAAAAACGATATAGATATATGATTTAGATATTCTTATAACATATTTCGTTAAGAAAATAATTTGAGTTCAAATTGATTTAGTATGAATTAATATAAAAGTATGCTATAGAACAATATATCGTTTTCTATAGAAATGCATTATTGTATGATATATTTCACATTTTGTAAAACATTAATATATTATTAATACATTGTATATGATTTCATCTCATTTATGATACCATACACTATCAGCATTTGGATTTATGGTATAAGAGACCTTTCCTTCGCGTATTTTTTATAATATATATTGTATAAATATTACGATACAAACAAGCAGTATTATACGGAAAGTGGCAGCCTTCTCGAATTAATACGAACTAATGTTGATGAATTTGAATTGATACTCACGAAGAACATGTCCGCCAACTATAATATTAAAACAGCTTACATTTTACAGGCTAAGTGATACCAACGTCACCGGTGTGTCGTATACTGTCACCTTTGATATAACGATAACTGACGTCAATGACGTAGCCCCCGTTATTCTAAACCTACCAGAGAACGTCACTCTTACAAGGGATGAGGTAAAAGGTAATACATATATATATATATTATTATGCTCTGCGTACGATATTTATTTCTTCAAGCGAACAATTCTATGTCGGACATATATTTGCAATAGTTACGCTGTCTTAAGAAAAACCGTTGTAGCAGGGACTAAATTTATTACTTACAAGTACAAATATTTAATCAAATATGTACTTTATGTCTGTGGGTTTATGCTCATTTGTTGGTACGTCATAAAGACGGTACGTATTGGAGAATTGTGGTCATTTAATTGTTATAGTTAAAGCATTATTCATTTCACCTTGATTTTACAATGGTTTTAATTCATTTAAACAACTCTCGAGTTGCCTAAAAATTACCAGTACTGATGTCAAACGAGGAAACATTGTCGCGACTGCAATAGGGCTTTAGGTCCCTAGATCCCTAGGTTGTGAGGCAGACACCTTGATCACTAGGACACCGCTTAGGACACAATACGTTTTTTAAGTCTATATAGATTACTTGCTCCTTGGGAATATTGCAAAAATATTGATCGGGTGTACATGTATTCATTTCCAAGATGATAAATTGAAATAGCACCATGTCACGTCACATTAGGCTACATAGTAGATTTTTTACGCGACGTATAATAAATCCCAATATTCAAACGTTTGCAGTATTGAAAATTACCGTGTTCAAGCTATTCAATTCTAGATTATAATCGATTTTTGAAATAGATCATAATCTGTAAACGAAATTCTATCATAAGAAAAAAATGTAGCTAAACAGTACGTAACTATTATACAAATGTTGCTTTTTTGTCTTTCATTAAGGTCATCACATTTATACAATAAATAGCACAGACGCTGATGGGACGGTTGAAAATCAAGTAATAGCTTATCGAATCGTATGTAAGTACTCTTTTCATGAATTTAAAGCGGATTCAGAAAGTTTAGGAGATAATTTGCGAAAACAGTCATTTTTTGTTGTTGTTGTTGTCCACTGTTTCTAGAACGATAATGAGATTTTATTAATAAAAGATTGTTTTTGCCTTTTATAAATTGAAAATTTTACTTATTGAACTAATTTTTTATGTTTAAGCTATTCATATTGTTCAAGTCTGGAACAATAAAAAAATTGTATGTAAGGTTTTTCAACATTGTATGATCAGTTTATCTTTTTTCTATAAATCAATACTTAATATAGTTTAAACAATAAATTTTGAATTTTTGTTCAAGCCGGGAATGAAGATGGGATATTTAGCGTTGATAATACAAGTGGAGAAGTGAAGCTTATAAAGGATGCTAACCAGATACCACCAACTGTCGACCAGTACTCCCTCAATATCTCAGCATACAGTGGTAAGAACTTATTATTTTCCTCTGTTTTTTCCCTTTTCATTCCACTGACGTCAAAAAGCCTAAAACACATAAAATATGAAAGTTTTAAAAAAGATCAATGTGAAGCACTTTTAATGGAAAAAATCTGCAAAGGATAATAAAGAAACATATTCGAAATTCTTTGTCCGATCAAAGTGATAATATTTCACTTTTTGGTCATTTTGCACAATAAAAAATATTCATGAATAAAAAAAAACGGTGTGAGGAATGATCTGAAAATTTAAACACAAATAATTAGTTCAGACCTACATCAGATGGTACACAAATCTCGAAAAAAAATTCCAGTCCAGTCATGACAAAAAAACTTCACGGAGTCCCTTTCAAGATACACTATTCAGATATGAGTGAAGCGTAGAATGTTTCTTATCGGGAAATGTTATGTATTGATTTGTGAGAATTAACATTCAACAATGTTAATATTATTCACACAATAGAAAAGAAACAGTACATTTCGTTATGGAAATTTATATAAAAAAATATTTTTTCATTTAGGAAACACTTCTATTGAGAATTCTGCAAGACTTATTGTCATTGTCCCAAACAACGCCCCAAATTGCACCCACGACACTGTATGGGCCAACAGTCTCGATATAAACACTGCGACCGTTGGAACTATAATAACAGTAAGTGAATATTTACTGACAATAAACTTATTTTATAACATATTTAGCGACTTCGTAAAAACGGTATTGCACTGCCGTGCATATAATTATTTTAATGTAACTTCATTTGCGTTATACCAACTTAGCGTAAAGACGTGCTTAATTTCAGCATTTCACTATATGCACGTCAATGAAAACGTTATTCTGTTCCTCACTGTAAACAGTTCTTTTTTGGGTATGTGATTAATAGAGCTATATTCATTGACTTTTTTGAATAAAATAATATTTTGCTCGCCTATGATATTTTTTTCAACTCGTTCAATAAATTCAGTATTGAACTTACACTTATTCAATATCCTCTATTTACTAGATGAAAAGAATTTTTGAACATTTCGAATACAGATATACATAAAATCTAGGACTTGAGGAAATATACATGACCTTAGTTATGTTTACATTGATAGACATGCGATTCAAATCACACTATTTGTTGGCATTTAAAAGATCATGAGTAAGAGATTCAACTACTCTGTTAAGGGATACATCAGAGGTTGAAAGGGTGGTTCTTTTATGTTGAATGTTTTGAATATACACCTTATGATTGGATTACAGCTATTGACAAAAATGAAATAGTTGGTTCAATTTTCCTTGATATCTCTATTTAAAGCTATTGACTATGTGGATCACTCTATTATTATTGAAAAGCTTAGAATGTATAACCTAGACCCTACATCAGTTGCTTGGTTTTCCTCCTATTTAGA